TTCCCAGGGTTTGGGGACCAAGTTTACGTTTGCCCAGGGCTCCCCTCTGCCAGTGGGGGTGTGGTCCCTTCAGAGGCCAGCGAGTCTCCCACTGGGAGCGCTGTGTCCACTCTGTCCTCTGCCATGGGCCTGGCCAGTGCAGAATGAAAGGAAGCTTTTGTATCAGTGACCTGGCGGAAGTTGGGCTGATGGGTTCTTAAGAAGACGTTATACCGGTATCTATGGGAACGAGAATTTTCTGATCGTGACTAGGAATTAGCACTTTTTATTTTTATTTTATGTATTATTTATTTATTTTTAAAGATTGATTTATTTATGCATGCAATAGCTGCCCACGCCATCAGGGCAACCCTCCCAGCTTGAGGTCCTTGATTTAATTCTAGCCACAAAACCCCTTTTGCCGTGAGAGGTGATGTTCACAGGCCCTGGGACCCAGGACGACGTCATTTCTTGTTCAGGCTGTCACATTGCACAGTCCCTACATGTCCCTCTTGCTGTCGTTCATGGGATTGTCCCCTTTTGGTGGGTAACAAGCATGTGTTCTGTCCCCTCTGCCTGGGCCCTTCTTTTGATGATCCCTACTCAGACCACTGGTTGAGCTTTGAGGTCTATTTGGGGGTGCCCAGGCTGGGCCAGGTCTGACTGTACCACCTTTTTCTTTTTTTTTTTTTTTTTTAAAGATTTATTTATTCATGCATACAAGAACTGGGGTGTAGGCCAGAGGTATGGGGGCCAGGGGAGGTGAGAGGATTCACCAGAGATAGAGTTGGGAGCTGCTCTACTGAAATACACTGCTGAGGTGAGCAGCGGGAGAGGCAGGAGAGGTCTGCTGCGCTGTGTGGGTCACGTCCAGAGAGAAAACATCTGCTGAGGCCCGAGCAGGGCTCCCTCAGAGAGCAACACAGAGTCCGGCGCCCACACACCCCCACGAGGAGAGACTCTCAGGGAAGACAACCAATTATTTAAAAATTTATTCTCTTACATCACCTCCCTGGCCAAGGATCGAACTCCTGCTGCAGTGGCTGCTGATAGCTTCATAGTGCTGAGACTGGACCCCGTATACCATCAGGGAGGCCCAAGAAGGTGCTTGGTTTTTTTTTTTTTTTTTTTTAATTTTTCAATTAATTAATTTATATAAGCACTGGGTACAGTCAGAAGCGCGGGAGGGTGAGAGAATTCACCAGAGCGGGGAGCAGAGCAGGCAGAAGGACCGAAGTACACTGCTGAGGGGAGCAGCGGGCGGCAGGAGAGGCCTGCGCGCTGTGTGGGACCCTCCTCCGGTGGCTGGGGAGCAGCGGGGATCGAACCGGCGCTGCAGAGGCTGCCGGCAGCTTCGCAACCCAGCGCTCAACCGCTGCGCCACCGGGGAGGCCCGAAGGTGCTTGTTTTAGACCTAGGTTTAGCAGACTTTCTCTACATGTGTCCCCCAATTTCCTTTTTTTATGCAAACGTGTGTATTCATACACTACATATTATGTATAAAGAAGATCATTCTTAGCTTGTGGTCTTTACAAAAACATAGTTCAGGGTCCTGTGTTTGCTGACTAAATGGTAAGCGCTGAGACAGCCGTCACCACATTGTGGCAACCTCCAGGACTTTTAGTAAAGGATGAAAGATTTATTTAATTATTTATTAATAGAGGCATGTTATTTATTTATTTGTTTGTTTGTTTGTTTGTTTGTTTGTTTGTTTTGTTTATACATGCACTGGGTACAGTCAGAAGCGCGGGAGGGTGAGAGAATTCACCAGAGCCAGAGCGGGGAGCAGAGCAGGCAGAAGGACCGAAGGACACTGCTGAGGGGAGCAGCGGGCGGCAGGAGAGGTCTGCGCGCCATGTGGGACCCTCGCCGGTGGCCGGGGAGCAGCCGGGGATCGAACCAGCGCTGCAGAGGCCGCGGGCAGCTTCGCAATCCAGCGCTCAACCGCTGCGCCACCGGGGAGGCCCAAGGATAAAAGATTTATATGAGCTGAAGAGAAACCAGAGTATATCAAGGACTTAAATTTGTGTGTGGGGGTGGGGGGTGGGGGTTGGGGGTGTGTTCTGTGTTCCTACTGAAAGGATGTCTTTTCATTTTGGTTTGATTTGGTAGAAATGTTTAAAATTAGATTTAAGATACCTAATCTTAACACGGAATTGTAAGTTGGTTTAGATTTGAGAACCTGTTCAGTGCTGGTCTTCCTGATGCAGATAGGCCCGGTCCTTATTTGGACTCACAGTCCAGGTGGAAGGAAGCTGTCACAGTCATGCCTTTGCAGGGTTGGACAGAAGAACTCCCCAAGCAGCCTTGGCAGGAGGTTGAAGATAAAGGGTGTGTGGTGGGGCCCTCGGGTGCACTGGGCCCCTTTGCTGTCCCTGATCCCTGCTGCCTTGCCTCGGGCGGCGTCTGCCCCTTCAGGGGGCCCTTGGGAGCCTTGAGCACTTGTGGGCGTGTCTGCTGTTCAGTTCTTCAACCCGCTAGTGTGGGGTCTGGGAGGGAGGGAGGGGGTTCGTGTCCAGCCAGCATGGCTGACATGCTGTGGGGAAGAAAGCAGCAGTCCCTGGAGGGGGGCAGCCGCTCTCATGCGCCCTCGCCATCCCGCTCTGAGCCAGACAGTGGGCTTCTGTGCCTGCGCGGGCCTGTGACGGCAGGTGTGGGCCATCAGTCAGGACCCAGCAGTGACCGAGAGGGTGGGCTAAGGCCCGTTTTGTGTAAGAGCAGCCTTGGTTGACCACCTTCCTGCTGCCACTTGGTCGCACGAGGGGTAAGCATCTCCCATCTGACATTTTTTGGGCTCAGTTTACTGCTTATCTTTCGGGTCTTGGATCACGGTATACAGAATTTCATCTTAAAATACCACTGGGGGTGCAGAATACTGCCCCAGTATCCCTTCTGGCCTGCGTGGCTCTGGAGTGGGGTGGGGTGGCAGCCTGGCTGCTGCAGCGTCTGTCAAGAGCCTGGTATTTGTGAATGTTTTCATAGTCACCTCCGTTTTGCCGCTCAGGACATCCTGACCGCACGCCAGAATCTGTGCTCTAGCTTTTTTTTTCATACATGATTCCGTGGGATGTAATGTCATTATACAAGTTTCTTTTTTCACGATCAAGCTTAGAACGTGCAGCCACGGTGGGGGTGAAGCACGAGTGCCGGCTGACTCTTTGGGTCCTTTGTCGGTGTTTGAGTGAACGAAGGGCTGGGTCCGTGACAACAGCACTGATAGACGGGTAGCCGCCTGCGGAAAATTAAAATTGGTTGTCTTGCCTGCAGGCCGACCGTAGACTTGAAGCCAACAGGAAAGGAGGGGCCGGGAGAAGGATCCAAGGAGGGGAGGGAAGAGCACGAGGGACTAGGAGGCTCAGGGTGCTGTGGGGGGACCGTGGGGACCACACCCGAGTGGAGAACAGCGATGTAAGAGAATACATGTCAGAGTAATGGGTTGTCTCCCCTGAGAGTCTCTCCTCGTGGGGGTGGGGGGCGGCGCCCGGCTCCCCGCTCCGTGCTGCTCTCCGGGAGAGCCCTGCTCGGGCCTCAGCAGATGTTTTCTCGCTGGTGGTGGTTTATTTTGCAAAGCGCGCACTCCGGGTTGTCCTCGTATGACTTGCTGCCTTTGCTGCCTTCCCTTCGCTTTGATTTTGTTTGTCCTCGCGATGAGCAGCCTCCTGGTGTAGACGTCTCCTCCCTTCGTCGGCCCGTCCTCTTTGGGTGTTCCATGCATGGTCCGGGCTGTCAGAGCGGGGGCTCTTTGTCTCCCCTCTCCCCGCGCTGTCCCTGGCCTGGAGTTACTCGAGTGCAAGGCCAGTGGGAGTTCTCACCAGCGGGCGGCTGGGGCTGCACTGGCTCTTGTGCTCTCGGGGTGCAGGTGTCTTTTTGAATGAATGTTTTTGAGTCCTTTGCGTAGATACCTTGGAGTGGAATTGCTGGATCCTATGGAAGTTCCATTTTTAGTAGTTTGAGGAACCGCTGCACAGCTTCCCATGGTGGTTGGGCCAGTCTGCACTCCCACCAGCGCCATAGGTTCTTTCCAGATCTTCTGGGGGATTGACACCCTCTCCTCCGTCCCTGATGGCCCTTTGGCCCTCTCTCTCCCCGCTCTTCACACGCTGTTTATTAATGTCTGCTGGTTCTTGTGTTTTACTTTGTCAAACTGTCTGCATAGAACTGGCCCATATTTTTGTCATTTTGATTTGCTTTATTTCACATAACTCCCTCACATTTCCTCCACTTGCCACTTCCCTGTGGCTGAGAAGTGTCCCATCCCGTGGTAGGCCGTGTGTCCCAGCTGCTGTAAACAGCGTTGCAGTAAACAGAGCAGCGCATCGTTTCTGAGCTGGTGATGTCACAGTCTTTGGGTGGATGAGGGGATTGCTGGGTTGTAGGTATTTCTACTTTTAAGTTTTTTTTTTTTTTTAAGAATTACTCCTTTATTGTTAAGATTTTTTATTTTATTTATTTATGCATACAAGAGCTTGGGTGCAGGCCAGAGGTGCAGGGCGGTCAGAGGATTCACCAGAGATGGAGTGGGGAGTAGGACAGGTGGAGGTAGTGAAATCCACTGCTGAGGGGAGCAGTGGAGAGACAGGAGAGGTCTGCCGCGCCGTGTGGGTAGCTCCCTGACCTGGGATGGGCCTCATGCCTCTCAGAGTAGTGTTGAGATTTAACCCCTAGACCACCAGGGAGGTCCCATTTTTAGTTTTTTAAGGTAAATTCCAGTAGCTTTCCAAAATGGCTGCACTGGTTTACATTCCCACGACGGGGGTGGGGGGTTGGGGGGCACTGCTCCTCCGCACCCCTCCAGCCCTTGTCACGGGTTTGAGAGGGTAGTGTGGGTTTATCCCGTGGGCCTCTCCCTCGTTGGAAACAGCAATGAACATGTCTTCCATATGTCTCCTGGGCTTCGCGAAGTCCTCCTGGTGTATTGACTGTTCAGAGCTGCTGCCCATTTATCAGTTGGTTGTCTCACTATTGTTGAATTGTGTGCGTTTTTAGTATTTTGGGTGACACTTTCTTCCTCCATTTCAAAGGCAGATCAGGAGTGGTGCCGAGAAAAATTTTCTTACTAGATGACATTTCATCGCAATGTCCGATCGTTTGGGGCAACTAGCCAAGGGCAAGGATGGGAAAAGCAAGTACTCGACGCTCAGCCTGTTTGATAAGTATAAAGGAAAGTCAGTAGACGTGATCAGATCCTCAGGTAAGAACCGGGCTGGGAGCCAATTCTTGATGCTTCTCCAGGGGCTCACATGGACTTTCTAGCTCAAGGGCCATGGAAATCCTGAGTCCTCACCTGGTCAGAAGGATGTGGTCCGTGCACCCCAGTCTTTGGGCATGAGCTGCTATCCAGAAGTCTGGGGACGCAGAGTCACCTTCTGCTTCGATTTGAGGACTGATTTCAGGGCTGGAATGTCCTGACTGGGCTGAAGTGGGGTGAATTCCCTGTTTGCCTTATTGAAACCATGGATGGTTTCAGCCTGATGGGTAGAATGGAACTCAGTTAGCGATAGTTGTGCTTTTTAGGTTTCGTGGTTCCTGTACCCTGGAACTCGGTGGGAGAATCCCCTGGATACTATCTACAGAGGGCTCTGTTGGGCCCCACGCAGAGTGGCTTGGGCCCAGGTAGAGGCTGCCCCGTAGGTAATGCCCCCCGAGAGGTGGTGGCCAAGTAGGATGGAAGTTGCTGGGCCTGGCTCCTCACCCCACCATGAGCTTGCTGAGCCCTTCTGGAGCCTCTGCAGTTTCAGCAGCTCCTGTCTCTCTAGTCCTTGGTGAGGAGCCTAGAGAGTGACCAGAGGGATGACCACGCCCTGTTTTTCTGGGCGCCTCTGCCCTGCTGTTGTGTTGGGTGGCATCTGTCGTTAGCAGAGTGAGAGCAGCCAAGTGAGGCGGCCCCTTGCCTCCATGACTCCTCTGGCGCTGCGTTTCCGCCCCCTCTTCTGCAGTTATTCCTCGACATGGCTTACAGAGTCTTGGGAAAGTTGCCACAGCCCGGCGGATGCCGCCGCCCGCAAACCTGCCAAGCTTGAAGTCGGAAAACAAAGGAAACGACCCCAACATCGTGATAGTACCCAAGGACGGGACGGGATGGGCAAACAAGCAGGACCAGCAAGACCCAAAGAGGTGAGCACAGAGGAGGCAGTGGGGGCTTCTAGGTTGTCCCAGCCCTTCCTTCAGCAGAGGCAGCCTCGGAGAGCAGAGGAGATGCCAAAGCAGCTGCTTTCACCCTGACTCCTGCTGCTTGTTTCTTGCTCCTTGCCCTCATTTTCCCCCTGATTTTGGAGCCGATGCAGCAGCATGTCTGTGGGTGTGTGTCTCCTGTGACCAGTGCCCCTGGTGGCTTATTAGGGAGGCCACGTCACCCCAGAGAAGCTTATGCAGTGACTCAGAGCCAGTTCCTACAAGAACCGAGGTGGACGGTGCTAGTGCTTGAGCAGCTTGGTCTGGTGCTGGTCCCTGGGCGCCGGGTTCTGGGTCAGGAGAAAGCAGCCCTCCCACCCAGGGGCCCAGCAGCACCTCCCTTGCTTCCCCTTGCCCCTAGTTTGAGACTCCAAATAGACCCAGTCATGAAGGAAATGCACATGGGAGCCTCTTTATCCAGGGCTGGGGTACAGTGCCCCTGGGTCTTGCCCTCTGCCACAGGGCAAGCCCCAGGAGGTGGACTGTGGCTCCCAGGGCAGCCTTAGAGAAACTTCCCTCCCTGGCGGAGGCTCTTGCTGTGTGATAGGGCTCCTCCTCTGCGTGGGTGCCCAAACCGGGTGCTGCCTCAGGCCTTGAGCCTGCGTCTCTCTCCACTGGTCTTCTCTGATGGGCTCCAGCCAGATAACAGGCTTGTCCAGGAAGGAGGATTTGGGATTTGTGCTGGGGCCTAAGGAGGGACAGGGTCTTGCTAAGGCCAGTGGGCAGAAACCAGCCCCTGGTGTTTCCCTGGTGGGGAATGAAATCAGACATCCCCTCCTCATGCACCTCATTGCCCCTGCACCCCTTGTGGCCTGACTGCTGATGCCTGGGATCCAGGAGGTAAGGGAACCCAGGGAATAGCTTGCTAGCTAAGGCCCTTTCTTGCCCCTGCAAGTGGCCATGGTGATGTTGGTAACACTTGCCTGTAGATCCTTTGGACAGTGTGCCGAGTTAGCAGGTGATTTGGTCAGATGGTCAAAAAGAGTCTTGAAAGCATTTAGCCCATTTTTCTAACAGTTTGCCCTAGGATGGTGCCGGCTGATGCACAGCATGCTTTCGGAGTGGGGCAGGTATGTGTGTGATTTCCAGCCGTGCCGTTGAGGAGCTTTCTGGGAGCTTCATTGTGGCCTGCGAAGTTAGAATTGTGGTTGGCTCCAGGAGCGGTTAATAGATGTGGTAACACCAGTCAGGACATGCACAGAGCTGGGTCCCGGGGGAGTTCCGGCAGATGTCAGCTGTTGTCCTACTCATGTGGCAGACACTATAAACTTGGTGATGGAATGGGTACTACGCATTTTGGTGTAGGATTGAAAAGCCTCTGCTACTGAAAGTTCTAGAGTGAGGACAAAGCCTAGCCCCCGTCCTTTATCCAGTATTACTGGCATTGGCCTGGAAAGGGTCAGGCAGCTGCAGGAGCCTAGTCAGGCTGCATTTCTTCCAGGGAGGAGGGGAGCAGGTGTTAATTAAGCAGGCAGCACCGGGCCTGGGTCTCTTCATCCTGGCCATTCCCCCCCCAGAGTGTCAGGGAGGTGGCGGAGCATGAGCCACAAATTTGGACTCAGTGCTGATTTGGAGAACAGAGTGGTCCTACCTGGAGCTTCTAGCACAAACGGATTGCGATGTGAGGAGGATGAAGGCCTCACCTGGTAGACCCTGGCAGGGCCATGTTTGGGTACAAAGATTTGCTTCACTGCATACCAGCATCTGGCACCGGGCTGATTCTGGCCAAGTGGACACACCCTTGAGTCCTGTGGGGTGGAAGGTTGAATGGCAGGAGAGCCGGAAAGCTGTGGAGACAGCAGAAACCCCTTGAAAGAGAGTGAACTAACTGACTGATGACACCACCTTTTTGAGGGCAATCTGGGAATATCTTTTGAACTTCAAAATATCTCATTGAGCAATTTTATTTCTAAGAACTTACACAAAAGTGTCTGGGATATGTACACAGACATGCTCGCTGCAGATTAGCTGTCATGGAAGGAAACCCTGGATACTGATAGCCCATGCCTGCCCAGCTGTGCTGTGTTGGTGCAAGAAGTTGGGAGACTCAGTGCTTCACCACAAAAAGCTGTGATGCTTGTAAGTCAGGAGTCACGGAATTGTGCGCTTGGCGTGTCCCTGCTTATGTTTGATACTGGGCAATAAGGGGCACTAAAACTGGGCGAGCACAGTGTCCACATAGTTTACCGGTCACTGTCTGAGTTCTTTGCCTTGTTCACAATTGCAAGACCAGTCAGGCTCAGGGAACAGCAGTTATGGGTCTTTTTTTTTTTTTTAATATTTATTTATTTATTTATTTATACATGCACTGGGTACAGTCAGAAGCGTGGGAGGGTGAGAGAATTCACCAGAGCCAGAGCGGGGGGCAGAGCAGGCGGAAGGACCGAAGTACACTGCTGAGGGGAGCAGCGGGCGGCAGGAGAGGTCTGCGCACCATGTGGGACCCTCCTCCTCCGGTGGGTGGGGAGCAGCGGGGGATAGAACCAGCGCTGCAGAGGCTGCGGACATCTTCTCAACTCAGCGCTCAACCACTGCGCCACTGGGGAGGCCCAGTTATGGGTCTTTTTTAACAAACAAGGGAAAACTAGAGTCCCTAAAGGCCACAAGTGGCCAGTGTTTTGAAGTCCTAAACAAAGGTGTCTAAGATGGCGTCTTCCCACCACAGAAGACCCGAAGTAAGTATCCTGAACAAAAGGCTGTGCTCCCAAAATGGCGTCTTCCCCCCAGTGGGGGCCTGGAGCCCCTGGCAGCCAGACAGTAGACCGGGATCCAACTCACAACTACAGCAGAAGACGCAACAGGAGATGCTCAGCGGAGCTGCTGAGATGTCAGACAAGCAGCACAAAACAGCAGCTGCAGCAGCCGAACGGCCCAACAAGCAGCCACGCTCATGCCACTCAGGGAGGTGCCCAGCTTTGCCTTCCCCTCCGGCTGTAACAGCAGCAAAGCCGGGGACGGTTTTAGTCGCTTGGCTACCTGCAAAGCCTCAACTTTTCTCCTCTGAAGTTGGCTGCTGGAAGCCTCTCCACGTCCTTCGGAGGCCCGCACAGCCTTCTGGAAGATGGGCGTGGTGGGGGCTGGGATGGCTGATCCTGTGGGCTGCCCTGCAAGTCCCCTTATATTTCCTATCTGAGTCTCCACCCACGGATTCTTTTTGTCCGGGCGTGTTTCAGCTGGGCTAGTCCTTGTCACCTGCATCCCCCTCCAGGGGGCGACCCCGTAACAGCCTTTGGCTTCAGCCCTGGGTACGTGTTGAAAATGCACTATTATATAGATGCAAAGATCGGATGGAAATCCCTCGAGAGGAGAAGATCCTCATGGATTCTGTGTCATATATCTATGCATATTTATTTTTACTGTGAACGTCTATGCAGGTAAGAGAAATCTGCCTGTGTTTTAAGCAGTCAGGCCCACGTGGCTGCAAGCTCCTGGACTGTGGGTTCAGAACCCCTGCCCTGCAGTAGCAGTCCTCCATCACATCATGGTTTATTGCGAGTGATCAGAGTTTCAGACAGGAGACTCTGCGAGAAGGCCGAGGACCATTCTGTCCTGTGAGGTGTCCCTGAACAGACTCAGATGTGCTTGGTTTCTCATTAGCCTTTGCCAGCGTGTGTGTCCCCTGGGGGGGGAGCATTTTCACTGGCCCATGCAGGTCTTGCTTCCAACAAGCATCTCGGATGCTTGCCCCTGACTGCGTGGGCCTGACCTGTGTCGTGTCTGACCCTCTGCGTGTCCTGTCTTGTCTAGTTCCAGTGCGACGGTCTCACAGCCGCCGGAGTCGCTGCCGCAGCCGGGTTTGCAGAAATCTGTCTCCAATTTGCAGAAGCCGACGCAGTCAATCAGCCAGGAGGTAGGTGCTGGGGACCCGGGCCCTAAGGCCTGAGGAGGGTGGCGGTGTGTGACCTGCGTTCTCTGGAGACTCGGGGAGTTGTCATGGCCAGGGTGAAGCGGCTTCCTCTGCAGCGCTTGGAGAAGGGTCCCGTGCAGAAGAGAGCATACACCTCGCTGGTGTCCTTGATGTGAGGCCTCTTGGGTGAGCCCAGGGCCGGATCAGGGCTCCCCTTGAAGGTACACCGTGGAAATGAGTGCCCTGAGAATAGTCTCTGGCCACAGAGGGCTCCATGCTCGCGCGTCCGGAAGAGCAGATGAGGCCGCTCCTCTCCGTGGCACTTGAGTGTCTTTAGCGCGCTCGCACCTAAGGTGTCGCTCTGAAGAGGAGGAGGGCACCGTGGATGGTGTTCCCCATGTCCCACACGCCCATGGGTGCGCGGAAGCCTTTAGCTGAATGCCTGATCACACACTTGGGGAAATATTGAGCTTAATCCTGTATCTGTTGATGCATTTAAAATCATTTTCTAAACAGCAAGTCACGAGTCAGCCCAGCAGCGGCTCACACTGTATTCCATCTGACGAGTCTGTCTGGCTGACAGTGATCAGCAGGAGGATGTACTTCGCTGCAGTTAAAAATCCCGATGAGAAGTCTGTGTCTTGAAGACACAGGTATTCAGACATAGACACCTAGTACTTACCTGTGCTCTTGAAGGCAACTTGAACTACCATATTTTTTTTTTTTTTTTTTTTTTAAATAATAAATTTTATTGTTGTATTCCCCATACAATTGCAGCCCCCCCATTCTGACCCCAATCCCTCCCCTCCCGCCCCCCCCCCTAAAAGTGTCTCTGGTTCATAGTTTTTTGTTGATTTTGATTTTCACTTTCTTATAGTTATTTGTTTTCCTGGTCCCTTATTTAAGTTTTCTAGATTCCTGCTATGAGTGAGACCATCCGGTATTTTTCTTTTTCTTTTTGGCTTATTTCGCTGAGCATGATCCCTTCCAGCGCCATCCATGTTGCTGCAAATTGCATGTGTTTATCTTTTTTGAATGCTGAGTAATATTCCATGGTATATATGGACCACATCTTTTTGATCCAGTCATCTATTTTTGGGCATTTGGGTTGTTTCCAAAGCTTAGCTATTGTAAACAGTGCTGCTATAAACATAGGGGTGCAGGTGTTCTTTGGAATTGATGTTTCTGTGTCCTTTGGGTAAATACCTAGGAGTGGAATTGCTGGATCATATGGAAGCTCTATGTTTAGTAGGTCCAGAAATCTCCACACAGCTTTCCACAGTGGTTGGACCAGTTTGCACTCCCACCAACAGTGTAGAAGAGTTCCTTTTTCTCCACACCCTCGCCAGCATTTGTTGTTGCTAGTTTTTTTAATATGTGCCATTCTCACTGGTGTAAGATGGTATCTCATGGTAGTTTTGATTTGCATTTCCCTGATGGCAAGTGATGTTGAACATTTTTTCATATGCCTGTTGGCCATTTGCATTTCCTCTTGAGAGAAGTTTCTTTTTAGCTCTTCTGCCCATTTTTTGACTGGATTGGGTTTCTCTTTGTTTTTGTTATTGTCTCTTTTGCTGTGCAGAAGCTCTTTAATTTGATGTAGTCCCAGCTGTTTATCTTTGCCTTCACTATCACTGCTTTGGGTGATGTGTTTGTAAAGATGTCTTTGATGTGCAAATCACGTAGTGTTTCGCCTATATTTCCTTCTATATATTTTATGGTTTCAGGTCTTATGTCTAGTTCTTTAATCCATTTTGAGTTGATTTTTGTGTATGGTGTGAGGTAGTGGTCAAGCTTCATTCTTTTGCATGTAGCGACCCAGTTTTCCCAGCACCATTTATTGAACAAACTTTCTTTGCTCCAATGCATAGTCTTTGCTCCTTTGTCAAAGATTAGTTGACCATAAATCTGTGGGTTTATTTCTGGATTTTCTATTCGATTCCATTGGTCTGTATGTCTGTTCTTGTTCCAATACCATGCAGTTTTGATGATTATGGCTTTGTAGTAGAGTTTGAAGTCTGGGAGTGTAATGCCTCCATTCCCTTCTTTTTTTTTCAGGAGAGCTTTGGCTATTCGGGGTTTTTTGTGATTCCATATGAATTTCATCAATAATTGTTCTATTTCTTTGAAGAATGACATTGAAATTTTGATTGGAATAGCATTGAATCTGTATATTGCTTTTGGAAGGATGGCCATTTTAATAATGTTTATTCTTCCAATCCACGAGCAGGGGATGTCTCTCCATTTCTTTGTGTCTTCTTCTATTTCTTTTAACAGTGTTTTATAGTTTTCTTTGTATAGGTCCTTTACCTCTTTTGTTAGATTGATTCCCAAATATTTGATTTTTTTTGTTTCAATAACAAAAGGGATGTTTTTTTTGATTTCTTCTTCTTCAGATTTATTGTTTGTGTATAGGAAGGCTACTGACTTTTGCGTGTTGATTTTGTATCCTGCCACTTTACTGAACTGATTGATGAGTTGAATTAGCTTTTCTGTGGAGTTTTTGGGGTTCTCTATGTATAATATCATATCGTCTGCAAATAGTGATAGTTTGACTTCTTCTTTTCCTATTTGGATTCCTTGGATGTCTTTCTCTTGTCTTATTGCCCTGGCTAGGACTTCCAGTATTATATTGAAAAGCAGTGGTGAGAGTGGACATCCTTGTCTTGTTCCAGATCTTAATGGAATTGCTTTCAGCTTTTCACCATTGAGAATGATACTGGCTGTTGGCTTGTCATAGATGGCCTTTATGATGTTGAGGTATGTTCCTTGTATCCCAAGAATTTCAAGGGCTTTTATCATGAATGGGTGTTGCACTTTGTCGAAAGCTTTCTCAGCATCTATTGATATTATCATATGGTTTTTATATTTCTTTTTGTTGATGTGTTGGATAACGTTGATTGATTTTCGGATGTTAAACCATCCTTGTGCCCCTGGAATGAATCCTACTTGGTCGTGGTGAATTATCTTATGGATACATTGTTGGATTCTGATGGCTAAAATTTTATTGAGGATTTTTGCATCAGTGTTCATTAGGGAGATTGGCCTGTAGTTTTCCTTTTTTGTGTTGTCCTTGTTCGGTTTTGGTATTAGTGTAATGTTGGCTTCATAGAACGTGTTTGGTATTGTCCCTTCCTTCTCAATTTTTTGGAAGAGTTTGTGAAGGATAGGCACTAATTCATCTCTGAATGTTTGGTGAACTACCATATTTTTTTTTTTCTCTCCCTGGGCAATGAAGTCTGAGATGCCATCCCTCACCTATGGGGAAATTCTATGACTTTTCCAGAAGGACGCTCTCCCTTGCCCAGCATTGAACTGTATCTTTGGAATTAAGGAGGAAAAGACACTTGTGTCACGGGGGACTCCGTATCCATGGCCTAAGTCTGCTGGGACCTTTTGACTAGAGTCCAGAGAGTCTCATCTATGTGTTCCCCAGAATTTGAAACTGAGAGTGTGGCTGTGTACCACACTCACCTTTGGAGCTTCTTGAAAGTACTTACGCCTGAAAAAAAAAACCCAAAACCGAAAAGCCCTTCTGTCTGGACCCCACTGCTGAAGAATGCGTGGGACCGGCTTTGGGCACCTGCCGAGAAGGCCCTGTGGGGACTGTGTGGTCAGGGAGGAAAGCCCGGCCAGGGGCCAGCACCTGGCCACTCTGCCCCAGGCCTGGCTCTTTTTTGGCAATTAAGTTGTCTCTCACGTGCCAAAGTGGCGAGAAGATTTCTCGGATGCTTGCCCCTGACTTCAGAGTGAGAGCAGTCCTGTTGCTGGGGTGCCCTGCCCTGTCATGTTCTCTTTAGCTTAGTGCCTGTGGGTGAGGGTCCCTGTGGCTGCAGAGACCAGCATGTGGGATGGCAGCAGGTGTGGAAGAGCTGAGACTCCCAGTGCTCCTGCATCCTGCTAGGCACAGAGGCCAGCTCCTCTGAGGGCACGCCTGGCCCAGGCAGCATTGTCCTAAGAAGTAGCTGGCATGAGCCTCACGTGGTGTGGGGTGGGGGACCCGTGAGCGTTCCAAGGCAACTCTTTGCGAGAGAAGTGGTTGTCTAACTTGGCCAGCAATGCACTGAAGGCCAGAGGCGGTCAGTGTGGTGCCTGCATGCAGTGGTGTGGACTGGAAGGGGGTGGTGGAGAAGGGTCACTGCTTGATCTGGCTCCTGTCCTGAAACTTGGCGCTTGGCAGCTTTCTGTCGTTCTTCTTCTTAGCCTTCAGCTTGACTCTTGTGGAAAAAGGCAGGTGGACCAGGGGTTGGGAGCCCAGAGGAGCTTTGGATATCTGCAGGGTGGGGCCAAGGTCTTTCCTTGCCTCTGCTGGGACTTGTTACTACTTTCTGACCCTCCCTGGGGATGACCAGCGCTTTCCCAGGATATGGGAGGATTTAGCCAGCAGACGTGCCCAGCCCCATACTTCATCCACAGTGAGCTCTTGGTACAACAAGCCCAGAGGACTGAGGCTGAGCAGGCGTGTCTGAGTCAGGGGATGGGATGGCCTTGGCTTGGGAGTCATGCTTGCATGAGGGCGGTGGGGGTGGGGGTGGCTTTGCTGTGTGGACTCCTGTGAGCAGTGGCACGGTTTTAGAGAGAATTGGGTTTGATCTTTGTCTTTGGGAAGACCCCAAAGTAACTCTGTGTGGCCACTCAGAGGCAACCTGACAGAATGTTCTGGACTACAGCTTGCAGGTGGATGAGGGTTGTGTTTTGGCTCTGTCGCTGAGTGACTTGGGCCTGGGGCGGGGGGCTGCAGCTGTGTGGATGCTCGTGGGTTGGTGCCGGCCGCAGGTGAGAACCTAACCAGGCTCTGGCCCTCCGCGGTGGGCTGCGGCGTCTCCTCCAGCAGGTCCAGGTAATGACTGCCGACTGAATGAGCTCTTTCCTCACTTTCTTTCAGAATACAAATTCAGTGCCAGGTGGACCAAAGTCATGGGCACAGCTGAATGGAAAGCCAGCAGGACACGAAGGTGGTAAGTGTTTGGCAGGGGCCACCTCTCTGGGTCGTGTGTGTGGTTCTGGGCAGCCTGTGGCTGAAAGTTTTGTGGAAATCTCTTCCTGAAGAGCTGCTGCTCTGTGGCGCTCTGGCTTTTGCGCCGGTGGTGGAGGTGGTGGAGGTGCTGGTTCTGTGGGGACGCCCGCTCTTGGACTCCCGCTGACTGTCACTGCTGAGGGCATGGCTCTCGAGGTGGAAGAGGAGCCTGGGCGGCTGGCAGTGTCGCCCGCAGAGTCTTCGTCCTCTCTCTTGGACCCCCAGGAGGGTGCTGTGTGGTGGTGTTAGCGTGAAGGCTCTCGCACGGGCCTCACTTGGAAGCCCTTGTGTCTGGGCTCCACGCTGCCTCAGCTGAGGGAGGATGAGCCAAGCCTGGGGACCACAGTTCTGAGAGGAGGCTGAACGGTGGCTTCAGCTAGTATCCCAAGGTGCAGTACAGGGTCCTGACCCCAGGTGCCCCTTGGGTTCAGGGTCAGTGGGTGTTTTTGAAAGAACCCCAAATCTGGGTTTTTCTACACAAATGCATCTAATTTTTCAGTGTGAGCACGACCTTTCTGGCATGCTTGCAGCTCAGCTCTGTCCGTGCTGCACCGTGTACCTCCTTCCTCGGAGCAGCACTCGCTGCCTCTCCCGCCCTGTACGCCCAGCCTGGGTCACTCTTACCCTCTGCATTCCCTGCTGCTGTGGCTTCCCCAGATTTTAGCTTTGTAGCTTTTATTAGAGAAACACCTGCATATGCCACTTTTCTTGCCCCTCGCCCCACCTAGACACCTGGGTTGAGTGGAACCACACTTCAGCAAGTGCACCCGGAGTCCAGCTCCTGCTGGGTGGGGAGCTCATTTGGAGGCTGCTGTGGTGGGGTTGGGGCAGCGGTGGGCAGTTCGGTACCTTTGGCTGGGTTGTGGCAGTCTGAGGAGAGGCTGGGCTTTGGCGCTGCACTTCAGCTTCTAGAGTCTGCATTTCTGTTAGTTTTTTTTTTTTTTAAGTAAATCGTATTGATCTTTATTTAAAAAGGACTAAAAGAAAAGCAAACCTAGTGTAAAGCAGAGGCCCCCTGGAGGGCCTTGCCTAGCACCCACATCTTTGCCCCGGCAGTGCCCCTGTGAGGAAGTCCCTATAAAGGTGCTTGCTCGGTGTGAGGTGACAAGCGGACAAGCTCACTCATCACGGCACTGTGGTCAGGACTGGGCGTGAGCATGCAGGGCGCTGTCAGGCTGTGCTTTGGTGACATGCTGTTTGGCCGCCGGGGTGAGGCCAGTTCCCTCTGCTCAGTGAGCACTCCAGACTCTGTTCGCAGACGAAGGTCAGGATAGGGTGTAGAGCATCCCCTTTTGCGCAGCCTCAGGTGAAGAAAAGACGTCTGTGCATTAACATAAAATCTCTAGGAGGAAACATAAGAGAGAGGGAGCAAAAGAGAAAACTACTTGTTTTCTTTTGAGGGTGTTAGAAGTGAGCACATGCGGTCACACTCGAGAGGGAGCTTCAGCTTGTACCTTTTTGCAGCTTTTTACTTTTGAACCTTATGATTGTGTTACTGATCAAAGTTGATACAGGAAGTAATTGTGAAACACCACGTAGTACTCTAAATGTGACCCCTTGCCTGGGAGTTGGGGTTGGGGGCACCCAGTGACCTCAGGAGAGGCCGGGCAGGCTGGGCATCAGCCTGGGGTTCCCTCCTGTGCTGGAGTCACAGGTCTGTGGTACTACTGGAGCTTTGGGGGTTTGGGGGGTGTTGCCCCAAATGTTTTCATGACTCTTCGGGATCAAAGAGCACACGTCCTGAGCTGATGGGCTCTGCATGTGTACTGGGCTGCTTGCTCTGTTTCACCCAGAACAGGCCAAGTAGGCCTGTGCCATGGGGCAGGCAGGCTCATGGCCTGGGGTGCAGATGCCGGCAGCGCCACTGGCCAGTGGTGTTGACCTGGGGCCTTAGCAGATGGCCCTGAGTTTTCTGCTTCAGTTGTTCATGACAGAAAATCCTTGGCATGAGGGATTATTGGGTGAAGGCTAGAGAACATGGAAAACTCAGGAAATCCAGTACTTGGGTCTCAGATTTTGAGTTGTGCCCTTTATCCTCTTGTCTGTGATGGAGAAGTCAATTCATGCTGATAGCAATACCTTCATGACGGTTGAGGCAGAGAGTCCTGGATGTTTTCTCTCTCTATGTACGTATTTTGCTTCAGTAACTTGTCATACTCTTTTTTGTTTAGCATAGAAAAACTGGGGTGCAGGGGTGAGAGGACTCCCCAGAGACAGAGTGGGGAACAGAACAGGCAGACTGACTGAAACACTGCTGAGGGGAGCAGCGGGGAGACAGGAGAGGTCTGCTACGCCGTGTGGGTAGCTCCCTGGCCACAGATCAAACTCAGGCTGCAGCAGTGATAGCACTGAAACTAACTCCTAGGCCACCAGGGAGGCCCCTGCCATACTTTTATTATTTTTTAAATTTATTTTTTTATACAAGAACTGCGGTACAGGCCAGATGTGCGGGAGGGTGAGAGACTCACCAGAGACAGAGCAGGGAACAGAACAGGCAGACTGACTGAAATACACTGCTGAGGGGAGCAGCGGGCGAGACAGGAGAGGTCTGCTCACCATGTGGGTTGCTCCGAGGCTGGCAGGGATCGAACTGGCACTGCAGAGGCTGCAGACTGCTTCACAGCGCTGCGCTCAACCACCTGCGCCACCAGAGAGGCCCTCCTGCCATACTTTTAGAATGTAACTTTGGTTCTTGCCAGCACAGTTCTTTGACAGTGACAGTCGCCTGCAGAGCTGCATCCTCCGTGCTGACCATCCGTCTGCGCTCATCCCCACTGCCTCTTCCTGGCATAGCTTTAGTTAAGAGGTCCATGTGTCAGTGGCTTTGCAGTCCTAGGGAGCAGGGCCCATCATGGTCGGCTGTTGCGTTGCGTGATGCCACTTCTTTAAGTTCATTTAGCCCTGGACACGTTGCGTCCACCAGCTCCAGGAACCCAATCCCACACTGGACCCTGACAGACCCCATTTGTCATGACCCCTGCCTCCTAAGCGCCGTTGCAGGTTCCCTGTGGCCAGTGCTGTGAGTGATAAGAAGAGCAAAGGAAAGACTTCTCTAGTGGGGTTCATAGTGCTTGGGAGTGGATCCAAGCCCTGCGGGACACTGTTCCTGGGGCCACAGAGTGAGATGTTTGGCCTTGTAGGACTTAAGGAGCTTGGTAGGAACGGTAAAATGGAAGGACAGACATATGCAGTATTTAGTCATTTAGTTTCCTTGGCCTTGGGGAGCCCCTTCTGCTCTCCACTTGAGAGTAGTTGATGTCCTTGGGCAGATTTCCCAGAAGACTGCGTCCTCAGGGCTTCCAGAAGGACCGCCCTCCTTCCTCCTAGGAGCTGAGGGGTCTGGGGTGGGACAGCGTTGCTCTCATCATCCTTTTGCAACCATCTTTCTGCTCCTATGGGTTGGTTGGCAAGGGAACTGGTGCTGCCTGCCTCCAGCCTGTCCATGTCACCTTTGGGCACCAAGTGCTTTTCTGCCAGCACAAAGCACTGGTGCAGACCACTCTCGCCGTGCGCTCCCTCAGACAGCGCAGCCCTCGCTGTGCGGAGTTGGTGAGGCAGGGCACCTGCCAGCGGTGGTGCACTTGGTCTATAATTTTTTTTTGTTTTCCTGACAGGTTTAAGGGGCTCAAGCCGACTACTATCCTTCTCTCCCGAGGAATTTCCGACGCTGAAAGCAGCTGGAGGGCAGGACAAGGCTGGCAAAGAAAAGGGCGTCTTAGATCTGTCGTATGGGCCAGGACCAAGCCTCCGCCCTCAGAGTAAGTGGGCTTGTGTGCTCGGGTTGCGGGCTCCTGCGTGGCCCTCTCACAGGGTCTCAGAGCCACAGCTGCCAGGTGCAGGCTGCTGCCTGGAGAGCTCGGTGTCGCCCCCTGGGCTGGGCAGGAAGGGTCTCCTTGGGGTGCTCCTTCTGCTGTGCTCAGATAGCCCTGGCACACTCACTTGGTCCCTAGTTCAGGAACTTGTTTTCTAGACCAGCCCTGAGTGCTGTCAGCCCCCTGGGGGCATGTGTTGAAGTCTGATGTCCAGTCTCCCACCCCCAGCCAAGTTAGAATCTGTTTTCTGATGCTTCCTGGGGTTTGTTAGGGAGCCAGCCCCACACTGTTCTCTATGGGCTCTCCCCTGGGGTCTGGCTGCAGGGTGCAGGGTCAGCGGGCTGTGGAGCGGCACTTGCTGGAAACGGGCTATTCTTGGAGAGCTCAGGTGGCCCGAGGTGAGGTGTTGCTGGTTTCTGTTCTAGTCGGGGACTCTGAACCGTTTCTTGTTTCCTTGAGGGACTTTGCTGCCTGTCTTGATTGATGTCCAGAGGCAGAGCGGCTGCCTGAGAGCAAGGGGCCCACTGGGCAGCACTTTGCTACCCACAGTGGCCTGTTTATTTGGTCCATTATCTGCCCTGGTCCAAACAGTAATGGAATTATCAGGCCAAGAATTGACGCTTTCTGGGATTAATCAAGGTGAACTGCTTGGTAGGATTCTAAAAATGTAGGACTAAAGGAATTCCTGGGTTCAATTCCATCTCCTCATCTGAAAAGATAGCGAAGCAGAGGGTCCCCGGAGTAACCCCAGGGCGGCCCATGTCCCATGGCGGGGGCTGAAAAACTGGGAGAGACCTGGTGTGGGGCCTCTGTCCTGACTCTCCTCTTCCAGGCCACGCACTAGGCAGTCTTCCGTGTCCCCACTCCTGGCCTAAAGCTGACTGGGTCTCTGGTTCGCCTGTTATTTCCCTGGGCTGCGTTTCCACCAGCTCTTGCTGCATTTAGCAGGGGGAGGACAGGCAGGTCAGTGGGTTTTCACCTGACCTGCTGGAGGGCCCTCAGCTGACCGCTGCTGGAGCGGGGACCCAGACCCTCCCACGCCCTGGGGGAGGGGCAGCAGCCCTCCTTCATCTTAGGCTCAGGTATCTTGTTGAGTTTGCCAGTGCCAGGAGCTCACTCTGCTTTTCTGTGGCTCGTTCCGAGCACAGGGCCGCCCATGGGCTGAGCCCGCTTGGGCTCACTTGATTTCTGTGGGGTCTTAGATCTGTGGGCATATTGGATCCCACCAACCGAGGAAGAAGACCCAGTCTTGCTTGTACGTGCCTTCTCTCTGAGTGGCCCTTATTTTGTGTTTTTCTTACAATTAGACACCACCATGCCCCTCCCCCACCCCGCAAGCTCATACTCATTGGCCACATGCCCCGCCTTCCCCACCAGACTTTGACCAAGCGACTTGTCACTGTTTTTTTTATTTATTTATTTTTTATTTTTTTGGTGAATGATGAGGGGGTTCCCTTAACCTTCAGAACCTCATACAATCCATCCTCCCTCCTCCTCTTTCCCCTTTTGCCCCCTTTCAATTTCCAGATGTGACAAGCTGGAGGGAGGGCGGTGGGCGAAACATAATTTCTGCCACGTCTCTGAGCGCCTCCCCAACTGAGCTGGGCAGCAGGAACTCGAGTGCGGGAGACGGAGCCCCCTCCTCGACATGTACCAGCGATTCTAAGGACCCCTCTCTACGCCCGGCTCAGCCTGTCCGAAAAGGGGCGTCACAGTTCATGGGAAATGTATACCACCCACCTACATACCATGACATGCTTCCTGCTTTTGTAAGTCTTCAGAGTGTGCATTTTTTCCCCCGTGAAGTTGGATTGTTCAGGTCCAGCAGGAACCTGCTTCAAGTGGGTGAATGTCCACCTTGGGTTCTTCACTCTGTGCCCTGATCCCTACTTTGGAGGTTTCCATTAGTTTTTTGTTTTCTCGCCCCCTTTTCAAATCTCAAGTGCCTTTGACTTCTTTTCCTGGTGATGTGGATATTATCTTAGCCTTGGTTCTTTGGAGAAAGGAGAGGCAGGTATGCCCCCAGACCAGGTCTCCAGATTTGCTTATTGATGGCAGGAAGGAAATGGGGGGAGATGGTGGTAGGATTAATTGGGAAACCCCAGGACTTGCCTGTTGGATTTTTTAACATTTTCCAGCTCCAAACAAATAATGATGCAAGTAGAACGCAAGAGTCTGGGTCATTGCTAGAAAATCCTGTTCGTTGGTGTTATGTTTCAGATGTGCTCACCACAGTCACCAGAGAACCAGGGTCCAGTGGAACGAGGGTCCTTCCCCCTTCCTCAGCTCCGTCTTGAACCCCGAGTTCCTTTTAGACAGTTCCAGATGAATGATCAGGATGGGTAAGGCTGTTGCACTTACAGTTACACACCAGAGGTTCCCCCTGGTGGTGATGCCGGGTGAGAGGATGGGCTTGTGGAGGAAGCCACTCGGGGTATCCTGACTGCAGCTCAGCCCCAGTGCGGGGGGCGGGGACTTGGGCCTGGACCAGAGAATGGCTCTGATTTTAAGGTGCTGGCAGAATTGAAGTTCTGGTCCATACCTATTGCTGCCACCCCTGCCATTAGCACTGAGCACGCGAGGCTGCAGAATGAGGGGAAACGTCCCTTTGGGCTGTATTTATTCATGTGAATTTCTTTTCAAAGGGGGTGACTTAAATATTAGCTGCAGCCTTGAACCTTTGCAATTGTAGGACTTACTGTTTGCAAAAGTGTTTGGTTTTGTTTCCATCGGTACACTTTACTCTTCACTCTCTCATCAGGAAAGAGAGCAGGCTGGGCACGACTCGCCCCGTCCGGCCGCTGAGGCAGCTGGTGGAGCGGGCGCCCCGGCCCACCATCGTCAACGCGGAAAACCTGAAGGGCCTCGATGACCTGGACACCGATGCCGACGATGGCTGGGCTGGTGGGTGCTGGGGTTTCCCGGGACTCACACCTGGGGTTCAGAGAGAAAGGCAGGTCTGTAGTGTGCGCCTACCCCCTCCACCAACCAGGCAGGAGGAGCCAGGCCGGCCGGTGTGGGCACGGGGGCCGCTGCCGGGGGGTCTGGCCCTGTCTTTTTAGAGCCGGGGAGACGTTTATTTCTCAGAGGTGCTTTTCATGATGAGAGAGTCACAACAGCCTCAGTGAGCACAGTTCCACCCTCCTGGCTCTTCTGCGATTCCTGTGTATTTTCGAGTAATGGTTGTGACACTGGAAGGCAGCTCTCTTCATTTTACAACTTTGACTACTAGAGTTGCTTGCGTACCACCTTTCCCAGCTCCGTCCAGATGGAGAACGTTGCCTCTACCACCTCAGGAAGCCCCCAGGCTTGGGGATCAGTGTCCCCTTTGATAAGTGGTGCCCAGGACCAGCCTCCTGGGCACTGCAGAGGCAGAGGGCCCTGCGGGCCGGGCTTGGTCAGGTTTGAGGTTGGGAGGCACACGCAGCTGCTTATAGTCGGTGGTGAAGCTGTCGTGCTTCTGTGAACAGCTGGGCGTGGAGCGCAGCCCGTGGAGGGGCTGTGCTGAAGGGCCCCAGGTGCTGGGCCTTGGGCTCCCAGCAGGGCCCTGAAAGCCACAGTGTTTGCATGTCGTCTTTAGCTTTAGCTGTGCTGGTGGGCGTGTGGTGGTAGCTCAGGGCGCCTGATTCACATTTTGCTGATGACTAACGATGTTGAGCACATTTTCGTGTGCTATTTGGCCCTGTAGGTCTTTTTTTTACTCTTTAACTCGGTGGCAGGCTGCAAGCTCATGGACACAGCCCCTGGTGACTTAGCGCTCAGGAGTGTTTCCCTGTGTCTACTTTTTTTTTTTGCTTTATGTTTGATAAGCAAAAGTTTTTAGTTTTGTGGGTTTTATGGTTATTACATTTCCAGCCTGTCCAAAAAAAAAAAATCTTCTCCCCACCCCCCCACCCCCCCGCCGTGGCAAAGATAGCCCCTTATGCTGATAGTTTTATTTATTTTTAATGATTTTTTTAAAGATTTATTTATGCATATAAGAGCTGGGGTACAGACCAGAGGTGTGGTGGGGGGTGAGAGGACTCACCAGAGACAGAGTGGGGAGCAGAACAGGCAGATCTACTGAAATACTGCTCCAGGGGAGCAGCGGGGAGACAGGAGAGGTCTGTTGGGCCATGTGGGTAGCTCCCTGGCCGGTTGGGAATCGAACTCATGCTGCAGAGGCTGCCGACAGCCTCACAGGTTGTGTCTTAACCCCTTATGCCACCAGGGGGGCCCTATTTTTAATGATTTAAACTTTTATTTTTGGGCCTGCAATCCATGTTGAATTTTTGTGTGTGGCATAGGCCAGGAGATGAGGTTTGATTTTTTTTTTTTCCCCCCCCAGAAGGATATCTAGTGGATGCGTTTCATTTATTGACAAAACTTTCCTGTTGAATTTTTTACCACCTTTATCAGAAGTCCCTCAACCATGTAAGCATGAATCTTATCCTGGGCCTGTTTGTTCTGTTGACTCAGTCGCCTGTGTCAGCACCACACTGGGAGTTTTCCGCTGCTTTTAATTTTGGTTGTGTGAGCTTTTCACCTTTGTCCTTCTTCAAGACTGTTGGACTAAGTCCCTTTCATTTCCTATGAATTTGAAATCTGATGTTGTTTTCCAAAAGTCTGGAGGCGTTTTCCTTAGGATTATTTTAAATTTATTTCTGGATGAATAATATCTTAGTTTTGACCCATCTGGGAACCTGGAGAATCTCTTGATTCAATCTTTTATTTCTCTGCACTGTTTATAGTTTTCATTGTTGAGGTTTTATTTTAATTTTTTAAAAAATACTTATTTATGCATAAAAGAACTGGGGTGTAGGCCAGAGGTACGGGCGGAGGGTATGTGTGAGAGGATTGACCAGAGATAAAGTGGGGAGCAGAACAGACAGATCTACTGAAATACACTGCTGAGGGGAGCAGTGGGCGAGACAGGAGAGGTCTGCTGCGCCCTGTGGGTAGCTCCCTGGCCAGCCGCGGGGCTTGAACTTGTGCTGCAGTGGCTGGTGATAGCTTGATAGTGCTGTCTTTAACCCCTGAGCTACCAGGGAGACCCTGTTGAGGTTTTAAACATTTCTTGTTCACTTTATTTGTAAGAAGTTTGTGTATTTTGGTAATATTATTAACGGTATTTAAAAATCTCATTTTTCAAATGTTTGATGTTTATTGTATTAAAATAAAGTTGACCTTTGTGTACTGCTCTTGTACTGCTTTGCTGAGTGTGTGTAGTAGTTTTTACTCATTTTGTTGATTTCTGAGTGTTTTCTATATAAGCCAGCATGCCACCTAGAAAGAGGAACAGTTTTATGTCTTCCTTTTCAGAGTCTGTGCTTTTTATTTTTGCCTTATTGCACCGTGATATTTCCAGCACAATGTTGGTTCACATACCTGACCTTAGGGAGAGAGTGCTTAGTGCTTCAGCGTTATGTGTGACGACAACTGTGGTCATTCAGGGGTGGCTCTTTAGCACATTGAGGAGGATCCTTCCTGTTTCTAAGTTTGCTGAATTTTTTTTTTTTTTTAAATAGAGGCATGTTTTTTATTTATTTATTTGTTTGTTTGTTTATACATGCAATGGGTACAGTCAGAAGCGCGGGAGGGCGAGAGAACTCACCAGAGCCAGAGCGGGGAGCAGAGCAGGCAGAAGGACCGAAGCACACTGCTGAGGAGAGCAGCGGGCGGCAGGAGAGGTCCGCGCGCCATGTGGGACCCTCCTCCGGTGGCCGGGGAGCAGCCGGGGATCGAACCGGCGCCACAGAGGCCGCGGGCAGCCTCGCAACCCAGCGCTCAACCACTGCGCCACCGGGGGGGTGGGGGTGGGGGGGGCCTGAATGTTTTTTTTTAAATCATGAACGGGTATTGACTTTTGTTAATTCTCTTGCCACTAGGACCATATGATTTCTTTTCTTTATTTTGGCAATCAGGTGGATTGTATTGATTTGGTATTTTTTGTTTTTAGCTAAACCAACTACTTTTGTAGGATGAGGCCCACCTTTTTGTATACCTAGGTTCAGTTTGCTGACATTTTACTAAGATTCTTGGTGTCTGTTCATGACAGACATTGGTCTGTAATTTCCTTTTAATGTCTGTCTTGAGTTATGATAACAGGTTATGCTGTGGGCTCAGGTGACTAGAAAATCATCTTTCTCTACTTTCTGAAAGAGTTTCTGCAAAATTCATGTTAATTCCTAAATGAATATATAAATTTCCCAGTGAAGCAATTTGGCCTTGGAGTTGTCTTTTTGGAGGCATCTTTGATAATAAATTTAATTATTTGGATTAGTTATGGAGCTGTTCAGATTACCTATATTATTGTTTTGTGTCTGTTTTTGCTAAATTGTGTTTTTCAGGGAATTTGTTAAATTTTTCTTGAATTGTTGAACTTACTAAGGACTTTGATAACACTGCTTTCTCTTTCGACTTCTGTGGGATCTGTAGTGTAGACCCTTGTTCATTCCTGGTAATTTCATATTTTTTTTCTTGTCCACTTCTGCCAAGGGCTTTTTAGTTTTATTAATCTTTACAAAAAGAGACAGCTTTTTGCTTTAATTCTCTCCATTGCTTGAGTGTTTTCTATTTCATTGATCTGTTCATTTTAATTTTGAGGCTTTCTAGATGTTTATGGAACTTTATAGTCAGCAACTCCACTAATGTGATTTCAGTTTTCTGCAACTTATTGAGACTTGTTTTATGACCAGGATGTGGTCTGTCTGAGTGAGTATTCCAGGTGCATTTGAAGAGACTTGTCCTACCACTGTTGGACAACTCGTGTGAGTGATGTCCTTGGTCAAGGTTCTTCACAGCGTCCTTCAGATCCTGCCTCACACTTCCTGGTCTTTTTGTCTAGTCCTGGCAGGTACTGGAAATGAGGTGTTACACTCCACTGTAGTGTGGATTTGTCTGTTTCTTTAATGCTATTGGTGCTTGCTTCTGTTTGAAGGCTTTTTTAGGCACATGCATGTTTCTAGTTTTCGTGGCTCTCTGGCCCTTTGTGTTATCTGCAGATGTCCTTTGTTTCTAGCAAAGCTTCTCGTCCTAGAGTCTCTTTTGTCCTATATAAATGTCATGGCTCTAGCTTTAATTATTCAGTGTGTTCGTGGCTTCCCCCCGTCATTTTTCTTTAGGCTCGTTTGTACTTAGATTCAAAGTGATTCTCTAGCGGGCAGGATGTAGCTGCACTTGCTTTTCCTCCCAGTCCAGCTCTGCCTTTTAATTGGGTTGGAATCTTTGTTGTCATTCTCCTTTAAAAAGATTTGATTCACATGACAGATTTTCATCTGACCTAAAATTCACCTTTCAAAGCCAACAGTCCACTGATTTTTATCATACTCACGCATTTGTTTATCCATCACCACTGCATCAACTGCTGTAGCAACCCCATGCCCATTAGTAGTCACACCCGCTGGGGCAGTAACCTGCTTTCTTCTCAGGTTTGCATACTCTGGACACTTCACAGAAATGGAATGACAGTAGAATTTGTGGCCTTTCATGTCTGCCTTCTCTCACTTAGCCTAATGTTTCCAAGGTGCATTGTGTTGTAGCAGGTGTCAGTGTTTTTTTATGGCCAAATACTGTTTCATTCTGCGGACTTGCCACAGGTGGTGACACTGCTTGCCACCTGTGCTGCTTGGGGTTGGGCGTGTCCTGAGGCATAATGCTAATTCGTCAGAGTTCATTGGTGGATTGCTGGGGTGGACCCCTCTCCCTTATGCTCTTGATTCTGCGCACTCCTGCCCCTTCTAATTTTAATTATTTGGTCATGACTTACGAGTCGTCCTCTGTGGAAGCCTCCATTGCTGTTGCCAGAAGCCAGACGTGCCCTTGGCTTTTCTCTGCAGTGTGTATTCTGGCGGCTGGGGTGGCTTTGCTCCTCAGCTGGGTCGGCGGTCTTCCTTCCTGGAGCAGCTCTGCCGTAGCGCTGTGAGCACTAGTGAGGCTCTCACTTTTCCCCTCCCTCCGCTCCTCTGCTGCAGGCCTTCATGAGGAAGTGGACTATTCCGAGAAACTGAAGTTCAGTGATGACGAAGAGGAGGAAGAAGTGGTGAAGGATGGCAGACCAGCATGGTAAGGATCCCATCCTGTCTGGGCATGGTTCCACTTACGGGGCACTGATGCATTGCTGCTTACCGGCACTGTCATGAGCGTCACCGTGCTTGTGCACTTCCTAGTTGTCCCAGCAGCTTCACAGGGACACACAGGTTTGCATTTTGCAGGTGAGCGGACAATAGCAGGTGAGGACTGCTGTTCAGGAACGGAGCCGGGATTTGCGCCGGTCATGGCTGGCTGAGTGTGCAGTCTTGACCCGCTGTGCCAGCACTTACCCACGTGTCGTAGAGACCATGTTTCTTGCGGCATATGCATTTTGGACTTGGCTGTCTTGGATTAGCTGGAACCAAGGCAACCTTAGATTGAGGGTTCTCCAACCACCTCCTCCTGACACCACCTCCTCCTCTTGTGATGGTCACGGAGCTGGTGGATGATTTCAGGTTCCCAGAGACTCCAACTTTGAGCTTCTGAGTCTTCTTTGACATCTTTATTTCCTCATTCTCCATGGAGTTCTGAAACTATCTGTGACTCCATCTCTTCCTCTTAATTTTCTCTGAGGCAACCGGGATCGCCCTCTTTGTTTCTGGAACATTCCACAGTTCTTCGCTTGTCTTCGTCTTGCCCTCTCTCTTCCTGTTCATTCAGCCTGCACCTTAGTCATCTTCTAAGAACACATTTTTCTGGTGGATCTAGGTGTGGTTGCCACTCTCACAATGCAGCCAAGGTTCCCGGCAGTTGTCACTCTGTCTCCTAGTTCACCTTCCCTTTCCCTCATGTCTCTGTGTGTGCATGGACAGACACGTGCCCCTTGGCCCAGCCTGACTCCTGCTCGCCTCTGAACCCTGCTGTGTTCACCAGGCACCTCTTGTGCAGAGATGTCAGTTCATGCGCTCCCAGGCCCACACTGTCTACACTGTGGCCTGTGGAGTGAGCGCTGCCTAGATTGCCCTTCTTTCCCAGCCTGTCCACAGCCCTGCGTGGCTGTCTCCTTTTCCAGGCTGTGGTGCACTGCCTTTCTCCTCAGGCGGCTTGTCACAGCGCCACTGGGTGGGCTCTCTCCTGCTGTTCTGAGAGAATGTGTTGCGTGCCCTGTGGAGTAAGGAGGAGGACTTGCATCTGAGAGTCCTGGGTTCACATCAGTTAGCTTCTCCTTGTGAGAACAGTTCCCCAAGCTCTCTGAGACTCGGTTGTGAAATCTTTAAAATGGGAGTGAGGACTTTTTTGCAGTAAGTTAAATAAATGGGTGTGAAACATCCTGCCTGGAACTTTGTGTGCAAGAGGGACTTGGCAGATGTCGGTGCTAACTTTGGTGTTCTGGGCATGTCCTCTCTTCTGTAAGAGGGCTGGGCCATCCTGATGAAGGGAATTGAGGACAGGCCACTACTTTGGTGTTCCCAAAGGCCACTGGCCAGTGAGAGCACTAACACTGACCCAATTTGTCTTAGGAACAGCTGGGACCCTAGAAGGCAGCGGCAGCTGTCCCTGAGCTCTGCAGACAGTGCTGATGCCAAGCGCACCCAGGAGGAAGGAAAGGACTGGGCTGAAACAGCAGGCATGACCCGGGTGGCCCGGAAGGTGCCAGAACCTCAGCCACTTTCCAGGAAGATTCACAGCTGGGCTGCAGGCCCTGATTACCAGGTAACTGGAGCACTGGAGGGTTCTGTGCTGTGGGACAGATGCGCACGTGCATGCACGAGTCCTTCGGGTTAGTAGTCACCTCTGTTCCAAGACAGGTGACCACAGGCCATCCACTAGGCTGTAACATGGGTTCATGGTTGCCCCAGCTTGGTGCCTGAATTGCTAAAACCTCCTATAAGTGGACATTATAATTTTTTAATTGAATATGTCTTTAAAAAAATTGAAATAGTCATAAACTTGTAGAAAAATACAAAGTCCAAAGACATCACAAAGAGTATTTTTCCTGAGCCGTTTGAAGAGCAAGTGGGCTGATCGGGCCCCATCAGCACAGAGTACGTTGCTGTTCCCCACTAAGATGATGCTCCTTTTTGGAACCACTATCTGGCCCTCCAGTCCCCTTTAGCTTTGACCAGTCGTCCCGTTGACTCCCTTTGTACAGAGAACCCCTTCCGGAACTTGGGGCCCACTGCCCTGCCCCCTCCTCCCCTTCATCAGAGGTGGCTGCTCATCTCCATTAGCTCCATGACTTTGGCAGGCTGGAAAACTGCATGCTGCTTGCTTTGTGGGGCGCCCGTCAGACTGGGTTGGTCCCTTGCGTCTTCACGGTTAGGTTCAGGGTTCCCCCTTTTGGCTCGAATCTCTCGGAAATGAAAGGACTCTGGGCATCCTATCAGGTGACGTGAGTCTGCTTGGCCCATCTGGTGACCTGCCCATGGGCCTCCTTCTCAGGGTGGTGTCTGCCAGGCTTCACGCCAGAGTTGCTCTCGTCTGCATTTGTAGTTCAGAAGAGCTTGCAGGAGGCGCGGAGCCCGTCAGTGCCTTGCTCACCCCTCCCCGTGTGTGCCGAGCAGTGCGCCATGCCCGTGGCTGGCATGGTTTGGGAGCTCGGGCTGTCCGGGCGGGCTGTTAGGAGCATCTCCAGCCACGTCCACCTTGTTCATTCTCATTTCCATCTTCTTGTGGGCCGCTCCCTTTGTCTGTTGGGGCGCCCTTTCCAAGCTCACCTTGTCCTCAACCTGCCTGGACTGCGATTGAGCTTTTCTATTCCAGGTCCACAGTGTGGGCGCTGGCGCTGGCTGGGTGCTCTTGGCACACTGGCAGGACCTTACTCTTAGGAAACCTCCATCCCACTGGGACAGCGGCAGGATTTGTTCTGGAGGTCTCCCGAGAACGATTTTCTCCAACAGGAGTTGTCCCTAATGCTCATGCTTGCTTGTCAATCCCCTGCCCCCACCACTGCTCTCCCTTGCAGATGTGGGCGCCCCGAAGGATGCCCATCCCACTGGGCCCGCCCCCCTGGGCTGTCTGCCCCTGTGAGTTTCCCGCCACGCAGCCGCCCTCCTTGCACCCCCTGCTGGGACTCTGGCGCTGTGGCCTCTGTGCCCAGGAGCCCTCGCGACCATGGGACCGATTTGCTGAGGAGGGGCAGAGTCCGGGAGGAGGAAGGCGTTGCTTTAGGTGCACTTGGTGTTCATTTATGCTCTTGGGAAGTGCCCTTGATTAATCCAGACTTTCATTCATGTGTGAGAGTTGCTCGGTGCTCATAAAAGGTTTTGCTCTGATCTCTTCATAACACCACCTCCAGGTAACTGAACTAAGATAAAATCTTTATGATATTATGCATCCAAATTTCTGAAAAGGTTGTTGTAGTTCAGATACTTTGCAGAACAGTTACCCTGCCTCTTCAGGTTTTTAGGGAGGTGCAGCAGATGTTTGGACAATGGACACCTCCTCTGTGAGTCTACGGTTTCATTTCTTGAAAACTCTGAAGGAAGTAGTGGACATGCTTCAAGTTTGCCTGCAGGGCATGTGGGGCCCTGGGGTGAGGTGCAGACTAGCGTGGGGCAGAAGGAATTGCTGACGGTGACGTGAGAGGGCAGCGCCCACTCTGGCCCCAGTTACGTGTGTGTGCGCTCAGTTCCTAGCCAGACAGTGAGGGCTTTCTAGACGCATTGTTTGTAGTCACTTAATCATTGCAGTAACTGTCTCTGGGTTAGGAGAAGTTAATTTTTAGGAGAAACCTCATTGACTGTGAGCAGCGTGTGGCGTGCCATTTTGTGGAGGCAGCATGAACATGGGGGAGGTGGAGGTCTTGTTCCTGGCGTGTTCTGACGACTAGACACTGGAGCACATGAGAAGTGCGGCGCCGGCGTGGCTCTCTGCCCCCGCCTGAGCAGCAGTGCGGGTGCCCACTTTGCAACGGGGTGGTTGTCTCGTCACTGGCAACCCATGAGCGCCTCAAGGTAGATAAAATACCCACGGGATATTTTGGGAGATGCTTTCTTTTTTCATATAAAGGATCACTTTGAAACTGATTCTGAATTTCATCTTCTAATGCTTTATAGCCAGAGATTTATATTTCTTCACAGTGGAAGGTGTCAGTTTTGTGATGAGGAAGGGCTGTGCCTGGCTTGTTTGCCCATTGTGTGCGGAGCAAGCCTTGCTGCTCTGAGCGCGCCCTTTGTCAGCCATGTGGCTTCCTGGTCCCCTGGCTCCCAGAGAGGGCACAGACAGAGCAGCGGGCAGCACAGGCTCAGCCCTAGGACTGCCCATTGCATGACTGTACTGCTCCTTGGAGGGGCTCTGGGCCTTGGGGCGGGAGCAGAGGCCAATGACGGGGTGCTCCTCTGCTGAGTGTTTGACCTGCCGCCTCATCAGAGACTTTCTATTCCTGGCAGAAGTCCTCAGTGGGCGCCGTGTTCAGGCAACAGTCTGTAGAGGACAAAGAGGACAAGCCCCCACCACGGCAGAAGTTCATCCAGTCTGAGATGTCTGAGGCTGTGGAGCGAGCCCGGAAACGCCGGGAAGAGGAGGAGCGTCGAGCCCGGGAGGAGAGACTGGCTGCCTGCGCTGCCAAACTCAAACAGCTGGACCAAAAGTGCAAGCAGGCTCAGAGGGCCAGCGAGGCCCAGAAACAGATGGAGAAGGAAGCCCCCCGATCTCCAGTAACCGAGAAGCTGCCCCCACAAGAGAATGGCCCTGCTGTGCGCAAAGGTAAGAGGCGGGCCCTCCACCCATGGACTGGAGACCCTGGGCTGGGCTCACTGATTTGCTGTTTGCATCTCCCTTCTGAGTGCACCTGTGGCCTGCACCTGACCTGTATTCAGAAGCGTTGTCACCAGTGTCCAGCTGGGACACATTTCTGGGTTCACATCCCTTTCTAGCTGCTGAGACTAGCTGGGCAGGCACCTCAGCCTCTGGAGACTGTGGGCTAGACTAGCAGGAACCTGCCCGCACCCTGAGGGCCACTTGAGGCCATGTGCACAGAGCTCATGTAGGGACGCGCGCCCCTGCCGAGGGGATGTTGCCAGTTTGTGCTGCTGTTACTGCTCCCTCTGCTAACAGGGGCTCAGTGCCAGAGGCAGGAAGCACAGAGTCCTTGCATGTGACAGGCAGCGGCTGCCCACTTGTGTGAACGCCTGGTTCCTGGCATGGGTTCTGAAAGGAATGGGTCACGTGCTATGGGGAGGTGCTGGACAGTGCTGCCACCACATCTCTTATAGCGGCTTTATTTATAAGATTTATTTATGCATAATGAGCTGGGGTGCAGGCCAGAGATGTGGGGTGTGAGAGGACTCACCAGAGACAGAGTGGGGAGCAAAACAGGCAGATCTACTGAAATATACTGCCAAGGAGAGCTGTGGGGAGACAGGAGAGGTCTGCTGCGCCCTGTGGGCAGCTCCCTGGCTGGGGACGAACTCGTGCTACAGTGGCTGCAGACAGCTTCGTAGTGCTGAGACTTAACCGCTTGCGTCACCAGGGAGGCCTCTTATAGCAGCTTTAAGTAACACAGGCAGCTGTGTTCTGTAGACCAACTAAAACCAAGTCTTTCTACAAGAGAAGGGCCTGATGACAGTTTTGGTCCCTGGCAGCTTTTTGGGTGAGGGTGTTCCCAGCAAGCACCCTCAGTTGGTGACTCAGAGAAATCTTGGACAGTCGTCCTAACGCTGACATAGGAGTGAAACCCGCTCAGCTGTGCAGTGCTTGCTGGGACCTGGTGGCGGTATGTCGGGAGGTTGATGGCCGCGGTGTGTACAGGGTCCCTCCACGCTGGTCCTCAGAGTGGGCCTGGTGTGTGTGTGCCCACTTGGCCCTACCCTCTCAGCGCGCCTCCGGTGCACTGCTGGGCGCTAAGGCTGTGCTCCTGGGCGCTTTGCTCTCAGTGTTGGAATTAAGACTGTAAATGTCAGGCATACATCAATAAAACTGGAAAAGCAAAGTGAAAAATGTACTAAGCTGGGAAGAAGGGCATTTCAGAGAGACTGTGGGTGGGAAGTTGTGCTGAGCGTTGTCCACACATTGGGCGCTGCTCTTGTGGCTGTCTCCTTTGCCCTCATGGCTGCCCCGTGGGCTGGGCACGGTGGTCCTGACTCAGATGGAGAGGCTGGCAGGCCGTGTGGTCATGGCCGTGAGCTCTGGCTAAACTCCAGCTTAGCTGTCTCTGCCTTGCCCAGGTCCTGAAATTTTCAGTGCCTCCTCCCCCAGCTCTGCCACTGCTCAAGTTATCTGAGGCTCTGGGCCTACCCTCTGGCTTTGTTGTTTTCTCACCTCTAAAGTGATGGCAGGTGCTGGGGTCCAGAGATCATGCTCAGTGCTGGGATTGGGGGTAAATGGTCCAGTTGTGGGCTGTAGGTGCCAGCAGAGGCATCTGCTGTGAAACCTCTGGTCAGCCATGCTTTTGTGAGCTCACCACGGCCATTTCTCTGGCTGTTTGTTCTCCAGGCTCCCCCGAGTTCGCTGCCCAGGAAGCCCCTAGCACGTTTGCTGAAGAAGCCCCTGCAGCTCCTCCTGCTGTGGCTCAGAGCAGTGGCAGTGAGGAGGGGGCCCCAGAGGCAGGGTCCCCTGCTCAGGAGCTCAGCAAGTACCAGAAGTCACTTCCTCCCAGATTCCAGCGCCAGCAGCAGCAGCAACAGGTAAACAGGGCGTACAGAGAGTGTCGTAACAGGCCTGACCACCTCGCCCTTCCCACTTCTTTCTTCATTGAAAACCAGCCAGAGGCATCGCCCTCAGGTACGCAGTCACCTGCAAGGATGTCAGGAGTTGCGCCTCCAAGCTATGGCTTAGATAGACGAGCTCTGGGGTTTCTCCTGTCCGTGTGGAAAATTGGTGTTTGTTTTTCTTGATCTCGGTGTCTGTCCTGCTGAGGAGATGGGCAGCATGTGCACTGGACTAGGCTTCGTGAGGCTGCAAGAGTGTATTCAGAGCCCCACAGGGGCCGGCCATTCGACCTGGAGGAGAGTGGTCTGGGACAGCTGTCAGAGAGGCCCCCGTGCTTTGGATGAAGGGGGTGTTGAGGCATGCGGCTATGGGTGCTGATCCTGGTGGTGCGGCTTGTTCTGGTGAGTGTGGCCTTGGGCAGGTCTACACCAGCCAGGAAGAATGAACAACCTGCCTCTCGCCACCGCGGTGGGAATTTGTGGTGCCTGTGAACTGTTGTCAGCGGTATTGATGTATAAAGCTTACATGGGAACCTGCCTTTGGCCCTGGAGGTCATGTGGGGTGGGGTGGTCATCTCTGCTCTGTGGTTCTGGTCATCTGGCCAGGAGGGAAGCCCCCTGGAGGGGCACGCTTCTCCTAGTGAGCAGTGTGTGTCGTGGGAAACCGGAGTGGTTAACGACATTCCTCAACTGCGCAGCCAGCGGTGCAGTAAGTTACTAGTTATAACTGAACAGTCTGCGAAGTGCAGTGTGCCCTGTGTAAGGAAGTCACGGTCTCATGCCTTATCTCAGACTGTGGTTGCCTTTAAAACCCTCAGCCCAGGTCCTGCTTTCCTTGGCCTCCTTGGGAGCTGCCCTGCGGGTTCCTGGGGTGTGGGAGAGAGTGCTGATGAGGAGCATGTAATCCTCTGGGGGGCAGTCACCTCGTGGGCTGGTCACGTGGTGTGAACGTGGTCCCTCCTTCTTTAAAGAAGAAAGATCTGCTTGGTCCGGGCAGCATCCCGCGGAGTCTGCCAGATGGGCTGTCTGGCCGGCTTCCCTGGGGACCTGTGGTCTAGACAGAAAGAGGTGCTGCGGGTAGAGGCTGCAGCCCCTGAGCGAGCTGGCGGCCCGCGCTCAGTGATCTTGCCGATGTGCTCAACTGGAAGGTGCTGGTCCAGTGACTCAGGTCCAGGCCGGGTTTGGGTCAGCAGGCTGACAGGACAGGACCTCCTGGTCGCAGTGGGGAGGGTGTGACCGGGTCAGCCCTGGCGGTCACTCAGGCCGGGGAGCAGTGTCTGAAATGAACCCAGACTGGGCGCAGGTGCTTGGCTGCGAATGTCCTATGGGTGTTTATTGTGTTCATCCTTTTGAGTGGTGAATTTTCCACCCACCACATCTGGTAGCAGGGGCAAGGACACTTTGAGCTTGGCATGCAGTCTCTAAGGAGTCAGTGAGGGAGCAGCCGCCAAAGGCGAAGCAGCGCAGTGATGCTGAGCACCGGGCCCTTCCTGGGGCGTGCGGCGGGCTCCCCGGGGGAAGTGCTGCTTGAGCAGAACTGCAGCTAGAGGAGGGGGAGCTGGTGTGGTTTAGAGGGGAGAGGAGCTTCTCTGGCATGGGCTGGGGTAGGCAGACATGTGAGGGGGAGGTGGAGCGGCAGGTAAGGGCAGGAGCCTCAGCACTCTCCGTGTCACATGTGGCCTGTGGTAGATAAGCACCCAGCCATTCCAGGGGTGTGTGGGGTCCAAACGCAGACCACCTGGCCTATGCAGCAGAGGAGCATGTGGTTCGGCTGTCGTCCTCTGGACCACCCCTGCAGTTGTGGGGAAGGGGTGCGGCCTGGAGGCTGCCATCCATGGGACTGTCCCTGACTGGCTGCTCCCCCCCACCCCACAGTATGCTGTGCTGAGTGGGTACCTGTCTGATACTCCTGGCTCACCGGCTCTCTCCCTGGCAGGAGCAGCTGTACAAGATGCAGCACTGGCAGCCCGTGTACCCACCGCCCTCCCACCCGCAGCGCACCTTCTACCCACACCACCCCCAGATGCTGGGCTTTGATCCCCGGTGGATGATGATGCCTTCCTACATGGACCCGAGACTCACGCCCACTCGGACCCCCGTGGACTTCTACCCCTCAGCCCTGCACCCCTCGGGTAAGCCCTGCTCCAGCGCCGGGAGAGCTCCACCCTGAGGGTGTTGCCTCAGGAGTTAGGCCCACCTGGATTCCAGTCTGGCCCCTTCCTCCAGTTACACAACCAGTCTGAACCTCACCGTCCATGTTTGCAAAATGACTTTGCACAAAGAATTGAGACAGGCACTAAAAATTGCTCTCATTAATTTTTATGTCTGTTACATCCTGTGTCCTTTCCATTCTTGCTGTTCCATGTGCCTTTTCTTCCCATCCTTAGTCTCTCCCGGGATTCGTCTGTTCGATTTAAAAGCAGCTTTTGGTGTCTTGACTCATCTTTCGTTTGGTTTTTATTTCACGTATTTCTGCCTTTTCCTCCTCATTCTGCTTCCTCTTCCTCGCCTGTGTTGTTCTCTCGGGCTCCAGAGGCAGACTTTGCCGATGTTGTCAAGTGTCACCCGAGCTGTGGACTCCTACAAGGGTTCAGCTTTATTACGGTGTAATTCTAAGTGCTAGTCTCACTTTTTTGATGATTTTTAATGGTGTGTTATAAATTTTCAAAATACAGAGTTTTAAGCTGAACTTTGTGTTGTTCATTTCTCATGTAGCTGCATTGTGGGCCAATAATGGTCTCTGTGCTACAGATTGGGGTCCGCAAGCTTTTCTTGTAAGCAGGTAGTAAGTATGTCAGGGTAGAGCAGCTACTCAGTTTTGCTCTTGTGGAATGAAAACGGACACCGGCAGTGATGCGTGGGTGAGTGGGGCTGTTTCCAGTAAAGCTTGAGTTGAAAAGCAGGTGCAAGGTGGGTTTCTCTCCAGGCCTGTCATGGGCTGCCCCGTCCCAAGCTGTGCTGCTTAGTCGTCGTCCAGGCTTTTCTCTGTGGGCTCTTAAGTGGTCTCTGTTCCAAAAGTCTGTTTGCTGAATGAAACGTGTGCATTCTCCAGTTTGATGTGGTTCATTACATTGAACTTCTTGATTCTGGTGTACAGTAATCTGTGATTGCCATAGTTTTTAACACCCTCGATCAGTTACTAAGACGCGTGTTTAAACCTGCCACCTGTGGGTCCTGTGTCACTTCTGCTTTATATCTGGGGGCGGCCGGCGACTTGTCCCTCCGTCATCATAGTCACAATGATGAGCATGCTTCCTGTTTGCTTTGCCATCGTTCCAGCTTCCTTTTTTTTTTTTTTCCCAAAAGATTTGTTTATTTTTATACAGGAACCGGGGTATAGGCCAGAGGCGCGGGAGGGTGAGAGAATTCACTAGAGACAGAGTGGGGAGCAGAACAGGCAGACTGAGGAAATACACTGAGAGGAGCAGCAGGCGAGACAGGAGAGGTCTGCCGCGCTATGTGGGACCCTCGCTGGCCGGCCGGGATTGAACCTGCACTGCGGAGGCTGCGGACAGCTTCACAGTGCGGTGCTCAACCGCCTGCGCCACCAGGGAGGCCCTCCTGTTTTCTTTAGATTAACATTTATTTGGGATTTCCCCTGCCCCCCAACTTTTTACTGTCAGTGTCTGAGCCTTTTCTTGGGGAGTGTGTCTTTGTAGGTACAAGATGTTTGTGGTTTTATCTGCTCTGAAAAACCTGTAACTTTATTGCTTTTGTATTTATTTAATGGCTCTGTTATATTCAGGTTCCTGCTGTCTGTTTATCCTCCTTTTCTGTGCTATTTGTCTCTTACTTTGCTCGGATCAGATCCCCCTGCTCTCTGGTTCTGCTGTGCTGGTGGTCACGTTAGATGCTGATGTGCACCCCCACCACAGCAGGCAGTGTCCTCGCCCTTGTGCTGGCCCCTCCTCCCTCAGTCTCACTGATTCTTTCAGCCTAGAGGTTTAGCTCTGCTGCCTTTTTTTTTTTTTTTTTTATAGAGGCATGTTTTTATTTATTTGTTCGTTTGTTTCGTTTATACATGCACTGGGTACAGTCAGAAGCGCGGGAGGGTGAGAGAATTCACCAGAGCCAGAGCAGGGAGCAGAGCAGGCAGAAGGACCGAAGTACACTGCTGAGGGGAGCAGCGGGCGGCAGGAGAGGTCTGCGCACCATGTGGGACCCTCCTCTGGTGGCCGGGGAGCAGCCGGGAATCGAACCGGCGCCGCAGAGGCTGCGGGCAGCTTCGCAACCCAGCGCTCAACCGCTGCGCCACCTGGGAGGCCCCTCTGCTGCCTTTTTATGCCCACTGCCCCCCGCCCCCAAGTCAGTCATTGTACTTCTGCGCTTGCTCAGATTTGCCTTTTTGCTCCCTAGGTTTTTTTGCTGCTTTTTTCTTCTTCCGGTTAGGTTCAGTTTGTTTGTGAAGTACATTCTTTTGAACTCTTCAGGAAAGTCTTTGGCAGTAGATTTTCTTTGCCCCCAAAAAGTCTTTGTCCACCTTTCTCTTGAGTGGTGGTGCAGGTGGGCGTGGAACCCCAGCTTAGCAGCTGTGGTCAGTGCTGAGAAGCTAGTGTCCACTTTCTGCTGCTCCTTTCACTACTGAAAGTCCAGTCATCCAGGGATGAGCCACTCTTTTCTCTCTGCACTTAAGGTCTCTTTGTCTTTGATTTCCTGTACTTGTCTTGGTGGGTTGTGTCTGCTTATGGGTCCGTGTTCTGCTTAGAACTTACTTCGTTCAGATCCAAGGATGTCTTCATCCATTCTGGAATATTCTCTTTCAACGATTGTTTAAGGAATATTGCTTTTCCTCATTCCTTTCATCCTAGGACTCCCACTAAGGTTATTTCCTGTCCTCTCATTCTGTCTTCTGAGCCTCCTACATGTGTGAGAGGTTACATGTGTGAGAGGTTATCTCAGAGCTGCCTTCTGGAAGATTCCTCAGAACAATTTTTCAGTTTTATTTTCTCTTCAGCTGTGCAGATCTTTTTTCTTTTTTTAAACTGTGTAGTGAGTTGTTATTACTGAAATTTTCCCCCCTCAAATCTGTTGTTATTTTCTTGTGTCTTTCTTTATTGACATAGCCCTTCTTTTGTGCCTTTAGCCCTTTTAAACATTTCCTAGTGCATTAGGGCGTGCCCTGTCTTGGGTAGCTGTGTGACCTATGGCCCTGCTAGGGCTCGTGGTCCTTCTGCTGGTGTTGTGGTGACTGGAGAGTTAGTTCATCCAGCAGAGCTCTCTACCTTCCCGTTTGCCTTTTAGTAGCCCTTTGGGCATCTGTGTCTTCAGCAGCGCCTCGGCTGTGGCTCCCTGCCCTGTGCAGCCAGGCTTCCCGTTCTCTGCGGGTTAAAGACCAAGCCTCAGGCTCCTCGGCCTGAGCCCCTCAGCCATGCCCCACGAAGCAGCAGCTTGTGCCTTGGGGTGAGGGTAGTGAGGGTTCCTGTTTTCTTGGGGACACAGCTCTGCATTTGTGGCAGGAGGGCCTCCTGGTAATCAGGCTGCCACCTGCCAGGAACCTGTAGAGGTGAGTGTGGCGCAGTGGGGCAGTGTGGGTCCTTTGGCTGAGACCCTCCAGGCTTCCAGAGAGGCCTGGCCCATTTTGACTAGCGGAGCATAAAGATCATAGCCTTTGAACAGTGTGTGTTCACTCCCTGCCTAAAAAGAAAGACTAAAACACTGGCCTGTTTTCCTGGCTTAAAATACGGCCACAGGGAGATTCCCACATGGCGTGGCAGACCTCCTGTCATGCCCGCTGCTCCCCTCAGCAGTGGATTTCGGTCCTTCTGCCTGTTCTGTTCCCCGCTCTGCCTCTGGTGAACCCTCTCACCCTCCCGCCCCTCTGGCCTGTACCCCAGCTCTTGTATAAAAATAAAATTAATCTTTAAAAAAAAAAATTGGGCAGACAAAAAATTTTGGCTCTCTGAGCTTTGTGAAGAAAGTATTTGAAAGTCAGATTTTTTTCCCCCACTGATACAGGCCCATTGAGACTTTACTGTCACCTGCCCTAGCCTGACCTTGTCATTCCAGTGAATGGACACAGAGACGAGAGGGCCTGGTTTCCCTGGTAGGATGAGATGGCATCCTTACAGTGCTCTCCTTACCCTGCTCTACTCGGGCAGTTAGCATTTATGGTCATTGGTGTGTGGCAAAAGTGGCCACCATTGCTGCTGGTCTTGGGATTTGGAATAAAAGGCATTAGAACCAAAATTTCTGAATCTTATTCAGAATTCTTTCTGAATCTTACCTGGATCTTGAACTGGTGGCTGCCAGCTCCTCATTCTGTGTGGTCCCACTGTCTGGGTCTCTGTGCAGAAAATCTTGAGGCCTCCAAGGACACACAGGTTCTAGAACCACTGCTGACCCACCGGCTCCTCTAGCTCCTGGCCACATGATGACCCATCTAGCTGGAAATTTCTGGTGTCCGTTTGCCAGTTTTACACCTCTTCCCTTCCACACAGGGACTTTTTTTTCCCTAAAGGTTAATTTATTGTTACATATAAGAGCTGGGGTGTTGGCCAGAGGTGCAGAGGATTCACCAGAGGAAGGATTCACCAGAGACAGAATGAGGAACAGAACAGGCAGATCCACTGAAATACACTGCTGAGGGGAGCAGCGGGGAGACAGGAGAGGTCTGCTGCGCCATGTGGGTAGCTCCCTGGCCGGGGATCCATTTTGTGTTGCAGGGGCTGCAGATAGCTTCATATGTACTTGTGAAGTACATTCTTTTGAACTCTTCAGGAAAGTCTTTGGCAGTAGATTTTCTTTGCCCCCAAAAAGTCTTTGTCCACCTTTCTCTTGAGTGGTGGTGCAGGTGGGCGTGGAACCCCAGCTTAGCTGAGACAACCCCTTGTTCCACCAGGGAGGCCCCCACAGGGACTTTTAATGCAGGAGCTAAGATTGACTTGCATAGGCTTTGAACAGCCCTCTCAGAAAAGACCCGGAGGCCCATGAGGTTTAGGCAGGTAGGGTGCGTGTCACACAAGAGTGGGCCCTGATTGGGGGGTATAGCTCTGTGGATGCAGTGATGCTGATGGGTCTTCTGCCCCCTCTCAGGACTGATGAAACCCATGATGCCCCCTCAAGAATCCCTCGGTGGGACTGGCTGCCGCTCTGAAGATCAGAACTGCATCCCTCCGCTCCAAGAAAGAAAAGTGGCTGCCATTGATCCGGCCCCTGTGTGGAGCCCAGAGGGCTACCTGGCTCTGCAGAGCAAGGGCTACTCCCTCCCTCACCCCAAGTCCAGCGATACCTTGGCCATGGACATGCATGTCAGGTGAGACAGAACTTGGTCCTAGTGACCTGCAACCCAGGAAGAACTCCAGGTTCTAATTGAGTGGGCTCTGGGTGCAGCCCTTCCCAGGAGACACTGTTGGAGGGAGAGGGGCTCCTTCAAAAGGGTGCTGGTGCCCTCTGTGGGGGAGCATGTGAGGAGTGCTCGATGCTTTTGTGGGAGCGGCTCTTACCTGATGGCGGGACTTGAAGGCAGTGGAAAAATCCTGGGGTCAAAGGCCAATCTCAGCTGAACCTTGGGGGGGGCATGGGTAGGTGGAGGCCTTGCAGGGCAGGTGGGGTTGAGAGTCATGGCTCTTTCCTGTGAAAGTAAAACAAAGTCAGCTGGCCCCTGCCGGCCCAGGCCCAGATGCTCTGCGGACTCCCAGGCTCCAGCGTGTTCTGTGCACCCAAGGATCCCAGCTGCTCTCTGTCTCCGGGGTGGCCCGCCGAGTCCACCCAGCAGCCACTGCGTCTTCACTCTCTGGACTCCAGGGCCACCGACCAGCCGTGGCCCAGCCGCTCTGAGACCCCTTCAGAGATAGAGCAGATGTTGGTGCTTGTGTTTTTTTTTGTTTTTGTTTTTGTTTTTCCTTTTTCTTTAAAAAAATTTTTTTTTTCTTTTTAAAACTAAGCTCTGTTTTCGTTCAGCATGGAAGCCAGGAACCAGGCTCCAATCACATTGACTGCTTTTTTTCTGGTTCCTTTTCAGGAATGAATGCTCTTACTCTGCCTCACCCGGAAGGTCCGGGGGCGTAAGTGCCCAGCGCGATCTCCTTGAGGAGAGAGGGGAGGAGTACTTGAGTGCTTTTGACAAGAAGGCCCAAGCAGACTTTGACAGCTGTGTCTCTTCTCAAAGAATAGGCCAGGAGCTTTTGTTTCCACCCCAAGACAATGTTCAGGAAGCAGGTGCTCCTGGGGGTCACACCCCAAACCTCCGGTGTTCCCCCCTGGAGCCTGACTTTGCCCCAGCTGAGAAAAAGCCAGAGTTTAGCAATTGGGATGTCAGCCACCCTCCAAAGGCCGCTGACACAGCCAGCAGTGTCGAGAAGGAGGCGCCCCGGGAGGGGTCAGCCTTTAACAGCTCCTGGGGGAAGGAGGGTAGCCCCAACCAACAGCCACCTGTGGAGCCGGAGTGGACTCCTGAGCCCCGGAGCTCCGGCAGCCAGCACCAGGAACAGACCGGCAGGACCCGGAGGTCAGGGCCCATCAAGAAACCTGTCCTCAAGGCCCTCAAGGTGGAAGACAAGGAGAAAGAACTAGAGAAGATCAAGCAGGAACTGGGGGAAGAGGGCGCCCGCCTGGCCAGGAACAAGGGGGCTCATCAGGCAGAGGAGGACGAGGGTGAGGAGAACGACCCCACGCTGGCCAACACCCCCCCTTCCACCTCAGGGGGCCTGGGCCCTGCCCGTGCCGCCGCAGGGACAGAGGACAACAGGTCTGTGGAGGACGGCAGGCCCGAGAGGGCCTGGGAGACCAGAGCTTCCCGGGAGTCCAGCGACATCCCCCCAACCAAGAGAAATAACTGGATCTTCATCGATGAGGAGCAGGCCTTTGGGTGCAGGGGCCCAGCCCGGAGCCGCGGCCGAGGCTTTAGAGAGTTTACTCTTCGTGGCCGGCCAGGTGGCGGCAGCAGCGGGCTCTGCAGCGGGGGGGTCCTTGGGGCTCGGGGCATCTACAGCCAGAGGAGTGGCCGCGGCCGGGGTCTGCGTGACTTCAGTCAGCCCGAGGAGTTCCCCAGAGCCAAGCCCCGGCGGAGAGTGGCCAGTGAGACCCACAGCGAGGGCTCTGAGTATGAAGAGCTGCCCAAGCGCCGACGGCAGAGGGGCTCGGAGGCCGGGCCTGAGGGCTCGCTCCCAGAGAGGGAGGAGGGCCCCGTCACAAAGGCAGACTTCCGAGACTCTTGGCGCTCCAACAGGATGTACCCAGAGGACCACGGCAGTCTGGACGCTAAAAGCCGGGGCCCCCGGGCTTTTGGGCGCGCCCTGCCTCCCCGGCTGAGCCATTGTGGCTACGGGCGGCGGACCTTCGTGTCCAAAGAGTCGGCTCACTGGCAGGGCAAGAGTGCCAGCACCTCCTGGCAGGAGCCCTGTGCCCCTGACTCGTGTGGGCCCCGGCGCCCCCCCGACAGAGACTATACCCCAGACTCCTACAGACACACAGACTCTCTCGGTGCCCGGGCCTTCGAGGACAGCCGCCTGGAGGACAAGAGGTCCTTCTTCCCAGACGACCCGGCAGCAGATCCTGAAAATGCAGAGAACCGGCCCTTCCGGAGGAGGCGGCCCCCACGCCAGGACAAGCCTCCTCGCTTCCGGCGCCTCCGGCAGGAGCGTGAAGCCCTGGGCCTGTGGGAACCTGAGGACGAGTCCCACCTGCTGGCTGGTCAGTGGCTGGGCCGGGCCAAGCTCTGTCCTGGGGACAAGAGTGGTGCTGCGGGCCGCAGGTCGCCTGAGCTCTCCTACCAGAACTCCTCCGATCACGCCAACGAGGAGTGGGAGACGGCGTCCGAGAGCAGCGACTTCAGCGAGCGGCGGGAGCGCCGAGAGGGCCCTGGAGCTGAGCCTGACGTGCCGCCCGACGGGAGCCTGCCTGGGGCCGGAGTGGGCGAGAAGAAGGAGTTGGCCAAGAGGAGCTTCTCCAGCCAGAGACCCCTGGTGGACAGGCAGAGCCGGAAGCTGGAGCCGGGAGGGTTTGGGGAGAAGTCTGTTAGGCCAGGTGGTGATGAAACTTCTCCCCGTTTTGAGAGCCAACAGAACGGGACGCCTTTGAAAACAAAAAGGTAAAACAAACACAAAACCCCAGGTTCTTTCTGTGTTGTCGTTCTGTGATGAAGAGTCTGGCAGCAGCGCTCCATGCATGCCCCCACTGTGTGTCGGTGCGCTCGGCGGCCCCGGCCGCACCCCGTATGCGAGCAGCTGCCACACACTCCTGCACCGCATGTCTGCTGCTTCTGTGGCGTGTTGTCAGTGTCGATTGTTGTGTGGCTTGAGGAACAAAACCAAAAGACCCTGCCCCATGGTCCCTGTGATGCTGTCTCAGCCCCTGACCCAAGAGCTCAGCCTGTGTATCCTGGGGGCCCAGCGGGGAAGGGGGCTGGGGACCACTGATCCAGTCCACCCGACTCCATTCGAGATGGTGCTTCCCAAGTGGCTCTGCTCTCCCCAGTAGGACGCAGCACCGCTGCGATAGAGCTGGGCTACTGGGGCCCGTGGGTGCCCCGGCTCAGAGCCAGAGGCCCTGGAGCGGCGGTTGTGTTGAGTGTTGGTACTGTGCCCCTGATGTGCAGAGACCACACTGCAGCACACACTGGCAGCCCCGTCTCCCCGTCATCTGCTGGACTCGGGGCACAGAAAGCTAGGGTGCCATTAACTCTTGTCCCCAGGGAGATAGACCAGGAGGATGCGAGATCTTACAGGTGGTAGCCTAGCCTCGATGTCCAAGCCCCAGATGCCAGGGCTTGGCTTTGCTTTTGCTTCCTCCCACAGGAGTCTTGCACTCAAGCCAAACCTGGGCGCCTGCCAAGCAGTCACATGGCAGGAGCAGGCTGCTCTGAGGCTCTGTCCAAGCAGTTCCCTCCTCTCATTCTGCTGGGTCAGGCACTCAGCGTGAGAGAAGGGATAGCAGAGCCCTGGGAGGGTCCAGGAGGGAGCGGAGTGCACACCGCCACCTGAGTATGGCTGGGCTGACCCTCCACGTGGGCGCCCACACGATGCTGCCCTGCTGCCAGTGAGTGGCCTCCGCTGGGCCAGGGCCGGTGAGAGGAGTGGATGCGGGCCAGGTGCTGTGTGCATCTGTGGTGCCTCTTCCCATCCCAGCTGTGGTGGTTTGCTAACAAGATTCTCTTTCCCTTACAGGTCCCCAGAGGAGGCCTTGCCTGGAGGCCTTGGGGGCTGCAGTGGTGGGAGTGGTCATTACCCCCTGGAGCGGGCAGCCCATGGCAGCGTTGACATCCCTGAAGCCGCTTGTGAGAAGGCAGAGAAGGGAGCCCAGCTGGCTGCGCAGAGGGCTGGCGAGCAGGGCGAGGCCATGAAGCAGTTTGACCTCAATTATGGAAGTGAGTCAATGCCTCTTCTGGGAGGACGTGCCCAGGCAGAGCTATGGGCACAGCCCCTGGGGGCGTATTTGCCTTTTCTCTGAGGGCTACTGGGGCAGGTGCTGGGCTGTTTCGGGCGTGAGCAAAGCAGGCAGGCTTTCTGCCCTCGTGTTGCCCACGGCCTTGATGAGCCCAGCTTTAGGAGGCCTGGGGAGTGGTTAGTCTGAGGTCGTGTGGCTGTTAGGAGCAGCGCTGGCATGGAGAGCGTCTGTGTCAAAGACTGTTCTCTTAGCCATGGTGCCCCTGGTTTGAGTAGGTGGTGTGTCAGGGGTGTGCAGGATGTCGAGGTCACAGATGGATTCCAGGGACCCTGGTGCGCACCAGGGTTCCTGGGTGGTTCCAGGCCGGGTGGCTTCTGAGCTGAGCCTGCTCTTTATCCTCCGGTGCCCAGAAAGGTGGGGCAGGTACAGGTATTCTTGGCTTCTGATCAGTGGAAACTCTGTGCCTTTCTCGTGACATCTTGGTTCAGGTGCCATCATTGACAATTGTGGGTCCAGCCCAGGGGAGGAGAGTGAGGTGGGCTCTATGGTGGGCGAAGGCTTCATCGAGGTCCTGACCAAGAAGCAGCGCCGCCTGCTGGAGGAAGAGAGGAGGAAGAAGGAGCAAGCTGTGCAGGTAGGGGCTGCAATCCGGCAGAGAGGGCGGAGGGACCTGGTCTGGGTGCTGGTGGGAGCACTGGAAGGCAGTGTAGGGGGCCAGGAGGAGGGAGGCATGCTTCTTGGCACACTTTACCTGCCAGCAACCCCATCCTATGGCCCGGTGGGAGTATACAGTACTCTCCTGAGACCCAGTGAGGCCGCTGTCAGCTTCCCACTCCATCCTCTGCCCACCGTGCTCCTGGGGATAGGTGGGCAGGGCCTGGGAGACCAGTCCCTGTAGCAGTATCGGCGGGAGTGGTTTTGGTGCCCAGGATCCTCCTTCTGGCGGATCTGTGTCGCCCTGTGCATGGCATCCAGGCTAGATGGCATCACCTTTTTTTCTCCTTAGGTGCCTGTCAAAGGTCGAGGACTCTCCTCCCGTATTCCTCCTCGGTTTGCTAAAAAGAACAATCTGTGCCTGGAGCAAGGTGATGTGGCTGTGCCTGGCAGCAGCCTAGGCACCGAGATCTGGGAGAGCAGTAGCCAAGGTAGGCTTGGGGCACAGCCGTCTCCGTGGCCAAGGGTGCTTGTTGGGCCCCTCGCCAGAGCCACGGCTGTAGCCAGGCGGGTGCGGGTTCCAGCCACTTGCTCTGAACCAGTGTGAGATGCAGGTTTCCCGGCCTGAAGCCTGGAAGGAGAGCAGAATCCTCAGCGGCCCAGAGAGGGTGGGGAGAGAGCCCAGCCCAGGTCAGCCGGGCGTCGCTGGACTGTCCGCGGCAGCCCCTTGGTGCTCACTGTGTGGCGCTCTCTGAGGGGCTCCCGTGCGCTCTGTTGACACAGAAGGACAGCGCCTCTGAGGCTGCACGGGACCCACCTTCTGTTTTTGGGGAAATTGTTTTTGTGAAATTTAAAATAGAGGCTTTCGTATCTAAAGATAATTTTCTGATAACTTTTTGTTTCAAGATAGAAAGTCATTTCAGTTGAGCAGAATCTTGAATGTCTTTGGTCAGGGGCCGGCGGGTGGATAAACATAGGCTTGGTATAAAAGAGGGACAGATGAGCTTGGCAGGGGGAGCTGGTACAGTTGTCCATGCCCAGCTTATTTTTACACGGAGCACCCAGGGCTTGCAGGCATGTGGCCTGACGGCCTGGAGCTGGTGACGGATGCCCATGGCTCTGGTTTGTGGCTTGGTCCTTGTGCTTTATTGCACAGGCTGTCCTCTTGGTCCTGGTTAAAATCTTGGTTCCAACACATTGCAAAATAACATTGGGCCATATTCAACTGCTTGGAAGGAAGTGCGATGATCTTTTTAATAAAGATGTTGGTAATGGTAATGGTAGTGCGTGGGAGTGCTAGGAACCATAGTTTCAATGTTCAAAAATGCCTGCCTGCCAAGTGGCTAGCGGTGTGGCTATACCTGAGAGTTGCCCTCTGGGGTCCATCTTTCCCCTCCAGGATCCACGGTGTTCCGTCGGACTCTTGTGGGTGTGCCAGAGAGTACTTGGACCTTACAGTAACACGGAAGGTCCATTGTTCTGCACTCAACCCATGGTTTGTCGGCATCTCGGGTCAGTGAGCTGGCATAGTGGTTGAGTGCTGGCCTGTATCAATCAAAGACCTTGTGGAAGCTGCCGGTTTGTAGGAATAAGTAGTTGGTTGAAGTGAAAGCTTAGACATAGTAGAGGTAGGATAACAGAATTTTAACAGGTGTGAATGAGAAGTTGCTGGTATGCTCCTATGTGTCATCTCTGTTCACCGGTCTGTCCTTTGCAGGACAGGGAAAGCAGTTAGAGGACGTGGGTTTCTGTAAATTGTCCCAGAGCTTGTTTGTCCCAGCTGGTCGTTTTTCTCTGCCCTGACTCTGTCTTGCCCCTGGCAGCCCTTCCTGTTCAGGCCACGACCAGCGATGCTTGGACAAAAGCCGCCACTGCCTTCAACAGCACTGAATCCGGCTCTGCGGAGGTGAGCGGTGCTGCGTGACTCGGGTGCTGTGTCCATGCTCAGGATGTGCTTGGCTGGCTGGTCCCGGGGCCCGACCTGAGCTCTGCTCGGCTGCAGCAGTGGGGCAGGACCAGAGGCCATTTCCGTAGTCCTGGCACATCAGCGGTCCTCAGTCTTCGTCGCTGGTCTGTCGGAGGAGGGCCAAGAGAACCTACCCTGGGTGGGCGAGTGATAGAGCGGTTGTTAGACCTGGTTTGGGTCACAGGTGAAATGAGGGTGCCCTTTGGGTGCAGGGCCCCCTGTGTAGCTTGTAGTTCTGAACTTGAACTGGGCTAGGTGTGTCTGACCGTCTCGTCAGTCGTCAGGCCCGGTGGACAGGTCAGGACCAGTGCTGGCCCGAGTCATGCAGGGGCGCTCTCGGCCTCGCCTCTCCATCAGCGTGCGTGGAGTCGGGGTGGGTGTAACCCAGTTTGTGCTTGTGCACAGCAGGGTTTCAAGAGCAGCCAGGGAGACAGTGGTGTTGACTTGAGCGCCGAATCTCGAGAGTCGTCAGCCACCTCCTCGCAGCGCAGCTCTCCGTACGGCACGCTGAAGCCGGAGGAGATGGCCGGGCCCGGCCTGGAGCCCAAGGCGGACAGCCACAAGGAGCAGGCTCAGAAGCAGCCTGAGCCAAAGGTAGCCTGGAGGCCTGCCTGGAGGGGCCCTCGTCGTCTGCCTTCTTGCCCAGTTCCTGGCTGCTGAGCAGTTAGAGGTTGGGGTGGCTCCAGGTTGTGTGTCTCAGCTTCTGCTTTTCCATCAAGGATTCAGATCAAGGCTCAGCCCAGAGCAAGGAGCACAGGCCAGGACCCATCGGCAATGAGCGTTCTCTGAAAAACAGAAAGGGCTCTGAGGGCGCCGAGCGTCTGCAAGGACCCGCTGTCCCACCGGTCAACGGGGTAGAGATCCATGTGGACCCCGTGCTGCCGGTGCCGCCCATCGAATTTGGAGTCAATCCAAAAGTGAGACTTTGATATCTCCCCCACCTCCTTATTATCTTCTGGTGTTTGGAGGGGAAGAAACTTAGATAAGGTTGTCTCCCAGAAACAGCAGGGGAATGGGAGCGAAACAGAACTCCAGGGGCTCGGGGGGGGGGCTGGGTGGGGGGTGCAGGTCCTGTTGAGCTGCCGTCCAGATTCCCTGCTGACATTAGCCGGATTCTCAGGCCTGGCAGTGACGACCTCCTGTCTCTGTTGCTCAGCCGGTGGCCCAGGCAGGGAGCAGGCCGCCAGTCTTTCCTGTGTGCCCTCAGAGCTCTCTGGCCACCTTGCTCATGCTGCCAGGCGGCCTTAGGAGCCCTGAGCCTGGATCTGTTATCGCGCCCTGCCGAAAGGTAAGCTGGGGTGATCTCAGCGGGCCATCTGCCTTGTCTCCAGGACTCGGATTTCAGCTTGCCGCCTGGCTCTGCCTCTGGTCCTGCGGGGAATCCAGTTGTCAAACTTCAGGACGCCTTGGCCAGTAACGTGAGTCTGTGCTTCCTCCTCCAGCTCTGTGGTCCTCTGACACCAGAGGAGACCGCCCAGCATGGCTTCCGGGGCATGACTCTGTCTCTGGCTGGTTCTGTCTGCTCGGGCCAGTAGCTCAGTGTCCCATGCCCAGCTTTGTGACCTTAACATGGGGTAATGTGACTTCTAAGGTTGGGCTTATATGACCCTTTGATTCTATAGTCTTCTGAGTTTCTGTGTGAAAATGCAACTTCTTAGTCTGAATCAGACGCTGAGGGGCACCCACGGCAGGAAGGGGCCTGGCGTGTGCGTTTGCTGATGTCTGTTATAGGGATCTCTTAGTTTCCGGGTGTGGGCCTGAGACAGGACTTGGGGGTTGCCAGCCAGGAGGCAGGTGCCCCGGTGCTCCCAGTGGACCTGTTGACAAGGGCCATGTTGGAGGTGACCCCCCCCCCCCCCCCAGGACTGCAGCTGTCTGGAAGAGGTCAGCTGTGGCCTCAGGAACGTTCGGCCTGAACTGGAGCTCACTGGTGATGCGCCACCACCCTGTGCACTTGTCTCTCCAGGCCGGGCTGACGCAGAGCATCCCCATCCTCCGGCGTGACCATCATATGCCGCGCGCCATCGGCCTCTCCCAGATGTCCTTCCCCACTGCCGACCTCACTCTGAAGGTAACGCCAGCTCAGCCCTGGGCTAGGCCACCTGGGTCCTGAACTCGGGGGGAGCACTGCTTCCTTGGTGGTAACTTGCACCCCTCCCCTTGCTTCTGAAGATGGAGTCTGCGCGTAAAGCGTGGGAGAACTCGCCCAGCTTGCCTGAGCAGAGCTCTCCGGGGGGCACTGGCTCCGGCATCCAGCCCCCCTCCTCCGTGGGAGCCTCCAGCGGAGTCAACTACAGCTCCTTCGGGGGAGTGTCCATGCCGCCCATGCCTGTGGCCTCTGTGGCACCTTCTGCTTCTCTTCCAGGTATCTCATTCTTTGCTCTGGGTTGATGACCTCAGCACCACCCCTGATATGAGTGGAGTAGACGGGGTGGGCTTATTTCTAGGCAGGGTGGTCAGCACTTCCTTGAGCTACTGAGTCTAGCATTTCCTGCCCCAGCCTTCCCCTCTGCTGGGAAGTGGGCCTCGGCCAGGTCTCCACCTCCCAGACCCAGGAGCGAGGGAGCAGCCAGCAAGCCCACTGACCCGACTGGGTCCAGTGAGTGGCTCGCCTCTGGGCCCAGCTCCCTCCTCTCTGCAGCAGGATGAGCATGGAGGGCTTTCCGAGGGCCCGTGTGCTCCGGGTCTGGCTGTTGGTGTCCCAGGGCTAGGCAGGGAATTTGATGCCCAGCTACCCACGTCTTCATGATGCAAGTCCAATAGATCCTTCTAACCTCCACTGTGGACTCAGTAGCAGGGAGATGAAGAGGAATGTGACAGAGACCGAGGTAGCTGTTTCCTCGACCCCTTCCTTCTTGGGTGTGTGGGGCAGTGGGGTGGAGGGCTAAAGCCCATTCCACTACCCCACCCCACCCCTGGACCCCGACTCTGCACCCACAGCCAGGGTGTCCTCAGTGGGATGGGGTGCTGGCTCTGCACACCTCCCCCCACCAAGACCCAGGAAAGAGCAGGTGAAAAGGCCTCCCAAGAGGCTTTCAGGAATAATGAAACTTGATCCTTTTCTCTCTCCTGGATTTTGTTTCTAGGTAACCACCTGCCACCTCTGTACCTGGATGGCCACGTGTTTGCAAGTCAGCCCCGGCTGGTTCCTCAAACGATACCTCAGCAGCAGAGTTTCCAACAGGTGAGGCCAGCAGGCCAGGTGGACAGGGAGCAGCACAAGGCGTGGTCACTTTCTCCAGCCGCTGTCAGTCTCTTGTTCTGTACTCCACCTAATGCCCAGCACCTGGCATCTCCGACAGCAATAAATGTTCACCGCATGAGTAAACGCAAGTCGAGGAGGAGGAGTGGAGTTCAGTGTTCCAGGCTCTGCCTAGTTTCCCTTCCTTCAAGTTCTCCTTCCTGTGTCCTAGCTGGGGAATTAGCTGAGACGAATTCTCTTTGGTGGTCAGGTGTCCTTCTGATGAAGAGAAGAAAGGCCTAGACCCCAGGCCTGGAGGCCTTAGAAAGAGGTAGTTTTAGCAGCCAGCAGGGTTTGTGTGTATGCTGGATTGGCCATGTTCTGTGCTGCAAGGGGATGGATTTTGGAAGCTGGTGCTGGGCCTGCCGCCTGGGGCGGCCTCCCCAAGCCCCCAGCCCCCTATGCCGGGAGACCAGGGCGGTGGGACTTGCGGGCAAAGCGGGACCCCAATCCCAGGGCAGCGGACATGAACTCTTCTTCAAACATGTTCCTTAATGTTTCAAAGTGCTTAGTTTTGCGACCTGCCTGGGTCACACTTCCTGTGTCTTCTCTGTGCGTCTCCCACTCACCCTGCGCCTCAGCTGCGCCGTGTTGATGGTGCGGCCGGGGTCCGTCCGCGGTGCTGTGCGGAGCCCCAGCACCATGGTGTGGGGTTGGCGCCAACTGCTTTTCCCCAAGAGTGAGGGATGCACTGGAAGGACACAATGGAGTCTGCATTAGGGGCGGTGTTCCCGCTGCCACCTGGAGGGGCCGGGGGGCGGGGCAGGGGTGGGGACCGGGCTTCAGGAGCCCGCCTGTGACCGCCTGGCTTCCCGCCTGCAGGCTGCGGCTGCCCAGCAGATCCCCATTTCCCTGCACACGTCTCTGCAGGCTCAGGCCCAGCTTGGACTGAGGGGCGGGCTGCCTGCCTCCCAGTCTCAGGAGATCTTCAGCTCCTTGCAGCCCTTCAGGTGAGGCGCAAGGGTGTGGGCAGGTACAGCTGCGGCTCCGGCCCCGCGGTCTGTGCACTCGCTTCTGCCTGCTCTCGCTTCCTGCTCCCCTCCCTGGGTGAGGGCGGGGTGGGGGGGGGATGGGGGAGGGCGGGCTCTGAGCTTCTGCATAGCTCTTGTTAACTGCGGCAGCATAGGCCGTGGTGGGCCTTGCTTTCCTCTCCAGGTTTCCCTCGCTCGCGCGTGCGCACTCTGGCAGTGGATTTCCTGGGCCTCGTGCAGCCTGGTTGTGTCTGTTTGTTTAACCCGGCGTTGCTCAAACTCTAAAGCAGCAGCATCAACACTTTCTCAGAGTTAGTTGAGAAATGCAGGTTCTCAGGCCACACCTTCAAGCCTCTGATTCGGCTCTGGGGGCAGTGGACTCTTCTGCCAAGCCTTGCCTGGGATTCTGGTTGCCTGGTCCACATCTCACTTGCTTTTGAGATCTGCCCATGACCCTGGTCCTCTGTCTGCCTTTACAGGTCTCAGGTGTACATGCACCCCAGCCTGTCACCGCCCAGCACCATGATCCTCTCGGGAGGCACGGCTCTGAAGCCCCCGTACTCGGCGTTCCCGGGCATGCAGCCCTTGGAGATGGTGAAACCCCAGTCGGGCTCGCCCTACCAGCCCCTGAGCGGGAGCCAGGCCCTGGTCTATGAGGGGCAGCTTGGCCAGGCTGCCGGCCTGGGTGCCTCCCAGATGCTGGACTCACAGCTCCCACAGGTCAGGAACTCCTCACACCCCAGGGTGCCACCCGCCTTCTTTTATGGCTGTTTTTTCTCCTGTTCATCTCGATGCGTGCTGACATGCATTCACGTCCCCAAGACTTGGCTTTCCCCTCGGAACTAGGCTTTACCACCGCTTCTTCCCCCTCTCGGGCCGTGGTACTTGGGGCTGGGGTCCATGGCGACCACGCTCCCCCCCTTCCTGAGCCCTCCCCGGCTCTCCATCTGCGGTGAGCGCCTTGTGGCTGGTCCAGCCTTGCCCCTTGTCCCCTCTCTCTCCCCTGACGCGCTGGCCATAGTGGGTGCGCTCTTATCCTCTGTTGGCCCCTGGCTCCGTCTCTCCCTCCACAGTCCTATGCTAGTGCTTCGTGCTGTCAGTGTAAACGGTACCCCCGGCCTTTGTACCCATGAGCCCTGTCCCCCCAGTCCGGGGCCACCTTGCCTAGCCCATCTCCGACCTCCTGGCTGCAATTGCGGATCTGTGGCTTCCTCCTGGTTGCCTCCTACCCCGCCAGCAGCTTTCTGTGTCACCAAGGAGATAGACGCTGCAGCCTAAAGGGGGATTGTTCGAGCTCTGCCACCTGTGCTGCAGCTGCCGCCCTCCACACAAGCGCTGGCAGCCGCACAGCCTCCCTTGCCACATCAGCCCGTGGATGCGCCACCCCACTCTGACCACGTCCCCGCCAATCCCCTTTGCAGCCCTTTCTGAGAACACCAGTAAATGCCACGCGTGTGCCTGAGCCCAGCGGCCGGTTCTTAACCCTCCCACTACTGCCCGGCGGCAGCACATGGCCCTGCAAATCCCCCTCTTCACTTGCTTACAAGGACACCCCTGCAGCCCCTGAAGCCTCTTTCCGGCCTCCTGTGCCGTTTCCTCCTCACAGCCCAGTCTGTAACGGCCAGTGTGCCCCTGGGCCTTGTCCTCAGACCTTCCTCTCACCCTGCGGCTCTGAGTCCCATCCACATCCTCACAAATGTGTCTGCAGCCCATCTGTCTCGGGCCTGCCCTCAAGCCCAGCACCTTGCACTGAGCATGCGCTCTGGAACTCGAGCCCTTCCCGTCCTGGACCTCTGGGTGTCCAGCTCTGCCTTTTACAAGTGTCAGGATCCAGCCTCTCGCCTCCCTTCCCGCCACTCTGAGCACACAGGCGCTCCTGCCTCACCTCTCTGCCAATGCCCGTGGGCCCAGCAGTCCACTCCCAGCTCAGCAGCCAGGGCCTTCCTTTAACAACAGAACAGGTGATGCCACACTTGGAAGAGGGCGCCACTCCCCTCCCTTCACCCTACACCTGTGGGGGCAAGGAGGAGCTGGGCCTGGAGCAGGCGGCTGCGTGTCTCTGTGATGCCATACCAATAGATCCTTCTGACCCTCCTCTGTGCACTCCTAGCAGGGAGATGAAGAGGAACATGACTGAGAGACGAAACGTGGCCCCCACCCCTGTCCTGGGGTCTCCGGCTCCACCTCCCTCCTCTCACCCACCTTGTCCTGGACCTTACCAGTGGTCACTTAGGCCCTGCGGTCCCCCTGCTCTTTCACAGTTGGCTTCAAAAGGGTCTCAGGTGCCCCAGTTTGGTTCTGGGCCTGAATCCTGGAACCCAGTTGGAGCTGCTCTGTGTTACCTCCAGAGGCCACCGTGAAGGGTCATCTTGCGCTCCGTGGGGCGATGGTGGGCTCCCGTGCTGTCCATCGTTAGGGATGCTCAGTTATTTCTTGAGGCCCGCCTGGCTCGCCCACCCCCATCCCCTCTGCGCCCTGAGCAGCTGCGGCTGGGGCTGGGCTCCCCACCGTGTGGCTGTCTTTGTTTGAGATGCACAAGTGTGTGCCCTGGGCTGTGTGTGTCAGCAGTGGTGTGTGGCTTTCCCCCAGCATCTGTTCCTGCCCCCTGACTGTCCCTGTTGCCCAGCAGCTGACCATGCCGCTACCTGGCTCCCAGCTGCCTCTGCCTCGGTACGGCTCCGGGCAGCAGCCCCTGATTCTGCCACAGTCCATTCAGCTGCCACAGGGGCAGAGCCTATCTGTCGGGGCCCCCCGAAGAATCCTTCCACCTGGGTCCCAGCCTTCAGTCCTTAACACCAGCAGAGAGGTAAGGATGACTCTGGCTGCGGTCCTGGGATGCATCTTCCTGGGGTAGTCCTGAACCTGTTGGGGCGGAAGAGGCCAGCAGTCTGAGATGCAAGCCCTGCTCGTGGCGGGGGGTCTTGGAATCCCAGGCGGGACCCCTTGTTGCACCCAGGTGCTGCGAGGTGGCATGAAGGGGGCCTGAGTGCCCTGGGGCAGGAGGGAAGTGCACGTCTGTTGGGGTCTTGCCAAGGAGCCTGTGGACCCCATGCAGGTTATGCTGGCGTCGGAGGCTTCAGCTGCCCTCCTTGCCAGCTCCTGGGGCCGAGGTGGCGCCACCTTCATGCAGCCGGTCCCAGCCATGGAGTAGTTGGCCTCCCGGGCCTCTCTCCAGAGGCCAGGACTCTATTGGACGGTCCTGTTCCTATGAACAGCGCCCACCCCCCACCCCCGGTGGACTGGAGCCAGGGAATGCAGAGTCCAGGAGGAGACGCAGCTCCGTCATTCCTGCCCAGCACGGCTCGGCTCAGGCTGGCTGTGCAGGGTCAGTGTGACAGCCTGTTGCTTTTTGGTCTCTAGTCCTCTCAGATGGAGATGAAGGGCTTCCACTTTGCCGACAGTAAACAGAATGTTCCTTCAGGAGGCTCCGTGCCATCACCACAGACCTACAGGTGAGGAGCCATCGCTGTGTAGCCGGGCACGTGCTGTCGCAGGGACACGGCTCCCGTGGGGCCCAGGGGCAGCAACCAGCATGGGGGGCCTCTCCGTAGACCTCTGAGCCCATGTTTTAAAACCACAGGGAAGCCGGGAATTGGGAAGGTGATTTTGAATTCTGTCATCATAAAATGCTCTTAATTGGGAGAACTTTCTGGAAAAGGAACAAGTCATGGTTTAATAGTGTCAGGGCTGACCCTGACAACTGTTTTCTCATCAGACTTTCAAAAAGTCACATACCCTGGGTGGGAAGAGACTTTCCTTTTCTTGCCGTGCTTCCCCTGAATTGGCCTCGACTATGCCAGGAATGATGGTCCTGAGCTCAAACCCCTTCTCTTGGCCTCCTCTGGGCCTACTCCTGCCCTCAGCTGGATTCAGAAGTGACGGTCGGGACAATGGTGGGGGTTCCTTCCTGTGTCGGCCGGCCAAGCCTTCTCCTGCGTGGCTGTGCCCTGACGAGGTGGGCTGTGGGCTATAGCGAGCTCTGGCGTTGCCCAGGGTTGGCCCAGCGACTCATCATGTTGGAAATTCTGGACACCCTCCTGTTTGAATGAGTGAAGAAGGTGTGTTGAGCTGCAGTACCCGAGAGGGGCTTCAGAGGCCTGCGGTCCCTCTGCAGGCGCACAGCACCTGGCTGACTCGGGACACTGGCCAGTCCCATCGGGTCTCTCTGAGCCAGCCCTGCTTCAGTCACTCTGTCCCCTGGGCGCACCAGGCCAGGGCCCCCGTCATGGCCTTGCAAACTTGGAAGTGTGTTTGCAGAGTGAATCTCCCGGTTTCATCATCTTTCCTGTTTTCACTTACTTGACTTTAGCTTATTTTGTTTGAGAGTTTGTTTCCAACTATATTTTTCACATTGGCCAACACAAAAGAATTGTAAGGGGGGGTGGTGGGGAATGGACATGGGCACAGAACGATGAGAAATGGGGGAGAAAGAAGGAAGCCTCAAGTATGCACAGGCTGCTCCCCCCTGCCTTAGGCAGCTCTGACTCCAGCAGCTGCGCCCGCGTCTGTGACGGCGCCTGTGGGTGCCAAGTGGGCGTGTTCTTTGGAGGCCTTTTGGGAAAGATAAACGTTCTTGGTAGCCTTTGTTTTGCTGGTGTTTTAGTGGGGCTAGGAAAATCGGTGTATTTGTATAGAGCGGTTTTGCTCATGTTTTTAGAAACAAGATGTCCAGGCATGCCCTGCAAACAAAAGGGTCCTGGGGTGGGGGTTCCCTGGGGAATAAGGCTCCTCCGCCCAGGGTTGAGGCAGCCCCCGCCAGCCCCGCCGAGCTCTGCATACAGGACTTACTACACTGTGGGACCACAGGATCTTTCTCCTGTGCAGCACTTAGTTAACCTCCAAACCCACTTGGGAAGACGCCAGACATTTTGATTTTTGTTGGCATTGTCCACACTGGCCCCTCCCGGAGCGAAGAGTGGACGGGCACCTGGCACACATCTTACGTGTCAGGGTCATAGACCTTTTCTCTGCATCTTTGCATCACGTTGGTTGGTCCAGACCCCCCCCCTTGCACACACACTTGGCCAGCATTCCAGGAGAAGTCCGTGTGCCCGTAATGGGGCCCCTCAGCGACATCTCTGGGAGCTGGGGTTGCCCAGGCCCCTGAGCCCTGGCTTTCTGAGGCCTTTGTTTTCCTCACCATGTGGAGGCCGCGATGCCAGCTAGCATGGCAGCGAGCTGGGCTTTGCTCGTTCCAGCGGTGACGCGCGTGTTCTCACCCTGCCTTTGGTTTTTTCAGGCCTAGCTCTGCTAGCCCCAGTGGGAAGCCCTCTGGACCAGCAGTTAACATGGGCTCTGTGCAGGGACACTGCGTTCAACAGGTAGAAGACGGCCTTCCAGACCCTCCGCCCGGACACTTAGGCCAGTCCCCAAGCGCCACGAGAGAAGGCACTGTCCACTCACTGCGTGCCCCTCTCGCGCTCAGAGCACGGCCCGAGCCAGGCAGCCCCAGCCCCCCTGGCGGAGGCCTTTCTCCTCTTGATGGGTGCCTGGATCCCTCCTTGTCCTCTGGAGAAGGCAGGATGCTGCTCCTCTGAGGAGGGGACACCAGAAGGTGGACGAGCCCCCATGGCCACTGGGGCTGTTAAGGCGCTGGGACGCGGTTAGGTGTGCAGCTCGCGCGGCGGGGCGCGGCCAGCCTGCGTGTGTGCGTGCGCGCACGTGCTCACGCTGGTCCGTGCAGTGTGCGTCCTGGTATTGGCCGGGTGGGGTAGGAAGGCGTGCTCAGTGTCGGCGCCCTCGGGCGCTGCTCGCCCCACTATCCCCTGCCCGCTCCAGAGCACCTGTGGGCGAGGCCCCTGCTGCTGCGGGCGGGAGCGTGTCCTTGCTCCTCACTTGGTTCCCTGAGGGTTGCTCCTGGAACTGCTGGGGCTGAGCTGCTAGAGCTTCCTTGCGGAGTGCGTCACTGCGAGGGGCTGCCACTGGTCCCTGTGCACATGCCTTTGTGCAGAGCTTTGTGTTAACGGGACCCTGGCTGGGGACTCCACGGTCATGTGAGGGTCCTGGGGGGAGGTTTCCACAACAGGCAGTTGTCCGAGATCAGGGCGAGCCGAGTCTGCCTAGGGCCCCCGCTGCCCCTCACAGACAGAGGTTCTGAGACTCAGGGTTGCCCAGATTCCCCGGGAGGCTCTCTTTACTGTCGGGTGTGGGCATATGGATGGGAGGAGGTTCCTCAACCCGGACGTGCCGCTCCTGTGCGGCCCCTTGAGCATGGCGAGTCCTCACCCCACCTGGTGTCAGCCCGCCTCTCTGGTCCCTCACTTTTGCACGGTGGGGGTCGGGACACAGAGCTGTCCCTGCCAGCGTCCTTCCTGGGACAGCTGCTCCCGGGCCTGGTCCTGTGGCCGAGAATGGACTTGTTTCGGTAGCTTTTCTCTGTGATTCTGGAGCACGAAGGGGGGGCGGTGGGGACAACGTACCCGGATGCGAGCTTCTGCCTGTGGTTCATCTTTTGTCTCTGTTCATCTGTCCAAAGGCAAAACGAGTGGATGAAAAACCCAGCCTGGGAGCCGTGAAACTGCAGGAGGCCCCATCAGCTGCCTCCCAGATGAAGCGAACCGGAGCGATCAAGCCTCGTGCAGTGAAAGTGGAGGAGAGCAAGGCCTGAGGTGCTGGGCCGCCCCTCGCCCCGCCTCGCCCCGGGATAGTGCAGCCAGCCGGAGGCTCGGGAACCTCGCGGGACCCTCCATCCAACCACCTGGCCGGGACTGAGAGACCTCCCTTCTCTGTCCGCTCCTGAAAGTCCATTGTTCAGCCAGCTTGCACCCGTGGATGTACGGCATTGACCTGCTCGCTTTACTCTGAAACAAACAAGCAATCGACTCCGTTCCCATCTCCTCCTGGCCACCGGGACTGGCCCGACGACCTCTGCAGGGGGGCCCGCCCGCCCCCACCCCGCGCCGGGAAAGGGCTGGCCCCGGCGGTCCTTCCCTCCCGCCCGCCTCCGGTCCCCGGGCACGGCGGGTTGGCGGCAGGGTCGTTTTAGTTCGAGGCTTTTTGTTTTAAAAAGCAGCCAAGGTTTTTACCAAGGGGAAAGGAAAACAAAAACACAAGCTCTGTCTGTATCGCAGAACTCTGTTCTTCGCCGCCTCACTGCACCCCAGCTGCTCCTCTCGTTCTCTTGAGCCTCTCTCCGGGTCGCCCGGTCCTCCACCGCAACAGCCGAAGAGAGGACTAGGAAAGCGCCCCTCCTGCGCGCTCGGCTGGCTAACCTCCCAGGCACCTGGCAAAAGGCAGGGGTGCTGGCTCAGGCCTATGCCCGGCTCCCGCCCCTCCCCCCGCCCCAGCCTGTGTCAGCTGCATGCTCAGAGCTGCGAGGCGCAGGGCAGGTGTCTGGCGTCCCAGTGGGGTTCCCGCAGCTTGGTGGCACCTCAGAGCTTGTGGCCGCCTGGTGAAGAAGATTGTTGGCCTGAGAATTCCCACCCTGGACTCTGGGAAAGCCCGTGGACACGCGACCACTGTGCCCGAGGTGAATCACTGGTGTTTTCCCGTTGTCCTGGACAACATGAGCTGGCGCCCCAGAGGCCTATCTAGTTCTGGGGTTCCCGTGACACACCCTTCTCCCTGAGCCTGACCCCTTGGGCAGGCGGCTCGTGTGGAGAGCACGTGGGGACGGGATGTGGGCAGGGTCCTGGTTGGCATGTGGGAAGGCCTGTGGTCTGGAGGGCGCTGGGAGAGCTCCCCTTTCCTCCTCTTTAAGAGCTCCCAGCAGCTGGTCCCTAGTTGTGGGGACAGAGGTCCCATGCTGGGCAGCAGGGCAGACGGCAAGGCCCATGCAGCCTGGGCAGGCCCCCTCTAGCCACGTGTGTGTGTGAGCCATTTCATGCTGGCGCTGGCTTGTATTTTTAAATTAGAAATAGAAGGAAATCATCCCAGGTTCGGTCACTTCCAGGAGGTGAGGAAAGTGGCGGGTCTTGCTGGTGCTCTTTATAGTCGCAACCAGACATGACCTAGAGCGCGCTGCCTGCACTTCCGGGGGTTCTGGGAAGACCTGGACAGAGGAGCAGCAGCTGCAGTTCTGGCTCTTTAGCTCTGCAGACCTGGGAAACACGCGCCTTGGGGGCACTGACATCACTTCCTGTCATTGTCCTTTGCTGCTTTAAGGAGCGAGCACCCACATCCACTGCAGGTGTCATCTGAAGAAGGGCTTGCTCCCTGAGGAGATGCTTTCTTCTTTGACCGATGGCTTGCCTTCCCTCACACCTTCTCTTTGTTTTAAAACTTTTTATCCCAAATCATTACTCTGAGGTCCCTTCTCAAAGGAAGGGGACCTCACTCCCTTGCCCACGTGCTCACCTGCTTCCCCCCCCCCCCGCCAGCGCCTGCCTGCTGCCCCTCGGAGGCCCCCTCTCCCCACTGTTGCCTGTACCCTAGAAACAGCCAGGCCGGCTCACCCACTCCCAGGAACAGGAGCAGTCAAAGGAAAACCAGTTTCTTCATTTTGAAATTCAACAGAACAGTCCCGGATGCTGTTACAAACTCCAGATCTGCCCATCAGATGAAGCTGCCGTCAAGAGGGACAGCACTTCCTGCGTGAGGGGAAAAAAGGGTCCTCTTTTCTAGTCCCTTCTACCCTGGATCTACCCCCGCCCCCAATAAAAACAGAAAACACTAGAATTTATTTATATGTATTGATGTTGTAGGTCTAGGTGGAAAAAAAGTAAATGTTTCACTGCTCTATTTATATATAATGTCTGGATTATTCTGTGCAGGAAAGGCCAGGAAATTGCATGTGAAGTTGAGTGCGATCACCACCTGTGTGTGCCCACGCTGCGGTCTCCTTCCCGCTAAGATACAGATTTTGAATTGAACTTGAGGGGCAGAGGGCTGTCCTGGGCCCTGCCTGCACCCCAACCTTTCCTTGGTCTGATTAAATGCAGTTTTTAGTGCAGAGATGTTTTTAAGGTGCAATATCCTCTTCCTTTCATGTGGTTTTAGAGTCAAGCGCCAAGTAATAGGAGGTAGGGTCTTATTTTGGTTTTAGCCCCATCCTTGGGAGGGGGCAAAGCCCCACAGAGAGTTGGCCTGACTGCTGTGGGGCCTTCAGCCGGCACAGGTGAAGACCAGCACCCGACCTTTGCTGCTGTCCCGGCTGGTGAGGGGTCAGCACTGCTGCCCGCCAAACGTGCCCTCCCGCCCGCATGCTGGCAGCTTCGCCCTGGCCAGTGGCCCTGCAGCAGTGTCCAGTGTCGCTGCTCAGTGGGTGCCATCCCGGAGCATGGGGCCGTGTGTGAGCAGTGGCATCAGCCCGCTGAAGACTTACCTGCCGGCTGCATTGGGTCTGGTTACTGTCCCTTCCCCTTTGTCTACATTACTGTTTTCAGACTTGGGACTAAAAACTCTGGGCTCTCTAGGTCCCTTCAGGAGTCAGACAAAGGATGATTCTATTACACGTTTAGGAAAAAGGGTTGGTTGAGTCCTAACGGCAGGCCACGGCCACGTCCGGGGATATTTGAATGTCTAGATACTGGCACAGGTTCTCTCCAGCTAGGCCCTCGCCCTCCTGTCTTCTGGATCTGCCTTCTAGACGGTTACTGCCGAGGTCTGTGACTGAGGCTGAGAGCCAAGGAGCTGCGGCGTGCCCGTGTGCAGGCGTGTTCGGAACTGGTCCACGTGGCAGCTGGTGGCAAACTGGCAAGCCCGACCTGCTGTCTGGTCCTCTACCCTGGCCGAGGAGCTGCATGTTGCTGCGCAAATCTGTATTTGTCCCTCTTCACTTCTGCACAGCAAGCCCGAGTTAGAAGCTCTGTTGGAAACAGCCATCCTCCGCCAGGGACTATGTCACGAATGGGTGGCGCAGACTCCAGAAAGCCGGCTCTTCCCGAGTGAAGTGTGGCGCGCGCCTGACACGGAGCGCATCGGGCAGAGCCGCTGGTGCCGGGCACAGATACCGTCAGGCCCCAGCCCCTGGCCCCCGGGACCACCAGGGCGTGCCGCCTGCTGCTCAGTGTCCGCCCTGACTGGGTGGCGGGGCACCCTCCCAGGCTGGAGGTGTCCCCCTCCTCGGGGCCCTGGCTTCGGGTCGTTCAGAAGCCTCTGAGCGGAACCTCTTCGGGCTCCGTGGGGGTGGCTTCGCCGTGGAAGGGGACGCTTTCCCCTGACCTTCCGACCTCATGCCTTGCATAGTAGAAAGGGTCTGGGGAGTTTCGGTTGCTGTTCCTGAGGGTTGTGTCTTGTTTTTGTTTGCTTTTATTTTTATTTCGGCCTTTCCCTCTGTCTTCATGTAGACCAGATATTTGAAAGGGCAGACGATGGCTAGCGGTGTAACGTGCAGCTTGTTTCTACATGACTTGGGGAAACTCCCCCTGGGCGGGGAGTCGGGTGGTGGCGCCCCCGCCCGGCCCGCCTCGCTGGGGCCCCACTATTGTTTCTCCTTTCAGATATGTGACTGTACTAGCTCTTTCCATACGAAAGAATTCTCCTTATTTAAATAAAAAAAAAGAAAAAACCACCACGGAGCGGAACATGCGTTCTTCGGCCGCGTGTACCTCGTTTCTCGCTCGTGACGAGAGCGGCGCGGGGGCGCTGTTTCGGGGGGCGCGGCGGCGAGGCCGGGGTGCGCCGGGCCCCGCCCCTGCGCCTCGGGGGGCGAGCCCCGGCTCGGGGTGTCCCCGGGGGCGCGGGGCGGGGAGGCCGAGTCGGGCGCGGGTCCCGGCGGGGCCTCCCGCGCGCCTCGAGAGACGCGAGGCCGGGGGGCGGGGCCGGCGCCGGCCCCGGGCGCGCGCCCCTCCGGCCCCTGCGCACGCGCGGCCGCCCTCCCGGAGCGCGCACGCGCGGCCGCCCCGCGGGCCCGCAGGCTCGGCGAGTCGAGCGTCGAGCGCGTGATCCGCGGCGCGGGGCGCCGAGCGGCGTCGACCTGCGCGCGGCCGGGCCCCGCAACGGCCTGCGCTCCCCGCGGCTCCAGGGGCGCCGCGGCCCCGGCGGGACCGACCGGCCGGAGTCAGTGCGAGACCTGGCCCGGGGCGGGGGGCGGAGCCCCAGCGGGGGCGGGGGTGGGGGCGGGGCCGGGGGGTGTCGGGGGGCGCCCCAGGGCGACTCCTGGGACGGCCCGGGAGGGGGGTCCGGGAGGGGCGGGCCGGGGGGCGGCCTCCGGGGCGGCGCCGCCGTGGACGCGGGCGCGAGGGGCTGGGCCGGGGCGGGGAGGCGCTGCGGCCGGGCCCAGGTCCGCCGCGCCTCTCCCCGCGCCGCCCACCTGCGCCGGCCTCCGGGGCCCCGCAGAGCTCCGCGGGCCTCGCGGGTCGCCCCTCACTCCGAGCCCCGCCTTCATTTCCAGGCGCCCCCGGCCTGCGCTCTGCGAGATGCTGGGGCTCCTGAAGCGCCCCGTGGTGGTGACCGCGCGCGTCAACCTGAGCCTGGCGGCGCTGGCGGCGGCGGGGCTGCTGAGCCGGCTGTGGCAGCTCGCCTCCCCGCGCGCCGTGGTGTAAGCGGGCCCCCGGGGTGGGCCCCCGCTCGGCGCCTCGGCCCCGGGGAGCCCGGCCGGCAGCACGAGCGCGCGGGAGCGCTGGTCTGACGGCGGGTGTCTCTGCACTTGGGGCACTTGGGGCGGGTGTCTCTGGCACCGGGCCTGTCCCAGGAGCGCGCCGGCCCCTCCCGAGCGGGCGCGCCCGAGGCTGGAGGAGTTTGGAAGCCGGTCTCTGACCCGGCGCTGCGGTGGCGGAGGCCCGGGCCCCTGCGATTACAGGGCCGCTTCTCACCTGATGGGCCCCGCGTGTTCTTTTCCACTTCACTCTCCGTGGTGGAAGGTGCCAGACATGCCAGAAGTAGGGAGATGGCGGCGTGACCGCCCCTCGCCCCTCAGAGCCGCCCTCCCTGGGGTGGGTGGTTTTTAAGTGAATCAGACAAATTGGCAGAGCCTGGTGCCCGCGCCATACCACCGCCTCACCCTGGCTCCTGGCGCCATCACTTTGCCTCCTCAGCCGCCCTGAGGGTTCATTTTTGCATTTCTCTTTCCCTTTCACACTGCTTTCCTGGGGCACCAGGTCCCAGGTCTGACTCTGGCGCAGAGGTGCCGGTGGATGGGGCCAGCCCCACGTCTATGAGGCCGCTCCATAGGTGGGCTCATGGTGCACCCCTAAATCAAAAACTAGGGAGAGAGTCAGTGTCGGGCAAACTCCCCGAGGGCCCAGCTGTTTTTGGTGGATTTTCCTTCCTGTCCTGGGTGAAGAACGCATGTGGGGATGTTCGGGCTTGGGGCGAGACTGGGGTGGCCCCTGCTGGGGCCCCTGAAGTTGTTCAGGGTCGAGCTGGCCCGTGTTTGCCTTGGAGCTGCTTGTGCGTGGTCGAGTTTTCCAGTTGAATGTGGCACGGGTTTTGCTTTTTCAGCTTTGACGAAGTGTATTACGGGCAGTACATCTCCTTTTACATGAAGCGGGTCTTCTTTTTGGATGGCAGCGGACCCCCGTTCGGCCACATGCTGCTGGCCTTGGGAGGTAGGACTCCTGTCCAAGAGGGGGAGCCATTTGAAGGCTGTGGTGGGGTTCCTTGGGCGGAGGACGTGTCTGGTGCTCATGACTCACTCACTGTCCCCTGCGCCCTTGGTCCTCGGGAAGTGTTTGCAAAGTGGGCCAGTTGCTGACGAGCCTTCTGTTTCAGGTTATTTAGGCGGATTTGATGGTAACTTCCTGTGGAACAGGATTGGAGCAGGTAAAATGCCATTTTCATTCCCCACCTTCATTGGCACGTACCGCAGCGGGAGGTGGTGCCGCTCAGAGGGACTGGCAGCCGCGGGGTAGCGTCTGGAGGGAGGGTGGGAGGGTATCTGAGTCCACGTGAAAGACACCTGCCGCGTCCGCTCATGTCCTGGCATCTCCCACTGTGAGGGCTTTACCTGCATTGGGCACCCAGGGTACCTCACCTGGCAGCCACTAATGAATATCTTCTGTGCGTGCTCTTCGAGCGTTGCCGGAGTCTTGGAAGTAGACGGGGTGAACTTATAGATGGGTAAAGCAGGGGTGCGTCTCAGAGCCCCTAGTTGGCACCGTGCTTTCTAAGAAGCTGGTTCTGAGCCCTTCCCTGCAGTCTACACGTGCCGGCCCGGCGTGGCCCCACCTGGGAGGCTGGCGTGCTAGTCTGTGAGCACGACACACTGTTTGCAACACAGCCGCTGCCCATGGAGGCGGGGTGTGCACCGAGCACAAGCCCGCCGTGTGCCTGCCTTGCAGAGTACAGCCCTAATGTGCCAGTGTGGTCCCTGCGCCTGCTGCCCGCCCTGGCCGGGGCGCTGTCCGTACCCCTGGCCTACCAGATCATATGGGAGCTGCGCTTCTCCCACTGCGCCGCCACGGGAGCGGCCCTGCTGCTGCTGATAGGTGAGCCCTGGGCCTGGCCTGGGGGGCTGGGGGTCACCATGCCCGGGCTGGGGAGCCGAGCCACGTGTTCAGACCATCATGGGGGCAGTGGTGAGGGCGGACCGAACACCGTCCCACCACCAAGCAAGCCCCTCATGAAACATACCTGCCCCTGCCTGCACTGCCCCCAGGCCTTGGCCAGTTGAGACGGACAGGGAGCTGCTGGGGAGACTGGGAGACAGGGAACACTCATTTCTGAGGGACGCCTCCCGTGTTTTAACATTCTTGGCCATGCATGGGCAGCGTCACCTCTGCAGATGACAACCGGACCAGAGGGGCTCAGGGACAGGCCTCACACCTGAGCATCTGCCCTCCTGGTTCTGGGCCTGGCCCCTTCCAGCCCCTTGGCGGTGCTGTGGCGCCCAGGACGTGTCCCCCGCTGGGCGCACCCTCACACCGCCACCTTGCCCCGTTCCTTCGCAGAGAACTCGCTGATCACTCAGTCGCGGCTGATGCTCCTGGAGTCGGTGCTCATCTTCTTTGACCTCCTGGCAGTGCTGTCCTTCCTCAAGTTCTCCCGCTCCCAGAGACACAGGTGCGGAGCAGGATATGCGTCTCCTGGGCAGCGAGAGGAGAGGCCTGGTAGCTTTCCGTCTTGGGGGAGTTTGCTCACTTAAAGTCTCCCCGGTCGCCTAGATGGGCTCTGACCTCATGAGTCCACCCTCATTTCTCTGTGACTTAAATCACCTGAAAAAGTTCTAGCTGGAAAGAATTCTGGCGGACTGATGTTTGAGGGTGTGCTGGTGCCCGAGTTTGGGGCAGGCAGTGGCCCCAGCTGGCGGCCCGCGTCCTCGCTGGCCTTTGTGGGGTGCTGTGTGAGCTGCCCCTTTCCTGCTGTCCTGCCTTTCCCAGGCCCTTCTCTCTGAGCTGGTGGTTTTGGCTGACGCTGACTGGGGTGGCCTGCTCCTGCGCCGTGGGGTAAGTGCAGGCCGCACGGAGGGTCCCCGCCTGCCGACCCGCCCGTGTCCTCCTGCCAGGTCTCACTTGAGGTTCCCCTCGACTGTCCTTTCAGCGTGAAATACGTGGGCATCTTCACATACCTGCTCGTGCTAAGCGCTGCTGCCGTGCAGGCCTGGCGCCTCATAGGGGACCGGACCTTGTCCAACGTAGGTGCTGCCCATGGGTGTTGCACTTGGGGGGACCTTCCGGTGTGGGAGCTGCAGCACCCCTGCTCCCCGCAGGTGCGTGTGCTCTGCCACCTGCTGGCCAGAGTGGGGGCCCTGCTGGTCATCCCGGTGGCCATGTACCTGCTTTTCTTCTACGTCCACCTGAGGCTGCTCTACCGCTCTGGGCCGCACGACCAGATCATGTCCAGTGCCTTCCAGGCCAGCTTGGAGGTGAGAAGTGGGCCCAGGCCGCAGACGGGAGGGCAGCGCCGGCTCGGTTTTCCTCTGTAGGCGCTACCGAGCGAGCTTCGGAGGACAGCCCAGATGAAAGCAGCGGGCGCGGGCTCGTCCTCCACGCAGTGGCGGTGTGGACGGGCGGGCAGGGCTGGCTGCCCGTGGCGGGGTGTGGTCAGGCGCCTCTGGGCTGGCGGCCGCTCGCCGGCGCCCCCGGCTGTGCTGTGCGACAGGGCCGGCACCCCGCTTCTCGCGGGGCGGGTCAGGAGGGAGGCTGAGGGGTCACGATGCATGTGGAAGGATTAGCTGAGTGCTCGGCCCCTCCAGGGTTAGCTTCCGGGGGGCCGCAGCCTGAGTGGGTGTGGGGACAGGCAGGGCCGAGGCCCCGCAGGGAGCTGGCTGCCCGGGATGCCCGCTCCCGCCAACACTCGCCTCTGTCTTAGGGAGGCCTCGCCCGGATCACGCAAGGCCAGCCCCTGGAGGTGGCCTACGGGTCCCAGGTCACTCTGAGGAGCGCCTTCGGGAAGCCGGTGCCCTGCTGGCTGCACTCCCACCAGAGCACCTACCCCATGATGTAAGCCCGGCCGCTGCCTCCCTGGCTGCCGCTGCCGGCTCTCACTGCCGGCCCAGGCGCCAGGGAGTCGCGGCTTCGATTCTGACGACCCCGCGCCCCCCTGTCTCAGTCCGACCCGCCCCGCTCGGGCTGCTCCTCCTCGAAACTGCTGTTTGTCCTGATCTTTCCCGAACACCTTGCGGGGCAGTCCAGGGGAAGGCTGGGGGGAGGTGTTGACCCCGCACCCACCCTCTTGCAGATACGAGAGCGGCCGAGGCAGCTCCCACCAGCAGCAGGTGACCTGCTACCCCTTCAAGGACGTCAACAACTGGTGGATGGTGAAGGAGCCAGGGAGGTGCGTGCGGGTCCTGGCTGGGCGCTCCCTCTGGGCCTGGCTGGCTCCCTTGCCCTGTCTGCCGCGCCCCCTCTAGCTTGGCTTCCAGCGCTTTGCTGCATGTCCCCAGGTCGGGCCTAGGTGGTGCTGGGTGACCTGCTGGCTCCCTGTCTCCCCCCAGACACAAACACCAGCCCCTCGAGGGCATTCTCTTGCTCAGGCCTCCCCCGTGGAGGCCCCACCTCCACTCCTCCAGGCCTCCCGACTCCACCAGGCTTCTGTACCGATCTCCACCCCCTCCCCAAGGCCAGCTCTGCTCCTGCCTTCCCCCATCCTGGTCCAGCCGTCCCTACGGTCGCCCTCCTGCTCAAACCCTTCCCCAGCTTCCATGGCCCTTTGTCTGGAATGAGACCCTGCACTGTAGCCTGCAGGCCCAAAAGTCTGGCCCGTCCAGCTCTTCAGCAGGACAGACGCCCACATGGCTCCTCATGTGCTAATGTGGCTGGAACTGTCCTCCTAGAACCTGAGGCCCAGCTCCTCCAAGACTGCACGCCCACTTCCGCGCTGCCACTGTCCACTTGGGCAGTCTCGGGGGGGCAGCAGCCATGCCTGGCTGTCCCTCCATGTGCTTCGGACCTCACAGCCCGTCGGCTTTTACCGAGTGACTGTTGCGGGACAGCGAGTCCAATACAGAGCAGCTGGCACAGGGTCCTGGCGAATGGACCGCCTTTGGAAAGTAACCTTAGGTTTCCAGAAGATCAAGTCAAGTGTGTGTTCCATTTACACACGAATTTACCTGGGAGCAGCTCCAAACCAGATGAGCAGATCCCTCCACATGAACACCTGGAACCCTTGGTCCCCGAGAAACTGGCACCACCAGCTGCACCCCCATGTCTTCCAGGCACCAGCTGGTGGTGAGCAACCCCCCGAAGCCTGTGCGGCACGGCGACATCGTGCAGCTGGTCCACGGCATGACCACCCGTGTCCTCAACACGTGAGTGTCCCAGGAGGCGGCTGGTGCACTCCACGGGGGCCGAGACAGCTGAATGCTTTCTGCAGAGAAGGAAGTGTGGGCGCTGCTCGGAGGGTACCTGCCCCCCACAGGCCAGCTAGGGGAGCCTCCTGCTGCCGGGCTTCACCCTCACCTGCCTGCTCCTTGGAGCCCCTCCCCTGCAGCTTCTGCGGCCCCTCCTCCCCAGTGCCCTGCACCCCGCTTGGGCGCCAGGGCCTCCAGCCTCTGGCCCCTGCTCCTGAAAGCATGGCCTCCTGGATGCTCACCTCTTGCTCCCGTCCCACGTTCCCTACAGCAGGAAACCCCATCATCTTGGCCTTCAGAACTGACCCCAGGCGAGGCCACTTTCTTCTCCCTTCGCTCCACCATCTGTCTTTGCTGTTCCTTCGTCCTGTGCGCTGGGAACTGGCTCCCTGACCCCCTGCTCCTGGCAGCCCCACCTGCCAAAACCAGTCTGCTCGTTTCTTCTGGAGCCCCCCCCAAAGTGACGCACCACACCTCCCTGGCAGCGGGCCCTCGGCCCGGCCACCAGCCTCCCTGGCAGCCCATCCTGTGCCCCATCCCCTTGGGGCCTCACACTTGCTCCGGTGCCCGGGACGCTCTGTGCGACGCCCGTGCCCACCGACTGGCTTTGCTCGGGCCGCTTCCCGATGCTGCCCTGGCCCATTCTGGTGAAGGCGTCACCTGCCGACGGCCTGTCTGGGCCGCAGGGATTGTCCTTGCCAGTCTCCAGGCCTTGCTGTGACCGCTCTCCGGGCAAGAGAGTGCAGGGCCGAGCGTTCACCAAGGGCCCTGGCAGGCAGGATGCTGAGTGAGCGGCGGGACCTGCTCTGGGGACTGGTGTGGCTTCGCCTGTCCATAGGCCTGGCTTTGGTCCTGCAGGCACGACGTGGCGGCCCCCCTGACCCCTCACTCACAGGAGGTGTCCTGCTACATCGACTATAACATCTCCATGCCTGCGCAGAGCCTCTGGAGGCTGGTGAGTCCCGGGGCACTGGGCGCGAGGCTTTCTCTCCGCAGAGCACCTGCAGCAGCCAGAACAGCCCTCAGCTGGGTGGGGCTGGTGGGTGGCTTTTGGCACGAAAAGGCTGTGTTTTCTCAAGAAGAGACGCCCTCACCAGGGACCCGGGGCTCTGGTGGTTTCCTGTGGACGGCCCGTGGCGGTGCTCTGGCTGGGCTCTGTGGCCAGCCCGCCAGAGCCGGGGGCTTCCTGGGCACAAGGGGCCACGGGCTCGGCCTCACACCCCCCTTCACCAAGGGAGACGGTCTCGGTCGCCTCTCGGCTGGTATTAGCAGTTTCCCTCGGCCGTGCAGGTGGGCGGGTCCCGAGGCAGCTGGACCTGTGGGGGACTGTTCACGCCACCAAGGGACCACACGCCACTGACACCCCTGGTGCTTCAGAGCTCACGGGACATGCTGGAAAGCAGGCAGGGGCCTGGGCCTGCACTTGCTCAGCGCCGGGGCGTGGCTTCAGCCACAGCCGGCGGTCGTGTTGGGTGGTCTCCCAATGAGTCCAGTCTCTTCCCGGGCTCCAGTTGGTTCCGCTGCTCCCACTTACCAACCTCTCCCACCGCCTCGTGGTTCTCAGCAGGGTGAGGGTCCGCTTGCTGCAGTGTCTGCTGAGCAGGGTCTGCACCCTGGTTGGTGTTTGTGTGGGCAGCCCCTCTGGCCTGTGGCCTCTGGTCAGCCACTGGACTGACCGCTGCTGCCACCTCCTCCTGGAGTTCTTGCCCTGGTGGGGTGTTTGCAGCTGCCCATGCCTGTGGGAGCTTTGGATGGACACTGAGCTGCAGGCGCCCCCCGCCCCGCTCCCCTCTCTGGCTGCCAAGAGCTCAGGGCTGATCCCTGCATTCTCCATGGTCCCTGCCGGTGGCACCTTCAGCCCAGGCTCCCACATGTGCAGGAACCAGTGCTCAGGGGACAGTAAGGGTGAAGCTGACCCCTCGTGCTCCCACTGGGCCCCTGGGTCTTCTGGTCCCTTTGGTGGCCACACGCCTTCACAGGGCTGTCAGGAGACTCCAATGAGTTAAGCGAGGACCAGCCAAGCGCCTTCCAGGTGTCAGTGCTTCGTCACCACGGTCAGGACCACAGGGACAGGCGCTCTCGGGCACGGCCTGTCCTCCCTTCACGGACCCTCCTCTGCGGGCCGAGCCCCGAGCCAGGGCAGGTGTGCTGAGGCGCACCCATCCTCCAGTCTCCGCTGCTGAGCCCCCCACAGCCTGTGCGGCTGCAGGAGCTGCCGTGCCTCCCTCACCTGCCCCTCCCGGCCTCCGGCACCCAGGTGCCCCTTGTCCCTCCCGCAGACAGTCACTTCCGACGGCCGGTGACTGGTTTTTGCTTGTAACCTGAAGGACGTGAGGGAGGTGACGGACAGGCCCTGCTCTTACAGGACATCGTGAACAGGGAGTCGGACACGGAGATCTGGAAGACCATCCTGTCGGAGGTGCGCCTGGTGCACGTGAACACGTCTGCTGTCCTGAAGGTAAAAGCTCCGCTTAGCTGGGCCCGGCTCAGGCTGTGGGCTCCCGGCATCCACGCAGGACTCATGGCTCAAGACTGGGCCCAACGGGGGGCTCCCTGAGGGTTCCTGCTGATGCGCTGGGGCTGGGCTTTCCCATCACCCCATGGCTATCCCGTCACCCTGTATCTCCCTTGGTTTTGACAGCTGAGTGGGGCGCATCTCCCGGAATGGGGCTTTCGACAGCTGGAGGTGGTGGGGGAGAAGCTGTCGCGGGGTCACCACGAGAGCATGGTGTGGAACGTGGAGGAGCACCGCTACGGCCAGAGTGAGTCCGGGCCACGTCCCGGGGAGGGCTCTGTGGCCGGGGGCGGGCTCGGGCGCCGTGGCAGGCTCGGTTCCTCCAAGCAGCCACAGCCAAAGAGACTCCGAGGGCTCGTTGAAGGCAGAGTGAGCGGAGCTTTCAGTTCTTCCCCTGGGGGTGCAGTCGTGGACTGGGGGCTGCATGGAGCCCTATGGCTTGGGCTGTCTGAAAGGCGGGGCGTCAGGTTTTCATCGAGCAGCGCTGTTGCCGTGAGCACCCTGGCCGCCTCCTCACGTTCTGTTGGGCTCTGGCGTGTTGTCAGGCCAGGAGCAGAAGGAGAGGGAGCTGGAGCTGCACTCCCCGACGCAGGCGGACGTCAGCCGCAACCTGAGCTTCATGGCCCGGTTCTCAGAGCTGCAGGTGCGCGGGCCAGGGCGGAGGGGCGTGTGGCTGCTCCTGGGGGCAGGCTCCCAGCAGGCAGGTGCTGCCATGGCCCATGCCTTTCCAGAGCTGGAGGGGCACATGCACCCTCACCCCGCGGCCTCGGGGCAGGGTGGGTGGAAATGGCACCCTAGAGAATCAGAACTGGGAAGTCTACGTCCTGAACCAAATCAGGTGGGGGCTGGAACCCCCAGGTGGGCACCTCCTGGGGCGCAGCCATGCGGGAGGCCAGGGAAGTGGGGCTGGGGTCCTCCCGCGGGCGGGCCACTGACGCCGGGGCCTCGCAGTGGAGGATGCTGACGGTGAGAAGCGATGAGTCGGAGCACAAGTACAGCTCCACGCCGCTGGACTGGGTCACCCTGGACACCAACATCGCTTACTGGCTGCACCCCAGGACCAGCGTGAGTGGAGCAGCTGTGGCCATGGCCCCCGCCCCCTGCCCCCGAGTGTGTTTGTTGCGTCCTGGGGCCCCGCGGCTGGCCTCTCACGCTGGCTGCTCGGGCCAGCCCTCTTTCAGGGCCCGGGGGCAGGAGCAGCTGTGCTGCCGCTGTGGGAACGCCCTGACCCCGTCCTGGCAGGGAAGATGCACCCGCTGGCCTCGGCCTGCGCCCCGCCCTGCGCCCCGCCCGGCACTTTCCGCTGCTGGGTGTCTAGAGCCGTGCGCGGCGGGGTGGGTGCCCTCACAAGCTCACTGCGGCTGTCTGGCCCTGGGGCCCTGGGATGACCTTTGGGCCCTTGGCGCTCGGCTCTCCCCAACCCAGCGTGGCAGGACACCCCGTGTGCCGGGTGGAGCTGGACGCCCTCGCGGAGCAAGTCAGTCCTCCTGCCGACAAAGCCCCATCTGTCCTGTTTGCAGTTTTAACTTGCAAAATGGCCACCTTAGCCCTTTTCTAGAAAAGGCCTCAGCTCTGTGTGCCCGCCCACCTGCAGGCGCAGATCCACCTGCTGGGGAACGTCGTGATCTGGGCGTCGGCCGGCCTGGCCACGGTGGCCTACGCGCTGCTCTTCCTCTGGTACCTGCTCAGACGCCGCAGGGGCATCCACGACCTGCCCGAGGGTGGGTCTTCCACCTGCCCCAGAGCCCTGCAGAGCTGCCACCCCAGCAACACCCAGCCCCAGAGACAGTGTAGCTCGGTTCCCATGTTGCCTTGGTGGCTCTGCAGGGGGTGCAGCGCTGGCTGGGTCTCTGCCGCCCCAGCGGGGGTGCAGCTGGTGCTCGCAGGATGGTGTTTGCAAGTGAGAAAAACCATCTCCAAACAGAAAAAGAAAACGTGCAAGGCAGGGCGGCCTGGCATGGGAGCGTGGCTGCTGGGGACTGAGCCGCCCTCTCCCTGCAGCCTGCCCCTCGGGTCCGCGCAAATGTGGCCCCTTGCGGTCCCAGGGCAGCCAGGGCTGACTTGGTGTCCCAAGTGCTTTAGCCCAGCTGGCTGGGGACCCCAATAGTAGGCACATGGGGCTGGCCTGCCTCCCAGGACCACTTTCTGCAGAGGGATGGGTGGAAACCACACGGAAGAGGAGCTTTTAGACAGTCTCTGCCTCCCGCAGAGCCAGTGGGAGGGCGTGGTGAGAACGGAGTGGAGCAGCTGACTCCGTCTCTCCCCCAGATGCCTGGCTGCGCTGGGTGCTGGCTGGGACCATGTGTGCAGGGGGCTGGGCCGTCAACTACCTGCCCTTCTTCATGATGGAGAAGACACTCTTCCTTTACCACTACCTGCCAGCACTCACCTTCCAGATCCTCCTCCTGCCCGCGCTGCTGCAGCACATCAGTGAGCACCTGTGCAGGTAGGGGCTTAGCCGCTGCACCCCGGGTCTGTTCAGTCAGCCCCACCAGGGAGGGGCCGGGCCACGGCCGGGTATGCAAGTCGTTGGTTCAGTGGGGCCAGGACTGGCTCAGTTTGCATGAAGAATGGGAGTCGAGAGGGCGGAGTCGGGGCTAAATGTGGATGAAGCTGCTGATGTGGCTGGGAAAGGCAGGGGACAGGAACGCGGGTGTTCTGGAACAGTCAGCCTGCGATAATGACGAACCAGAACGTTCTGTCGACCAGAGTGAGTCGTGGAGCCGTGGACTTCTCGCAAATCAGGATACCTTATGTAGCTCATGTGGTGTGATGTGAGGGGTTAGGGACAGTTGAGCTAAAGCAGAAGGTTCTAGCAGTGGGCAAGGCGGCCGAGCTAGCGCATCAGGTGGGCTGAAGGGGCGGCAGGGAAGGACGGGGGCTGGAGCCCATGCTGCCGCCGTGCAGGTCCCAGCTCCAGAGGAGCCTCTTCCACGCCCTGGTCGTTGCCTGGTTCTCCGCCGCCTGCCAGGTCTTCAACACGCTGCGCCCGCTGACCTACGGGGACAAGTCACTGTCACCCGGGGAGCTCAAGGCCCTGCGCTGGCGAGAGAGCTGGGACATCCTGATCCGAAAATACTAGCAGGACGCGGACACAGCGAGGAACCCCTGGGCTGGACAAGGCGGCATCTCGGTCCTGCGTGCCTCAACGGGGGGCCGGCTGGGCTGGTGCCAGCTCCCCTCCTGAGGGGCCTTGCTTTGAGCAGTTTCCTTCTTCCTGGCAATAATGAAGACGCCCTTTGGGTCGTCGCTTCTGAGGCCCTGGGCCAAGACACGTTGTGTGCGTGTGGCCTAGCATCAGACTCGCAGCAAAGGCAGGGAGGTGGGGTCAGCACCCCTGGCCCTGCTGAGCTGGGCTGTCCCCAGTGGCCCTCGAGGAAACACCCTGGACACAGCTGCTCAGGTCCAGCAGCTCTTGAGCAACAGGCCTGCGGTCAGAGCTCAGTCCCCGTCGTGAGGATTGGCTTGTCCTGCCACGGGGCCCGTGACCCCTGCCAGGGCCTTCTGCTGACACGTGGGCGCAGCCTCTTGGACTGCCTGGCCTGCCGCGTGGAGTCCTTGTACTGCGTTGGCCTTTTCATAAATACAATTAAAACAGGGACAATTTGACATTTGTTTTTGCTGTTGTTTATTTTCTTCCCCAAAGGGCACGTTAAGTTTTACAAAACTGCCAGTGGGCCTCAGAACCAGCCACGAGCCCTGTGCCGCCAGCTGCTAGTAACGGCTTGAGTGTGCGGCCGTGGGGCCGGGCGGGGAGCGCGGGCAGCACGGCACCTGGGGCTGCACAGCTGGCTCTGGGCAGCGGCGCACACACTGGCCAGAGGGTACATCTGCACGGGGCAGCCCCGGGGGCCTAGACCAGGAGACCCCCACCCCCACCCCGGCCGAAGGAGCTCTGCAGCTGCTGAGATCAGCGCGTCTGTGGACGGACACGACCAGCCAGTGGGTCACAAAACTGGACCGCGTCACAAGGAGCGCGGCGCATCAGAGAACAAGTGAAAACATTGGGATGTACAACGTGTAAAAAAGCAAAGTAACACCTCCTCCAAAGGTTCAGTTAGACGTGAGCCAGGTTCTGGAAAAAGCACCTGCTGTGGGCTCACCGTCAAACACTGTGCAGCGCCCAGACCGGGCTGGTCCCTCCGCGCCCCCACCGGGCCCGCACTCCTCTCGCATTCGGCGACCCGTGACCTAGAGACTCCACCCGCCTGACGTGGGGCTGCAGGTGTCCTACGGACTGATGCGGCCTACGGGTCGCCCTGGCTGGGGGGGGGCCTGGGTCCCTGCCTGGACGCTGAGAGGTGCGGTTGTGTTGGTGGGCAGGCACTTCCCGCCCCAGGCCCGAAAAGCGTGTCTGCCGGGGGCCCTTGGGGGTAGCACCCCCTTCTCAGTGGGGTCGGCTGCTCGACTCCAAGTGCGATCGTTTGCCTGTGGCCAGCACCCCGGGATGGTCTCCTGGCTCTGGAAATGTCCTCTTGCAGCTCCGCCCGTTGGTGCCCGCTCGATGCCACTTGCAGAGGTCGCCGTTGAGAATATCCTGGATGTGCTGCACGATCAGGTTGATGGCGACTGTGGAGACAAGGCAGGTGAGCGGTGGCTGGCCCCCCACGAGGCTCTTGGCCAGCACCTGCGGGCATGGGGGCGTGTGGGCATGGGGCCTGCAGGCAGTGACTCAAGCACAGCTCTCAGTGGGCAGAACACCACCCTGGCTTGGCCTGCAAGGGTTTCCATGAGCTAAGAACTCTGGATTCCCTGACAGACCCAGGGATCTTGCCGTAGCTCTGAGATACGACCGACACGCGGCACAGCACCCAGACAGCGTGTGCAATGTGTGATCTTTTGAAAGCACACGTGAGACGTGCGCCACAAATGGACATGCAGGCCTCACACACAGGGCTTCTTGGAGAGGCGTGGAGCCAGGACGCCCCCGCCGAGGGCCGTCTTGGGCGTCCTTACCCATGTTGTCAACCCCGCGCGGGATGATCACGTCAGCATACTTCTTGGTCTGCAAGGCAAAAAGGAGGGGTTGGAAGGCTCTGCCCCCCAGAGACACTGCTCTGGGCTAGAAGCAGCAGCAGGGAGCCGGCCAGGCGCCCGCACGCCTGTGCGCTGGCCAACGGGGCAGGGCTTCGCGGGCGTTCTCGGGCAGAGCGGGCAGGCGACCAGAGGAGCCAGCTTCTCTCCTGGGGTCTTGGAGAGGCTCCTAGAGCCCGCTCTTTCCCATGAACCCGCTGTGGGCGACAGCTCCAACTCTGTTCTGGGCCACAGGCGGGGCCCTTCCCGCCACAGGACCTGCCAGAGTGAGGGCCCCTGTGCAAGAGGCCGGCCGGGATGGTGGCCCCGACGTGTGGCTACCTAAGGCCTCGGGCCAAGGCTGGGGCCCGTCCTCTCGGATGAGCTGTCCAGTCTTTTACCATAAACCGCCAACTTCGCCAAGTGTCTCCAAGGACAACAGGAAGACTAATAATTTACTTTTCTAATTATTTTCCAGAAACTTCAGAGAACATTAATGTTTTAAAAAGCAGGGGGTTCTTTAAATAGCAGACAGAGCTCATCATCTGCCCTACTTTTCTGAAGCAGGAGCCAGGCCCTGGTTCCTCTGTGCTGTGTCTGTGTCTCCAAGCGCAGTAACAGTCACGGTTCTTCAGCGCCCCCAGTCCTACCGAGCCAGGGCTGGGATGGAGGCAAAGCCAGCGCCACCCCTCCCTGCAGCTGGGCCGGCGGGGCGTGGGGAGGCCTGCTGAGTGTCTCCCAACTGCAGGCACGGTCTGGGGCGGCGGACGGACAACCCCCCACCCACCCACCAAGGTGGGAACAAAGGAGGGGAAACAAAAAGCAGGGGGGCAGCAGTGAGGTCTCCGGGGCTCTCCCGGGCGAGGGAGGGGAAGCAGAGAAGGCAGTTAGAGCCCAGAGCTGGCTGCTGGGTGTTGGAGCTCCCAGGCGAAGGGAGGATGGGCATCCAGAGGAAAGAGGGGCGCACCGGCAGGCAGAACTCCTCGAAGGCCGGCTTCACGAAGGTGGTGTACTGCGTCAGGATCTGCTCCAGGTCCCGCCCACGCTGCACGTCCCGGAGCACTGGGGAGACAGGGCGGGGCACCTTCAGCCTCCGCAGGGCAGCCTGTCCTGGCTGGGCAGAGACCAGCGCCCGCCTCACCTCTTCGTGACAGCCTGACGTCGGAGTCGGTGTCCACGAAGAGGCGCAGGTGGAACATGTCCCGGATCTCCTGGCTGTAGAACACCAAGATGCCCTCAAACAGAACCACGTCCGCCGGGTAGACCACCGTGGTCTCTGGTAACCTGTGAGGCGGGACCAAGAAATGGGCCCTGGTAGAGGCACAGGTGGATGGGGCCCGGCACTGAACGGACGATGGTGGGGGAGAGGGGCATCCCCAGAAAACCCTACCACAGGGCCTGCTCGGACGCTGGCTGGCAGCTCCGGGGCGCCCTGACCAGCGCCCAGCCCACAACCACTCTCCCCCAGGAGCCACCTGCTTGCCTGGAGTGCGTCACGAAGTCATAGGTCGGCACCTCGACAGTTTTGCCCTCCACGATGTTTTCCAGAGTCCTGTGCATCAGGTCATTATCAAAAGCATCTGCAGGGATGGAAGAGGTAAGACAAGCAGGTGGCCCTTGCGCTGGGGGCCGCGGGGTACGCCAGCCACAGCTGGGTGCAGGTGGGCCAAGGACCCTCAGGAGTGTCTGCAAGGGACAGCGCCGGTCCTGTCCTGGCTGCCCTGGGGCAGTGGCAGTGCTCAGGCTGCTGCCCTGGAGGTCTGAACACAGGCCCGTGCGGGCAGGGAGGGAGGGAAGGAGACGTCTCCCCCACCTCCGGCCACCCCATCTCCGCCTGAGCCCCTGACCAGACCAAGAGACAAGCTGCCCCCCCAAGCACCCTAGGGCAGGTGTGGAAACAAAGGCCAGGTGGGCAGTGGGGTATGCCCAGAGCCCCCACAGTGGGCAGGAGTGGACACACCCACGACCGCAGTCAAGGCAGAGCCGTGGTCTTCAAGGCCCGAGTGGGCTTCCTGCCAGGCTCCAACTGAACCAGCAGCCCCTGCCAGGCCGCCCAGGGCCCGGGACACTGGGCAAAGGCCGCAGACTACGCGGGGTAAATGTGCCCTTCAAGGCCGGGTCTCCATAGCTACCTGGGTGGTCGAAATTGTACTGTCCCTTCAAGGCCTTGGCCTTCTGTTCCGTGGTCAGGACCTTATAGAACCGGTCTTGGCTCAGAATGACCAACTTCCGCTGCCTGTGGTCGACTTCGTTCTGTCCCAGCAGCTCCATGATCTTCTCGCACACGGTGGACTGGCAAGGCAGGAGCGGGAGGCGGCCTGCGGCGTCCACCCCGGGCCGCGGGCCTCCCCCCGGGCCTCCCGCGGCCCTTCCCGCCCAGCGCCGGCCTCAGGGACCTGACCCGCCACCCACGGGCGGCCCGGGGCCAGCGACGGGTGGGGGCTCGGGCCCGGCGGGGCCGACCCGCGCCCCCGGGGCCCAGGCCTCGGGAAGGCTGGGGCGCCCCGGGGCCCCGCCCCCTCCCCGCGGCACCCCGCGCCCGGCGGGGCGCCCCTGCGGCGGGCGGGCCTCCGCTCTCGGCCGGCGGCGCGCGGGGCTCCCGGAGCAGGAACGCGTCGGGGACCGGCCGGGGCCGCGCAGCCCCTACCTTCCCGCTGGCGGTGCCGCCGCTGACCCCGATCAGGAAGGGCCGCTGGTGGGGACGGTCGGCCTCGGCCGCGGCGCCCTCGCCGTCGCCGCCTCCCGACGCCATCGCGGGTCCCGGGGGCGCGCAGGGGGCGCCCGCCTCCCGCCGCCGCCCCCAAACAGCCGGGCCGCCCGCCCCCGCGCCGCGCTCGGAGCCGCCCCCCCGGAGCGCCACTTCCGGGCGGCGCGGGGCGGCGCGGGGCGCGCCGGGAGTTGTAGTCCGCCGGCGGCGCGCATGCGCGTCCTGGGCCGCGTGCTCCTGCGGGAGACGGACGGCGTCGGGCTCTCCCCGCCGAGGGGCCCCTCCGTGCCCCGAGCAGCCGGGGGACCAGCGGGCCCCGGACCCCCCCTCCCGCGGCCGGGGGGGCCGAGGGGGAGGGCGGCTTAGAGGGCGCTCGGGCAGCTGCCGGCCGAGAAGGCGGAGACCGGCCGGCCCCGCGCCCCGCGCCCCTCACCCCGCGGCGGCCCCGCGCCCCGCGGCCGCGAGTGTTCGGGGCTGCGGAAATGAGCCGCGCGGCCCGGGGCCGCAGGTGTCAACCCGCGCGGGAGGGGTGCAGGCAGCTTCTGCGGAGCAGGGGGCGCAGGGGGACTTGGGCGTCCTGAGCCCCGTGGGCCTGGGCTGGAAGGCCGAGGCGGGGCGGGGGGCACGGAGGGCCACCCCCTCGGCAGGAGACGCCGCAGCGCTTCAGGGCCTGCTCCGCTCCGGGCTGGCGTCCCAGGCTTGCCTCTGCTCCCCCGCCCCTCCCCGTGTGATCCCTCGCCTTCCTGAGCCCCCCACGGCCCGCCTTGCAGGGGTGAGGCGGGAAGAGCTGGGGAGAGGCTGGAGAGACTGCCCTTTCTTACCCACCGGTCCTGGAGGAGGGGCGGCGCAGGGGCCTCCCAGGGAGGCCAGGCGGGTGCAGAGGGTCGGGACCCTGGCACCGGCCTTTATCAGGGTCCTGGGTGGGGTGTTTCGGGGTTCCCAGGCTAGAGCCCGATTGGTCAATTCAAAGCAAAGGAGCAGGGTTGGGTGAGCCCCACAGGGTCCTTATCTAAGGGGTGCACCTGGCGGAGAGGCCCTGGCAGGCAGGGACACGGCACTAGGGCGGGCGTGGGGGCTGGAACCCGCGGGCTGGGGTGGAAGGCGCTCCCTGCTGTTGGCTTCAGGTGCTGGGGCCGGCTGGAGGCCGCAGCAGGCCCGCAGCAGCCCAGCGGGAGCACAGGGCTGGGCGTGGGCCGGCCCCCAGGACTGTCTTCTGTATCTGTCACCCACCCTCACGGGGCCAATGATTCTTATTTTATGATTTTTGTATCCTTAATGCCATGGCATTCGGGGGTCTCTCGGGACTTCAGCACGTAGGCTCACTACCCAGCCCAGACCACCCAACTCCCGTGGAGCCCAGCACCCCATCCTTGCCAGCCACCCTTTCCAGCATCCATTCCCCAGAGCTGTGCCACCCTCCTCGGCAGCCAGGCCAAGCGCCCCACCTCTGTTCTCAGTGACATTCCTCCCCAAAGTACCTAACAGGTCGGCTGTTCGGCCAGAGAGAAGCGGTGGTGGCAGGCTCTGGCCTGGCCGACTGATTCCACCTGGCACAGGGAGCCCCGTGGTGGCCAAAGGAGCAATGGGGGTGAGCTCTGCAGCTCCCGGGACCTGGGTTTCTCAGAACCAGGGGAGGCAGAGCTCGCCAGGCTCACCCTGACTTCATCTGGACGTCTCTGCACCTGTCCTCACGCCTCCCCAGCCCCTCAAGGTCTCAGCTACCCAGCCTGCCCCTCCGCCTTGGCCAGGCGGGTCTCAGCACTGAAGAGCAGACCAGGAGCTGGCGGGTCAGGCAGCGTTTATCGCCGTGTCCCTGCTCACAGAAGCATCCAGACTCGTTGTAGAAAACACATGACACGCACCCCTGAAATCACCCCCCATCCACAGGAAACCATGGTCTTACCGCTGGGGCTTGACCCACCTGTGGCCAGTTAGTGGCGAGACAGGGCTGGTTACCTAACTTGAGCAGCAGGAGGGCCCTGACGCCCCGGCCCTGTGAGGCGGGCACTGCTGCCTCCCCGATTCCCTGGTAAGGACACTGAGGAGCAGAGGGATGATTGTGACCTGGCGCCCCTGGCCGTGGGCTGCAATTGGACTCCATCAAAGGCTGAGCTAGGGCCTCCCGGGTGGCCTGGGGGTGAGTCTAAGGCTATCACTACTGAGGCCTGAGTTCCATCCCCAGCCAGGGAGCTACCCACATGGCGCAGCAGACCTCTCCTGTCTCCCCGCTGCTCCCCTCAGCAGTGGATTTCAGTCAGTCTGCCTGTTCTGCTCCCCACTCTGTCCTGGGGAATCCTCTCACCCTCCGCACCTCTGACCTGCACCCCAGTTCTACACACACACAAAGCTGAGCTAGCAGAAGTCAGCACGGCCCTGGGGCATCCGGGCACTCTAGACCCAGGATGGGCAGAATCTAGCAGGAAGCGCCATCTCGGGGCCTCGGGTAAAGAAGAGCCTCACCCAGTGTCCGGAGCACAGGTGCCACCAAGGGGCCAGGACCAGCGCGTTGTGGGGAGTAGGAGGCCAGGTACAGCAGCGGGTTCCACAACTGGCCGCCTGCGCTGCTGCAGCCTGAAAGGGAGCGCCCCGGAGTGGCACTGGAGCCGGCCGCGGCTCCCAGGGAGACAGACTCTGGGCAGCCCTAAGAAGGTGCAAACCCTCCAAACGGGAGAACCCCCTTCGGGGGCTCCGGCACTCAGCCCCAGGAGCTGCTTGTGGGCAGGGTGAGCCCAGTGGGTGGTGGCATTTTACCACTCTGGGCCACCCGCAGGGCTCAGGCTGCAGCAGAGGCCGGGGTGATGGCGGCGAGCAGTGGTTCCCCGGCCACGCGCCCCAGGGCAGGCGGCCCCTGCTCCAGGGCCGCGGGGAGGAGCACAGGGCCCATGGGCCAGCTCCGGCGCCGCGGCCCCTCCAGCTGCGGCCTCAGAGAGGCGCGTGGATTGGGCGCCGGGAGCGCGGAGGGACCCCGGGTCGGCTGGGGGCTGGTGGTCCCTGGGCCCATCAGCCACGGGGCTGGAAACGCGCCGTGACACTGGGGGCCGAGCATAGACGGGGCAGGCACCGGCTCGGGGCTCGGGGCTCGGCCTCTCAGGCTCGGGGGTGGAGGCCGCGCTGGCTCTGACCCCCCGGCGATGGGTTCCTGGCCTGGAGGGACACGGGCCGTCCCTGCCTCTGAAGCAGCAGCAGCAGCAGCAGCGTCCTGCGGTGACCCCCGCCGAAGGGGAGAGGCCGCCGGGCCTCGCCGCACCTGCCTCGGGCCTGCCTCTCACCCCGCCCGGACACCGGGGCGCCGGCAGGCACGCAGGGTCTGGGCCCCTCTGAGAGCCGCTCCCGACTGCCCGGCACCGCCTCCCTGGCTGCTGCCCCCCGCCCTGGGCTGCTGCCCGTGGCCGCCCGGCCCAGCGTCGGTGCCGTCCACCCCGACCTCGGGCAGGGCCGGGGCTGCCCCGCCGTCTGGGCGCCTCTCGCCGCGGTGAGTGGATCCCGCCCGAGGCTGTGGCTCAGGCCCTGGTGTGTGTGTGTGGGGGGGTGGCGCCATCTTGGATGCGCGGCCTTGGGCTTCTGGGCACCACGGGCGCTCTCGGGCTCGAGCGCCGGCCTCCTGCGGCCTGGGGAGCTTTGTCTCCTGCTCAGCAAACCCCGCCGTGCCCCGGGCCTGAGCCGTCTTGCCGTTGCGCCCTGGGGGGACCTCCCCTGGGCGTCCTGTGGCGGCTGTAGCTCCACGGAGCTCCCCCCGCAGCACTGTTTCACCCCCACTCCCCTTCACGGCCCTCGCTGGCCCGCGCTGCCCGGGACCCCGTGTGGAGAAAGTAACCTCAAAGTGGGTCCACAGCAGGGACGTCGTGGGCCCCTCAGGCGACAGCCCCGGCGCGGCCCGGCGCCTGCTCCTGCAGATGCGAACTCGCGGCCCCGACGCTCACCAGGAGGACGCGCGGCTGTTCTGCAGGCAAGTGTGCCGCAGCCACGCTCCCCTCGCGCAGACCCGCGTGGCCTCTGGGAACGCAGCCCCTCAGCGGCTGCTTCTAGTTCAGCCATTTCATTGCTGCCCGCGAATGGGCCCCCGGGCGGCCCGTGGGTGACTCGCGCTCCCGCCCTCCCCGTGGCTCTGGGGCGCTGTCAGCAGCAGCAGCTCTCTGGAGTAAATGGCAGAGATGGGGTGCAAAGTCTTGGGGTGTCAGGACGTCAGGGAGTGGTCACCTGCCGCAAAGGCCCCTTCCAGGGCCTCTCCCGGCCCGCGTGTGAGGGCGGCGGCTCCGCCACCCGGGGCGCTGGGGCACGGGCGGCCCCGAGCAGGAGCCCCTGGCGCTTTGTGAATTTCTGCTCTCGGCTTTTTGCCCCTCAAGCATTTGGTGTGTGGCTGTTCCTTTCCGGCGCCTGTTCCCGTCGCGTGAATGCTTCCCGTCGTCTCCGGGGACACTCAGGAGGGTTTCTCGAGTTTTTCTCTCGCTGCCGCCTCAGTTTCCTCAGTTGCCTTTTCCATTCGCTCTGTCAGCTGAGCGGCTTCGGGTCCGCGTGGCTGACCCGCACTCACTTGGGGCGGGTAGACGCCCCGAGCCTGGGTGAGGCTTGCTGGGAGCTTTCATGAGGAAGCCCTGCTGGTTCTGTAGGTTTTCCCTCAGGCTGGTCGTACCCCAAGAGCGGACTCTTCTGCTTGGCTGCCTGGCTGGGGGAGGCCACCGCCCGCTTTCTGGGCACCAGCAGCCCCCCAGCCCCTGGTTCAGGAGGCAACGTTTTGTCACTGACTTGTCGCTTTTACTGTGGCCTTGGAGTTCCCTTTCTAACCCCGACCTCCTGCTCCCGTGGCTCACGCGGAGACGGTCCCTCCTGGTGCTAACCCCGGGGGGTTCCCCTTCTCGGCTTTGTCTCCTGTCACCTCCGAAGCCAGCTCCTTGGCTAAACGGCCCGTTGGCTCTCCACACTCCACGTGGCTTCTGTCTTCTGGCTGACTCCGGCTGGCCTGCCACACACCCCGAGCTCAGCCCAGGCCCGCCGCTGCGCCGCCTCTCCCTGGAGGTCTGTGAGCCCGTCTCGGGGGTGCTGTCTGTGGGAACCCTGTCCACAGGTGTGGGTCGTGTGACACCAGAGTGATTTAACTTTTGCTTGGGATAAATACAAACTCTTCCTTGGAACCATGTTTTTTATTTTTAAAGATTTATCTATTTATGCAACAAGAACTGGGGTACAGGCCAGAGGTAAGGGGGTGAGAGGACTCACCAGAGACAGAGTGGGGAACAGAACAGGCTGATTGACTGAAATCCACTGCTGAGGGGAGCAGCGGGGAGACAGGAGAGGTCTGCTGGGCCACGTGGGTAGCTCCCTGGCCAGGGATGGAACTCGTGCTGCAGAGGCTGGAGACAGCTTCACAGTGCTGAGGCTTAACCCCTTGTGCCACCAGGGAGGCCCGCCAGGCGTTTTATTTTAATTGAAGCCCCGTGGTTTACACCCGGGTCAGTGTTTTGGAAGTACAGGATCAGCGCCCCCAGGGTAGGCACCTTAGCACACCCTAGTTCTCACCCTAGTTCAAGGCCCCCATAGTCCACCACAGACCCTCGCCCACTCCCCACCCTTTCTCACTCCTCCCCTCGGCGTCAGTCTTAGTGTAGGGGTGTCAGGCCCAGGGGAGGCTGAATTTGAACCCCAACCCATGGGAGACTCAGGCCTGTGCTTACCGTGAATGGGGGAGCTGGGGAGTGCGCAGACCTCTCCTGCCGCCCGCTGCTCCCCTCAGCAGTGTGCTTCGGTCCTTCTGCCTGCTCTGCTCCCCGCTCTGGCTCTGGTGGGTTCTCTCACCCTCCCATGATTCTGACTGTGCCCAGCGCTTGTATAAATAAATAAATAAATAAATAAATAAATAAATAAATAAATCTTTAAAAAAAAAAAATGAAGGAATGTTAGATTTTCAGCCCCACGGTGTGAGGCCCTTTACCTTCGCTGCTTGCCAGTGTCTTCCTGGCTGGGGCATCAAGGCCCCCTGCAGCCCTTACCGATCAGCAAGTCACCTGCTTTGCTGTAACTTAGGTCTGGATGGTGAATTCTTTCCTCCCTAAAGAAGGAGCGCGGACCCCCGGGGTCCCTGGAGCTCCCAACAGATTTTGCTCCCTCGTGCAGAGGAGCCCCCCGCCTCCCAGCGCGGCAGGTGCGGGGAGATGTTCTGTTCATTTCTCCTCGGCCCTGCGCCCCGCTTCAGGGACCCGGGGGTTTCATCTCCTGCCCCATCTGGGGGTGACACTCCAGCCCCGACCTTAAGACCAGCCCCCCGCGGCGCCCCCACCCCCCAGAGCGCCCCTCCAGTTCCACACTGGCAGGCGCCGTCCAAGGCTGACTTGCAGCTCGCTCGGGGCTCCGGCCCAGCCCGCGGGGGAGACTCGGCGCCTGCAGAGCCTCTGGTCTCTGGCCTCCCCGCGCACAAGTGCGCTCAGCTGCGTCCCCAGCCCCTCGGCCCATCGGGGCGGGGCGGCCGGCGCAGGCTGGGCCTGGAGCCACCTGTGGGTTTCTGGCGTCAATGATTAACCAGCCGCAGCGCCAGGAAACCCGAGCCGCCCCAGCCGGCCCGGCGCGAGCCCCACTCGCCATGGAGCCAGGTAGGCGCGGGCCAGCGCCCCAAGGGGCCGCGGGGGGCGGGGGGCAGGAGCAGCAGGACCCAAGGCCGGACCTGCAGTTCTGGGGGTCCGCGGAGGCCGCTGTGGAAAGTTCGGGCAACTTTGTGGGCGCGTCTGCCCCCATCTCTGGGGAGGCCTTGGCCGCGGCAATGGGGGTGCGCCTCCTCCCCCACCGTCTTGCTTTTGGGAGCAGGGGAGGGGCGGCCTGGCGGTGGGGCACCGAAGCGACCCCAACCGGGTAGGGGACAGCCGGAGCCGGGTGTGGGGTGGGGGGACAGCTGGAGCCCGCGTGCGCGGTGCGGCAACCCACGACCCCTCCGCCCAACCAGGCCGGGGAAGGGGGCCGCGTACCCCATCCCCACTTTCCTGAGTCTCGGGCTTGTGGGGTGCCGGGGCTGCAGACTCTTGCCTGCCCCCCTTTCTACCTCGGGTGGGGGTGCACTAGATTTTGTCACCTGCTGGGGAGAGGCGGTGGCCAGGAGTCTCCAGCCCTGCCTGGGGCGGCCCCTGGAGACACGCGCCCTCCCCTGCCCGCTGGAATGTCCGGAGGCTCCGCTGGGCCAGCACAGCCTGTCCCTGGCCTGTCTCCCCTCGGCCTGGCTCCACTGGGCGGGGGCGCTGGGGCTTTGTGGTGCTAACCCGGCGGGGGTTGGACAGGGGTCCCCAGAGGAGCTGGCAATGCGGGGTGAGAAGGCACCTGAGGCTCAGGTGGGGCGGATCAGCTGTTCTTGTTTTCACCTGACTGCTGGCCTCAGACAGGTGGGAACAGGCCGGGCCTTTCAAGTCCCGTGCCCCGAGGTGTTCCTGGCCCCCGCCTGCCCTCTGCTCGGACACGATCTCCCCCAGCAGGGCCTGGCGCCCAGGGGGCTTCACATGGTCGCCCCGGGGTTACCCCAGCCTTAGGGGCAGAGGGCAGAGGAGAGGGCTGGTCTGCGGCCCCCCTGAGGACCCGGCCCCCACGTGCAGTCAGGTGGGGTGCCACCTGTCCCCCCCCTTTCCCGCCTTTCATTCGGTCACCTTCGCTTGGCTGCCCCTCTCCTGCCCCGTCCCCGACCCTGCCCGGCTCTGGCCACCGGAGCCGCGTTTCTGTATCAGTTACCGCTGGGCTTTGCGGCATCACAAGCCACACTCGGTGTCTGGGGTTTGTAGGTCAGCGTGGGGGCGGGGGCTGCTGTGACCCCTGAGAGCGGCGAACCCCGGCACCCTGGGCCAGGCCGGCCCCTCGGCCTCATTCCGGCCAGCACAAGTGTCGGTGCCGGGGGAGGGTCTCGCAGGTGGAACTGAAGCCCCGAGGCAGGTGATCTTCACCTGCACTTAGCTGGCCAGACCTGCCCAGCTCTCCCTCCCAAGGTGTGTGTGTGTGGGGGGGAGAGAGAGAGAGAGAGAGCGAGCGCGCGCGCGAGCACACACTCTTGAGCTGTGGCAGAAAGAAACCTGGTGTTGAAGCACGAGAAGGAGCTGGGGCTGGGGCGTCGCTCTTGGCTTTGAGGACGGGGAGGGCCCCGGGCGAGGCCTGCCAGCAGCCTCTGTCTCAGACCCGCAGAGCTGGATTTTGCCAACAACTAGAATAAACCTGGAAGCAGAATCTTTTTTTTTTTTTTAAAGATTTATTTATTTATTTGTACAAGCACCGGGTACAGTCAGAAGCGCGGGAGGGTGAGAGAATCCACCAGAGCCAGAGCGGGGAGCAGAGCAGGCAGAAGGACCGAAGGACACTGCTGAGGGGAGCAGCGGGCGGCAGGAGAGGTCTGCGCGCCATGGGGGACCCTCCTCTGGTGGCCGGGGAGCAGCCGGGGATCGAACTGGCGCTGCAGAGGCTGCGGGCAGCTTCCCAGCCCAGCGCTCAAGCGCTGCGCCCCGGGGGAGGCCCTGGTTCTCTTTTCTTTACTGCAGTCACTCTGATGCGTGTGCGGTGAGTGGTGGTTGTTTCAAGTCACTCCGGTTGCGCCAAGTTGTTGGACGGCAGGGCAAGCTCCCGCCCCTGCACGCATGAAGGACGCGTGGGTCTCCGGGTTGTCTGTTCTTTCAGTACTTAAGGGGCTGCCGCCCTCTCCCGCCCTCCCCGTCTGCCGAGTGTCTGTGGCTGTTCCCGCTGCAGCTCTCCGTGTGCGCCGCGGCCTTGTCCTCCGCCTGCTCGCAGCCGCCTGGGACCGTCTCTGCTTCGAGAAGGGCTGGGACGGGGCAGCCGGGACGGGGCAGCCAGGGGTCCTGGTTTTGGATTCTCTGAGTTTTATGAATCTGTAAGTTTGTTTTTCACCAAACTTGAGACGTTTAAGGCCATTGCATCTTCAAGTGTATTTCCTCGGGGATACCTCCCAGACCTCCAGGGAGGGGCCCGGCCCTTCTGGCGCTTGAACTGGTTCTGGAACTCTGCTCTCCCCCCGCCCCCGTCCCGCTGGTCTCCCTGCGCTGGCCCCCGTGTCCCAGGACTCCGGGTCTCTGGCGCGTCCGTCCTGCTCCCGAGCCCGGGCCGCGAGCTCGCAAGCGCCGCTGTCACGGGCGCGAGCTGCAAATGTCCGTTGGCCGCTGCTCGCCCGCTCGCAGGCGCCGTTTGCCGGGAGGGGTCCTCCTCGGGCCTCGGGTGGGCACGGGCGGCCGGCTTTCCCTGGGGAGCTGGCCGCGGCTCCCGGTTCTGGTCGGATGACTTCGGCGCGTGCGGGACCCGCGGGCCTGTGAAGCGTCTCCGCGAAGCGCTGCCTCGCTTCCCGCTGCCGCTCAGCCCGCGCCTTTCCAGACACGCCCTGTGTCGCCTCCAAGCGTTGTTTCTAAGTGGCCAGGCTTGGGGCTCGAGCCCCCGTGGTTCCGGGACCTCCTTCTTGGAGGGGCTGTTCTGGGGGGGCCAAGGGGGGTCCCATGAGGGAGCTCAGCGCACCTGCCTCTCTTCCCAGGAGCCGACTCGAAAGGGGGCGGCGCCCCCGCAGCCCCCGAGGACACCCAGATTCCAGCCCAGCCCCCGCACCCTGAGCTCCCGCGGCTCCCGCGCCGCCCGCAGCTGCTGGACGAGGAGGGTCCCAGCGAGGCCGGGGCCGCCGGAGCTGACGGCAGCTGCACCCCCAGCCCAGAAGAGCCCCTGGGGGAGACCTCAGCCACACTCCCTGCCCAGACCTCCAGTGAGGCCAGGCTGGGGCCCAAGCTAGTGGCCGGCGGGGTCCCCAACATTGGCTTCGTGGGGGAGCCACCCCCTTATACGCCACCGGACCCCAAGGCCATGCACATGCTGTACCCGCCTTTCCCGCCTGCGCCCCTGCTCTTCCAGCCGGCGCCCGCACCCCAGGCCCTGTACCCGCCGCCCGCGCCCCTCTACCCCACGGCCACCCCGCAGCCCCTCTTCGCGCCCTTCCCTATGGTGAGTGGCGCCTCGGGCCTCGGGCCTCGGGCACAGCAGCGCCCCTGGCCACTCATCTCCCCTCACCTGCCCCGCTCACCCCACTTCTCTTCCCGCACTGCCTCCCTGGCCCCTCCCTCCCTCTTGGGGAGCGCTGAGGCCCTGTCTGAGGGGCTCTGTGCCCAGAGGAGGAAGGGCGCCCTCGGGGCGTGTGAGCTGGGCGCCAACAGGAGGGGGCGGGGCACAGAGCTGGCCCTGGGGTGTCTGGGCTGCTGGCGTGTCCAGCTGGGTGGGGAGGGCAGGATGGGGGGGTGGGGTCCATCGGGGGGGCCCCAGGGCCTTTGGGTGGGAGGGGGCTTGGTTACATTTTCTGAAACCCCCAAAAGCCCGGAGGGGCCCGTGGGGCAGTGTCCAGGCGGCCCCTCCTGTGGGCCGGGAGCCTGGGCCAGCGGTTTGCAGAGCCCGGCCCCTCGGGGCTGAGTGACAGGCGGGGGTTGAGGGGCGGGCCCCGGGGGCAGGGACGGGTCCCCTCACCAGCGGCCTCTGCCCTCACAGTACAACAGCCCCGTGGGCGGGGCACCGGCCCCCACCCCGGCGGAGCACAGGCCCCTGCCCAGGGACTACATGGTGGAGTCGGTGCTGGTGACCCTCTTCTGCTGCCTGCCCTCCGGGCTCATCGCCGTCGTCTACGCCCACGAGGTGGGTGGGAGGTGCAGCCCCTGGCGGGGGTCACGGCCCCTCCCCAGCAGGGCTCCGGGGCTTCTCCCCCTGCGGCGGCAGGAGCTGGGAAACGCGTGTTGAGTGGGCTGTGGGGTCCTTGACCCTCTTGAGTGGACACCCCCCTCCTGTCTGCCACTCAAGGCCTGTTCTAGAAAGTTCGGCTGAAACAACTCACGGGGAGCTGCCCGCTCGGGAGGCGCCTGTGTTTAGCGGGGAGGGTCTGCCCATCCTCTCTTCTGTCCGTTCTCCTCCGTCTGTCCACCGGCCTGGCTGTCCCCTTGTCCGTTCACCCCACCCCCGCCCTTTGATCGTCCATCCGTCCCTCATGCATCTGTCCACCCGCCTGTCCACCCGCCCTGCTTGTCCGTCCGCCCTCCTGCCCCTCCCCATTCCCCTTCCTGCGGCCCCTCCTTCCTTCTCCTGACGCCCTGGCCGTGGCCGGCCGCAGGTCAGGCCCTGGGGACTCAGTGATGCGGCTGTGACGGGTCCTCACGAGCAGGTGAACCTCCGGGGCCTGCTCACGGCTGACCTGGCCGCAGCCCTGACGTTCCCCCCGCTGGCCAGGACCTTGGAGGCTGCTGCCTGAGCCTCTAGCTCCACCCGCGGCTGTGTGGCCCGGGGCAGCTCACGCAACCTCTCTGAGCCTTGTCTCCTCTGTGGAGCGGGGCAGCGCAGGGCGGCTGGGAGAGCGTAGCTGAGGCGTCCTGGGCCCCGGGCCTGAGCCGGCAGCCGCCTCCTCCCGCTCCTGCTCCTTTACGAGCCGTCCAAACTGGGGCCCTCCCCTCTTGGGGTGTCTCTCGCTTTCTGGGGTGTCCATTTGCTGCTGTGTGAGGTGCTGGCAGGCGGGCAGGGGCAGGGGCAGGGGCCTCTCATCGCCCCACCTGCGTCTCGTTGCAGACCCGCGCGGCGCTGAGCAGGGGTGCCCTGGCCCAGGCCGAGGAGGCCTCCCGCAAGGCCCGCTCGCTCGTGTTCTTCAGCCTGCTCTTCGGGGTCTTCGTGTCCACCAGCTGGGTCGTCTACGTGCTGGTGGCCCTCTACCTGCCCTGAGGGCGTGTGGCTCCTTGCGACACCCCCGCCCGGGACACGGCACTGGCCAGACTCTGTGGACTTTGCTCCCCGCCGGTGCCTCTGCCACCTGCAGAGGGGAGCTGGGGGGCAGAGAGGGCGGACTCTGCTGTCCTCAGCAGCCCCTGGCTGGGCCTCGGCCCCCACAGTGGCCCTGGGCTCCTCCTGATTGGCGCGGCCTGGTTCAGGCCACCCTGGGCGGGAGCTCAGTGGAGCTCCACAGGCTTCTGCCGGGGCTTCTTGAACCCACAGTTGCTTGTTTTCCCAGCAAGGACTGGTCGGACAGGGCGGTTTGGCCACACAGGATGGATGTGCGGGGCCGTTGGCCAGGAGAGGAGCGTGGGTCGGGAGCACGTGTGGTTGCCCCGGGGCTGAAGGTGAATACCCAAGGGAGGTGGATCTTAGCGGGGCCACGGCCCCGAGGCCGGGACTCAGGACCCACTGTGGGCAGGGAGACACCCCGGGTGCCCAGACCAGCACCGGTTCAGAGCTGGGGTCCAGGAAAGACCCCTTGGAGCCTTGATGGCCTGTGGGGGAGTGGGGCGCCTGCCCGCCAGCAGGGAGGCACAGGCCTGGGGTGTGGGTGCCCGCGTCACCAGGGCAGGGCTGGGCTGCCAGGAGGGGTGCCGGGGGCAGAAGGCTACTGACACCCACACCGAGCGCACCCGGAGCCCGTTCCCCTGAGCTCCCTGCGAGCGGAGGCCTTGCTCTGGGCAGGCACCACGTAAAGGAGGCTTGGCACGGGGAGGGCAGGAGGCTGAGGCAGAAAGCTGAGGTACCCATCAGCTCTGGCAAACTTTTTTAAAAACAACTTTATGGTGCTGCAGCCCGGCCGGACCGCGTAGCTGTGCAGTTCAGCTGCGTTCAGTGGACAAACGGACGGGCTGCCCGGCCAGGACCGCGGCGGTGGCCACGGCGGCCAGAGCCTTCCGCCCCCGCCCCTGGGCCCCTCACAGACAGGATTTCCTCTCCCGGGCGCCACAGACCTGCTTTCTGTCTTGAGATGTGCTCTTTCTGCACGTTTCTGTTCCTGGACCACTTCACGCCGTGCCGAGGAGGCCCGAGAAATAAATAGTGCCCCGTCTGCAGGAGCCGGGCGCGGCCCCACGCACAGGGAGGGGAGGGCGGAGGCTGCTCACCCCTGGGGCCTGCGTGTTCCTTACTCCTGCAGGCACCTCCTCGGTCTCAAGGCGTGGCGAGTTCTGGAGGGGGGGGCTGCGGAGCCACCTCCTCTGGAATTGGCAGGTGCCCTTACCTTTCCGTGGCCCAAGAGCCAGGCTCACCCCCCAGGTTATCTCACTCTCTTGCCCACTGGTGCAGCCAGGCAGGGATGGTGAGTGTTTGTAGAGTTTGCATAGCAGGAGGCTGGTCTGAGTTCTGTGGTCTACCAGCACCAGAACTGGAAATTCTTCCTGATGTATTTTTGGAATGATCTTTAAGATCATGTGAAATCGTCTGGCATTTTCTTTGGAATAGTTTTGAAAATATATATATATATGAATCTGGGGTTAATAGACACCTTTAAGATAGTTAATCTCTATACAAATATGTGTCTTTTAGCTTACCAAGATCTTCATAAAGCCTTATCATTTTTCTCATATCTCTCATTGAATTGGAGCTGGCGTAGAATATTAGTGTCAGCTGTACAACATGACGTGGCATCTGTAATGAAATGATCCCCAAAATAAGTCTAGCTACCATCCATCACTAGAGTTACAAAGTTGGTTTTTCTTGTGATGACAACTTTCTAGGTTCTGTTCGCGACTTTCAACTATGCTGTACAATAGCATTAACATAGCGCTACGCTGCACATCACATGCCCATGACTTCTTTATATTACAACTGGCGATTTTCTCCTTTGACCCCCTTCATCGGTTTTTTTCTGCCTCTGAACTCTGGCAACCACCAATCTGTTCTCTGCATCATGAGTTCATTTTCTTCTCAGACTGCATGTAGAGGTGAGGTCACACGCATGTGTCTTTTGTTAACGTGGCGTGTCGCACAGACTGACTTGCTGATGTCAAACCATCCTTGCCTCGCTGGAATAAAGCCCACGTGGTGGCTGTGAGTCTTTGACTGCAGTGTTGAGTTTCGTTTGCTGCTCTTTTGTCCAAGAATTTTGCATCTGTGTTCATCAGGGATATTGATCTGTAACGTTCTTTTCTTTATTTCTGAAGATTTATTTATTTACGTGTAGAAGAACTGGAGTGCAGGCCAGAGGTGCAGGGGGAGAGGATTCACCAGACAGAGTGGGGAGAGTGTATGTTGCCTAATCTCCACATATTTGTTAATTTTCACTTTTTTCTTGTGACTGGCTTCATGCCATTAGTGTTGGACAAGATGTTTGATTTCAGTCATATGCGCAGCGTAGGACCCATGTTCCATGTGTGCTTGAGAAGAATTTGCATTCTGTTGACTTTGGATGGAATATTTTCTATACATTCAGCTCATGTCTGTGGCTTAAGGTCAATCTCCTTATTGATTTTCAGTCTGACTGATATACGTAGGGTATTGAAGTCCCTGCTGTCATCGTGTTGCTGTCTGCTGTCCCTCAGATCGGTTACTATTTACTGTATATATTTAGGCACTCCTGGGTTGGGGACATATTTACAAAATGTGATCACTTGGATGGACTGTCTCACACTTCTGTTGGGCTTATTCCTGGTATCTTAAGACTTGGGATACGAGTATAAATAGGATCTTTAATTACGTTTTCTAGTTGATTGCACAGAGCGATGTACTTAGGTGACTTTACAGTGACCTCCTTGACTTTTTAGCATTTTCTTGCGTTATTTTTCTGTCCTTGCATCATCAGCCAGGATCTCCAGTACAGCAGTGCGTGAACAAAGCGACGGTGAGAGCCTGACTTTGATCTGATATTAAACGCCTTAAACATCTCCCCATTAAGTACAGTGCTTTTGTAGGATTTTGTAAAGATGATCAGATTCAGAAGTTTTTGATTTGTAGGGAAGAGTATTTTTTTTTTTTTTGGTGGGACCCTCGCCGGCGGCCAGGGAACGAACCGGCGCTGCAGAGGCTGCGGGCAGCCTCACAGCCCAGCTCTCAGCCGCTGCGCCACCGGGGAGGCCCGTGAAGAGTATTTTTTAAAAGATAGTAACAGAAGCCTTCCTGACCAGAGCCGACCATGCAGCGTTCTTCCTCTAAGCAGCTCATGTGGTGCCTCCAGGAGAGGCTAGGCCACGCCGTGAGACCTCGCAGACCTTGAAATGTCAGTAGTGAGCGCAAGTTCAGTTTTAGCTTGTGAACTCCAGCGTGGGGCGGGGTGGGTGTTCCCTCCACTTGGGACTCTGCCCTCGTCACACCTGGAATCCAAGCGTGCCGTGGCGGGTAAGGCATGGAGGTGGCACCCCCCACTCTTGAGTCCCCAGTGCAGAGGTGCAGAGTAAGAGTCCAGCATCCGGGGTCAAGTCCACTCACCCACTTGATGTCACTCCATCCTTGCGCGCAAGCGCGGCTCCGTCGGGAGCACTGATTTTCAAACGTTGCTGGTTTGGGGTCAAGATGATTTTAGACGTTTTATATCAGTATTCCCCTGTCATTTTCTTGCACGGGTTTGATGTAAAGGTTGCATTCCACACATGAAACAGGTTGAGAAGTGTTCCCCTTGCTGTTCTCTGGGTTTTTTTGCATAAGATTGAAGCTACCTGGTTTTTGTTTGTTTATTTTTTGCATAAATTACCTGTTAGGCTTGTCTGGACCTGAAGTTTGTGAGTGGATGTCAGATCACATTGCATTTCTTCAAAGTCAAGTACCCCTTCCCTGCACTTGCTGGTTGTAGCATTTCGCTTGCGCGGCTTTTACGTTACGAGGACTGAGTGAGTTAAAATGCTCTGCAGCGTCCGTGGACGGTGTTCCAGTGAGAGGTAGTGGCGCCAGCTCCCCAGACTCTGTACCCAGGTTAGTTCGTTGAAGCATCACAGGCCTTATGAGGTGGGAGCCAGGACCCCACATCCTGCTGAGACACGGGAACAGAGGAGGGGCCCCTTACCCAAGGTCAGCTGGCTTAAGGATCTGAGGCACGACGTGGTGGGGGCAAGCGTGGTTTGGGGTGACAGCATGTGAGCCTCCTGGGTTGTTGGCTCAGCTTGTAAACCCCCAGGCCCTGGGAGGGGATGCTTGGCTGGGGTGTCTGACCCCCCCACCCCCTGCAGAAGCCTGACTGCCTCGGTGACCCTCGCTGTTCCTTGCCCCCCCGCCGCCAGCAAGGACCAGCCGGGTTCCAGTCTCGCAACCTTGGCTGCAGCTCAGCTCTGAGGCCTGTACCAGGCATGGCACCTCCCTGTCCCCTGGGGGCACTGGGGCCAGAGCGGGCTGGTTCTTGGCATTGTCAGCTGGTGGGGAAGAGGGGAGTGGAGGCTTTGGGAGCTGAGTGGGGACAACAGCAGATAATGGGGAAACAGAGGCACGGGTGGTGGAGTTTTCCTGAGGAAACAGCTGGTGACTGAGCCACACCAAGTTAGGGGAGGCTTAGTGATGGTGCCTACAACACCCCAGTTGCTCAGTAGGCAGCTGAGGGGGTGCAGTAGCTCCTCGAGTCTGGGGTCCCTTCTCTTGGACCCTGAAAGTGTCACCGGCCCAGGGACATTAGCTCCACCCCACCTTGGTTTTAAGCTGCCGCCTCCAGCATGCCAGCCCCTGCCTGCCACGTTCCCCTGTGGTGGCCCTCATGCATGCCCCGGCACGGTGCAGGGCCCAGAGTGGGGGAGCCCCGAGGTGCTGGGTCGTGCAGGTGCGGAGGGGGACTGGAGGCGTGACTGGCGTAGGATGACTGAAGGCCCGCTAGCAGGGGAGCTGCAGCCACTGCAGGGCAAAGGAGGGACTGGAACCCACAGGGTCACCTCCCTGGGTCCCCACAGACGCAGCTGCGGGGCCGGGGGCGGGGCGTTGCGGCGGCGGGGCTGCAGGGGTGTGAGCACAGCACAGCCGAGCCCGCCGGACGCCACCCAGGAGTTTGTTTCACTGGGTGGGCGGGAAGCGGCGCAGTTCTGCGTGTTGACTTGCGTCTCACCAGTGGGGTGCCAGCCACCTCACTCTGGCAGCAGGTCTGGGCCAAGGGCCCTGCCTGAGAGGCCGCAGGGAGGGGCGGCGGCTTGAATGACACCCGGCCACCAGAGGCAGGCAGGCCAACGTGGGCCTTTATTTTTTATATAAAATTTACAGGTCAGGAAACCGCCCCCGCCAGCTAGCTGGAGGCACGGTGCAGTGTCAAGGCGGGGAGGGCAGGCAGGGGCGCCTTCTCTGCAGGGAGCCGGGCCGTCCGGTGGGGTCCGAGCCTGGCCTCAGACCGCACCTCACAGCGGCTGCGAGCGGGAGGGCGGACGCCTGTCTGCCAATAAGTTAAACACACATTGCACGGGCCTCCCAGGGCCGCCCTCGCCCGGCCTCACGTCCCGCCTCCTGCTGGCCCCGTCGGGCCGCGGGGGCCGAGCACGGGGCCGCTGGGTCCAGGGACTGACAGGCAGCGGGAGCCTCGCCCTGGGTGGCGGAGGCCGGGCCTCCCGAGAGCGGGGGGATGGCAGTGCCCGCGCCCACAGCGCAGCACCCCGCACAGCCGGGCAGGGGGGGGTTGAAATGGGAGGACGAGGAAAGCAGGGAGTGAAGGCGAACCACGCCGACACTCACGGCCCCACGGCCGCAAATTAAATAAGAAAGAGCCACGTTCTGGCTGGCAGCGGGGGCGGGACGAGAGAACTTCCTCCCTCTCTGTGGCTGGCAGGGAGGAAGAAAGTTCCCGAAGGGCCCAGGTCACGGGAGGCGGCCCTCCCCGCAGGCCCCGAGCAGGCAGAGTCCGCCCGGCGCGACTGAGTTCCAAGCCCGAGGCTCCGGGACGGCTCCGATTGTCACCTCGGCAGGGAGAGCGGCCTGGGAGCAGCAGATGCTTCTGCTGGAGGAGCCGCCGGCCCCAGGACAGGGGGCGCGGGCGGGTGGAGAGGGCACGTAAGGCACGGAGCGGGGGGCATGGCCCCCAGAACAGGAGGCCCCCGCTCTGCGTGGACTCACCGGAGCCGCTGCCCCAGTGGAACGCGCGTCTTGAGTGGTCGAGCTCTCCCCTGCTCCAGCCGGGCCAGCCCCCGCGGGGGTCGGCGGGGAGTGGGGTGGGGGGAGACGGGGGCGGGTGGGGGGCCGAGGGCAGCCCCTGCCCTGCTGGTGGGCGGCTGAGCCAGTTCTGCGACAGGTGCTCTGGGGCTTCCAAGGCCCTGCCGGCCGTCCTGCCCACGCCGTCCCCCGCTCTGGGGCAGCAGCGTCCCAGCCACCCCTGCTGGCCGAGTGCCCGCTCCGTCCAGGCCCCCCGGGGCGCAGACCCTGCGGGGCCTCAGGCCACACTCGCCTTTCAGCAGATCTGGAACCGGGCGGGGCGGGGAAGGCGCGGGAAGACGGAGGCGCGGCCCGGCCCGCCAGCTCACACTCCGTCCCGGGACCCGCTGCTGGTGCCCGGCTGGCCAGGTCCGCCGTGCTCCGCGGGGGCGCCGGGGGCCGGGCAGCGTCCCTCGGCCTGGCGGCCTCTCTGAGCCTCTCCTGGCGCACGCCCGCCCCTAGGTCTTTTCCTCCCGCTCTGTTTTCCTCCTGGTTATGTTCCTGGGCTTGATTTTCAGAGACAGTTCCCACAAGGCCTCCTCGGCCAGGTGATCGCTGAAGTCGTTGAAGAAGTTGATGATGTCCTCGTTTCTCCGGATGTCGTAGTGCCTGCGGGGAGGGAACGGTCAGTCGGCCCGAGGCCCGCTCCCGGCACGCACTGTCCCGGGGCAGCCGGGGCCCGAGGAGCCTGGGAACCCCGCTCCTGGCCGGGCCTCCGGAGCAGCCCGACCGCCTCCTGCGCCGGAGCGCGACTGGGGGGTGGACGCCTGGCCCGGCCTGGCCGCGGCCGCCTGTGGGGAGCGAGCAGGGGCCACTCACGCCTGCTGGAAGCAGCGCATGCTGTCCAGGATGTTGAACTGCTGCCACCGTTTGGAAAAGTTCACCTTCCCGTCGATGTAGTCGGGGTTCCCCAGGTGCACGAAGGTGAGGTCCTGCAGGATGAGCCCCCTGGGGAGGGAGGGCCTGTCAGAAGGGGCGGCTGCAGGCGAGACCGTGGGGCGCCTTCTTCCTGCGCCGCCCCAGCTCAGGCCCGCGCGCTGGGGCCTCGGAGAGCGGGCTCAGGCCCCAAGGGTGGCCTGTTGCCGAGACCCTGGGCACCGCCAAGGCGCCGACCGCTGCAGCGCGGGTGGCAGAGCAGCACGTTTGCTGGTGTGAAGTCAATAAACGACGGGGACCGGGGGTGTGTGGGGACGCCCTGTGTCAGCGCCTGGTGAGGCTCGGTCAGAGGGTGGGAGCCGGCGAGGTGTGACGCGCCCCCTGGGCAGAGCGGTGAGGGCGCTGGCGGGGCCTGAGGGGACAGCGCTCACCCAACAGCAGGCTCTGGGCCCTGCCCGGGGAGGCTTCCCTCCAGGCCCACGGCCCAGGAAGGGCTTGGACCTGTCCTGTGAGTCAAACCTGGCCGCTTGAGACCGCGGAGCAGCCAGAGCGGACGGCCCCTGCCCGCTGAAACACTGTGGACATGTCTCACGGCCACGCCTGGGGAGCCGCCTCCCAGCCTCACGCCAGGGCCCTCAGGGTGCTGCGGTGCTGTGGCCATTGAGGCCCTGGGGCCATGCCCCCAGGGTGGGGCTGAGCATGCGTGGTGGCAGGTGGGGAGGAGGGAGGAGCAGGACCAGGGACGAGGGGCGTGGCTGTTCTTAAAGCTAAAGCCGGCGGTCTCCGTGGGAGCCCCCCAAAGCCAGGGTCTTGCAGCGTGGTCAGGCGTCTCCCAGAGCGACACTGGGCAGAGCCAGTGGGCAGAGGCCCTACTCACAGGTATGGGATGCAGGGCGGCTCCACCTCTGACAGGGCGGCCCGGTAGGCGCGGAAGGAGGACGAGCTGTCGATCAGCGTGCAGTACTCGGCCAGGCCCTGGCGGGAGGGGGCGTGGTGAGCTGGGCGCCGGGCCTGGGCACTGAGCCCGGGAGCCCAGCCTGCTGTGGAGACACGGCTCCTGCCTGCTCAGAGCTGCCTCGGGGAGCCTCCCAGTGCTCGGGCTCCGCTCAGATCCACTCACCCGCAGCCTGATGACCGCTGGAAGGGCACATGGAACCCGTCCCTCCCAGCCTGCCTCTGCTCCTCAGTGCACTCCAGGCGGAGTCCACCTGGGACGGCAGGTCGCCTCACAGAGCTGCTCCTGCACATTTCCCAGAATGCCATCCCCCTGCCTCTTCACCTTTTTGGTGCTTCTCACCCTGATGCGCCACTTCCTCCAGGAAACCCTCCCAGCTCCAGGAAGCCTTCACAGCCTCCTGCGTCACTTCCTCCAGGAAGCTTTCCCTGCCATTTTACTACCTCTTGTGTGTTCCTGGAGCAGCCGCTGTGAATGTCTCACTTTTATAACTGCCCCTTGGTGCCACCCCGTGCTATGACCTGCTGGCGGATGGCCCCGTGAGCTTTACCTCCCTCACACCCAGAACCATAAAGGTGACTTCCTGGTCAGCACCGCCCCCACCGCGTGTCCTGCCGGAGGGGCCGAGCTCCTGCCTGCGCTCTCCTCTGTGCCGCTGACCTGAACTTCCTCTTCGGGGCCTCCCTAACTCCCAGACCAGCCCTCCTTTTCCTTTTCGCCCCTCCCCTGGAAATACACCTGGTCACAGAATGCCCAACTGTGGCTGCGGGGCCAGAGGCGGTGAGGTGATGTGACACCCCCCGATCCAGGACCCGGTGACGGGAAATGGCGAGGACACGGGGTGGGGGTCAGGCTGCCCAGCCACACGGGAGCAGGGTGCCCCAGGCCTCCACCCCACCTCAGGCCAGCAGGCTCCCCAGGGCCCGGCCTCCCCCAGCGCTCACCTCTGAGGTCTGCTTCTGCCACTCCAGCCGGCGGATGGGCGCCGAGTCCAGAGCGGAGAGGATGGCCAGGTAGGAGTTGAAGTTGTTCAGCTTCCGTAAGTGCTGTAGGGGGAGCAGGCATGAGGGCAGGGGGCATGTGGGGCGCAGCACAGGGTGGGAGGCGGGGGTCCTGGGGCAGGGGTGGGGTCCGCTGAGGCAGGGGTTGGGGGCGGGGCGTGAGGAGCTGGGCTGGGGTCAGGGGGGTGGGATCTGAGGGGACGGGGCTCCCACTGTTACCTTCATGATCTTGATGAACTTCAAGAGCAGCCGTTCCCTGTCCTGAGCCTTTTCCTGTAACATGATTATTGACCGGACCCTGCACGGACGGCGGGAAAGAGGAGATGCTGCCCTGACCAGTCTCCCTGCAGCCCAGGCGGGGGCGTGTGCACCCCTGTGTGGCCAGCACGGGGAGAGCACGGGCCCGCGGGCACTGCAGCCTGCGAGGGACCAAAAGCAGCCCCAGTCTCCTTCCAAGGAGCTCGTGGTGTCCCGGGAATAGTGACAGGCCCTCAAGAACATGGGGCTGGGGCTGCATCCAAGATGGGGGTGTGCAGAGGCCCTGGAGAAGGCAGAGCTTCCTGCCAACTGTGGCCCTGGGCACTACAGGAGCTGGCAACGCTCCTCAGACAACCTGGGCCCAGGGGAGGACCTGGTGTGTGGAGGGATGGAGCCTCCTGGCAACCAGAGCCAAAGGCCAGCCTCACAGGAGGACCTCACGGTGGCCTTGAAGGCCTGTGTTGTCTTTGCTGGTCACCTGGAGGAACTGCCACCCTTGGCATTGCTGCTTCTGCCCCTCCACGGCATCAGCACCTCCTCCAGGCAGCCCCCCTGCACCTGGCGAGGGGCTGTCCTCAGCACTGTGTGAGCTATCCTGCCCTGGACACCACCGCGTCCTAAGGGGTGTGGCCCTGCCAGCTCCTGTGCTGAGTGCTCCCTCCCTGCGGTGGGAGGAGACCTGGGCTTTCTCCGGTAAGCGGTCCCGGGAGCACTTCAGAAGCACCAGCTGCTGTCTGGGTGGCAGGTGGGGTCTGCCAGACTGAGTGGCGCAGCTGCCCTGAGTCGCACTTGGTGCTCGTGTTGTTGTTAGCAACATTCTGTCACGTGTCCTATTTAACACTCGGACTTCGGTTTGCTGAATAAAGGCTGCACGGAACCCACTCCTTGGCTGATGCCTCTCCTTTCGGGCAGGCGGCGTGGGGACCAGCCCAAGGTGCCTGGTAGTGGGCAGCTTGGCAAGGACCAGCAGGGTGGCAGGCGTGGTGCCCCTGCCCCACCCTGCCACGCACAGCAGACATTACTAGTCGATCCAGTGGTCTTGCCGGGGGAGTCTGGGACGCTTCCTCAACCAGCATCTAGGGGCCCCTCCCGGCCCAGGAGAGGCAGCCAGTCCCTGCCTCAGCTCCTGCGGCCTCACGAGGAGCTGGAGGAAGGAGGCGCCGCCTCGTCCTCGCCTTCGGAGCACCCCATGAAGCACAGAGCCGCCTGTGCCACGGCCCCACTCACCAGTAGGACATGTTGTTGAAATGCTCGGTGAACTGGGTCAAGTTGGGGCTCTTCTCCTCGTTCTGCTCCTTTGCCCAGAGCAAAACCTCAGGAATCTGCAAAGGAAGTAGACGGGCTCGGCCTGGGGCGGCTGGCTCTCCGCGAGCTTCTCTCACTCAGGGCCAAGCAGCAGCGCCTCCCCTGAGCCCCAGCCCCCTCAGCGCCGCACCTCGATTTTGTAGAAGAGTTCCGCGTCCAGCAGAGTTAGCTGCTCGGCTATTTCATGGCTGTGAAAGTCGTGCAAGGTTCCTGGCCTGGAAGACAGAGACGTGAGAGGTGGGTCAGCGGACGGGTCAGTGGGAGTCCAGGGGCTGGACATTGGAGCCTCACTTCGCAGGGGAGTGGAGCACAAAGGCGGGCAGGTAGGTCAGGGCCAGGCCTCCAGGGGTCCCTCTCCTGCCTCTGCTGTGTCCTGCAGCCCGCCCTGGGAGCCCGGGCACAGCTCACAGCCCGACCCTCCTCCCCGGGCCCGGTGGTGACACATGAGGGCCGAGCGCTCACTACCAAGGAGGGGTAAATCAGCAACGTGTCAGGCTGGGGCTGAGGAGGCGGGCAACGGCCTGAACCCTCAGGTGTGTTGGGGATGGCAGGGGCAGCCGCCTTGGGGCCTGGGGCACGCCTAGCAGTCTCCTGTCCTAGCCAGTGGGCCTAGCCACCAGTCCCGCTGCCTTCGTCCTGGAAGGTGACTGGTCACAGACATTGGCCTGGAGAAGAGGTCCAGCCCCCTAGGACCACGGGCGGTGGCTGAGGCCCCTCGCCACAGGCCCAGACAGGGCCCGGACAGGGCCAGAACGGGGGTGGGGAAGGTCGCTAGAAGAGCGTCAAGGAAAGGCAGCTACGGGCTGGGGCTAGAGAGGCCAGGTGTGGACTGCGGGCAGCTCACCTGGCTGCTACCCCCCTGGCTGCGAGCGGCTGGTCGGAGTTGGCACAGCGGAGCAGCTTCTTCTGGTCCACCTTGTCCAGGATGTTCTTCCGGAGCACGCGGGCCAGGCTGAGCTCCCCGTTGCACACCAGGCGAAAGACCAGCTCCATGAGTAGCTTCAAGATCTCCTCAGTCAACTCCACCAGGCTAAGGGGTCAAAGAGCCACAGGTGAGGAGCAGGACACGGTGCGGGGGGCCAGCGGCCCCAGACCAGAGTCCACCTCAAGGTACCCGAGGGCCTCACAGCAGGGAGGCAGTGGCCAGCGGTATCAGAAACCGCTGTGGGAAGAGCAAGAGGAAAGGCCTGCCTGCCCCCAGGGCCACTGGCCTCACTGGTGCCACAATCAGCAAAGCTGGCCGGGCCTGGGCAAGCGCCAGGGGCAGGCTGGGACCTGGGCAGCTGGACAAATCCTGCCCCGAGACGCTAAGAGGCCCCGGCCCTTTGGACTATCCACTAGGGCGAGGCCCTGAGCTTCCTGCGTGTGGCAGCTGCACAGCCGCGGCTCACTGAACGAGGACCCTCCCCGCAGCAGGAGGGAAAGACCTGAAGGCAGAGCCTGGGCTGCCCCCTTCGCCGCCTCCGCAAACCGGGCAAGGGACCAGCTCTGGGGGTGCTGTTCCACGCTGCCCCAGCAGAGCACAGGCCCCTCCTCGGCCCCCTCCCCACCTGTGATGGGCGAGCATGACCCCACGGGGCGAGCCGGGCCCGCCGGGGCTGGCCTAAGGGGTCGGTCATCTCTCCACGGCTGGGGTCAAGGCAGCGGGGCCTGTGGGCAGCAGACACTCACCAGAGCTCGTCCACCACCCGCACCAGCACGAAGAACGTGTTCTTGCTGACCCGCTTCTTGAACGTGTCGGCGAAGGGAGAGAACTTCTCGTACGTGGAGGGGGTTAAGGAAATGGACGTTCTCACCTGGAGGAGGGGGCAGCTCACGCCTTGAGGGGACCGTTCCCGAGAGTTCACGGCCCCTGGGAGCCCCGTGAGTGGGGCACCGGAAGGCGAGGGCCTGCGCAGAGCAGCGCCTGGGGCGCCCGCCCAGACCTGCCTCGCCCCACCCTCCCCGCCCGCAGACCCGTCTCCCCGGCACCACCCAGGCCCGCCTTTCTGCTGACTAGGATGGAGCTCCGGGGAGGCTCCCTGAAAGGCAGGCGGCGGGGCCGGGCCTCGGGTGAGAGGCGGTGGAGAGCGAAATGCCCCAAAAGTTCCAGAGTTCCCAGGGCCCTGGGGAGATGCCAGGCCAGGGCGCCCTGCAGCCCAACACTCGCCCCGCAGAGCTCCGAGGTGGAGGCTTCTGGCGCGTGCGTCCTGCGGCCCGTCGTGTTCACCGCCCACACCCCCCTCTGGCTCCATCCGGCTTCCCAGTGAGCGGCCAGTGCTCGGACAGGCCCCAGGGCCTGCAGAGGACCCACAGCCCCAGGAACTTGACGCTGCAGCATTTCTATGAGCAGACTGGGCGGCCGAGGGACGCCGAGGGCCGGAGCTCCGGAGACGGCTCTGTGTGTCCACCCACGTCCTTTCCAAACAGTCAAGCCTGTTGTGCGCTCGCACAACAGCAAAGAATAATGGCGCCCGGGCCCTGTAACTGTCACGCCACACAGCACCGTGGTTCAGGGAGATCACACGGCTAACGCAGAGCATCAAGCCCGATGCCAGGACGTTCTCGACACGCGAGTTAGGTCCTTTGTGGGGCCGAGACCTTGAGGCAGCGGGAGGGAGCCCAAGTCTCAGCAAAGGGGTCTCCCCTCTTTGGTCCTGAGGAGCCAGGGCTGTAGGGTTGAGCTGGGGGAAGGTGAGGAGCTGGGGAGAACCCGGGGCCTTGCTAAGGCCAGCACAGGACTGGGGCCCGCCCGCCCCGGCGCCGGCAGCTGCCTGCCCAGCAGATGGCAGTGGTGTGCCGTGGCCGGGAGGCGGCCCGAGGGCCGGGCTGGCCCACCGAGGTGGAGCAGCTCCCGGTCAGCGCCGAGGCAGGGTGGCCGGAAGCGGGTCCTTCCAGGCCTGGGGCTGTCCTCGGCCACCACCGTAGGGAGTGACATTTGAAAGGCAGGTGAGGTCGAGTGGCCTCTGTCCACGGCGGGGTCTGCTGCCCGGAGGCGGGGCCCCCTCCCCCCAAGGCTGTCGTTTGTCCTGATTCCCTCGAGCCCTGCACATTCCAATACTTGGTACCCAGCACCTGCCGCTCTGGGCTCAGCGGCAGCCGCCGACGCCCCCAGCGCCCACAGGTCCCTGCCTGCCCCCTCCCTCTAGACTCGGGTCAACCCCTCCTGACCTGGAGCGACCAGTGGCGACACCACCCCCGCAGCACACGCTGGCCGCCTCGGCACCTCAGTCAGCCCTTTCAGGGGGACACGGCCTGGAGAGGCGGCCTTGCTGAGGTCTCAAAGCGAGGACGCGCTGAGGGGGAGCGCCCTGGGCTGTCCCCCAGCCCCATGACTCCCTATGTGGGGGCGCGGGTGGCAACAGGCCCCACCTCCTCCCGGCTCCAGAAGGCTGCGGGCGCGCGCAGCGTGGAGACCGGCGCCGCGGGGCGGGCAGGATATCTGTACTGCAGCTTCTTGATGAGCTCCTCGGGCGTGATGAAGGTCCGATAGGTGGTCAGGAAGGCCTCGCAGTACAACACCAGGTCTAGGGAGGAAGGACGGCTGAGCGTGCCTGCCGGGCGCGGCCCCCGCTGCCGGCATTTGCCAGCTCTGCTTAGGCGCCGTAGACAAAACCGCTACCCGGTGGCAGGACCCCGAAGCTAAGTCACGGGCCAAACCGTAGGTGGTGGGGCACGATGACGCCCATCTTGAGGCTTTCCACTTATCGCGAGCCCCGGGCAAAGGCCGCTGGGACGGGCGGGAGGGCACAGCAGGGCAGGAAGGCCAGGCCGCCGGGAAGGCACGCGGGCTGGCCGCTCCTGTCCAGCCTTCTGCTGGGAGGGGCTGGCTCTGGCTGGCGCGCCAACCTTTCCAGAACAGCCACCGCCGCGTTTAGGGGTTGCTGTGGGGCGGCCTCGACACTGGGGGAGAGAGGAGCGGAGGGCTCCCCGCGCAGGCCAGCCGTGCTGAGCGCGCCGGGCTCCCCTCAGGAGTCGTCTGCTCCCGCTGAGGGCGTGACCCACGGCGACAGGCGAGCGGATGCAGGCGCCCTGCCCACGCCCTCGCCCGCTTCTCCGGCTGAGCAGCACCGGCGTGGCGAGGGGCACAGCCCTGGATCCCCGCAGCACCGCCCGCCGCCGGCTGGGGTCCACGGGTGCGGGGGGGCAGCCCCTGCTGGAGTCACAGCAGGACCCCCGGGGCTCAGGCTGCTGGACCACCCCCCGCTCACGGCTGAGTTTGGGTTTTTCTCCTGAGAGAGGCGGGCAAGGACCAGCTGACGTTTTCCCCAGCACGGAGGCCAGGGACGCCCCCGCCTCACCACCCGGCCAGGCCTGGACTCCGGATCCTTGGAATCTCGCTCCTTCCCGTAACTGAACGCAGCCACCGAGTTCTCGGGCTGCCTTGCCCCGGGGTCCCTCTGCACCCTCTGGCCACCTGCCGGCCTTGGGCCCCTTGTGCAGCCAGAATGTGAACCCCTCCCCGGCCGGGCGTGGAAGAGGGCGACGGCAGGGAGTCAGGCCAGGGTGGGGCCCAGTGGACGTTCGGGCCTGCGCCTCCCCGCGGCCTCTCTGCTGGGCACGGAGGGCCCTTTGATAGGGCATCGGCGGCCCCCGAAGCCTGGACTCCAACTCCGGGACAGGCTCGGCCCCGCGCGGAAGGAAGCCAGAGGGCAAAGCTGGCTCGGGACTGGGTTTGTGGGAGCCAAGTCCTCTCTGCCTCTGTTCTTCAAGTTTTCTGCAATGTAAATATTTTTGTACTTCCTGCATAATTTAGAAATTCCCAGAACCGCTCTCTGTCACGAGCTTTGGGAAATCTGCCGTGGAAACACGGGGAGGACGTTGTTTACAGAAATGAAATTGGGGGGTCACGGCTTCAAGGGTGGGTGATGCCCTCCCCTCCCCGCTTTGCCTTAATGTGTCTGTGACATCGTCTTTTTAATAATTAAAAAAAAAAAATGCACCAAGGAGCATGGGGTGAGGCCAGGCCCGGCCCGCCCCGGCCTGCTGGCACCTCCTCCCCTCTCTGCCCGGACACAGCCTCGCGCTAGGAGGGCCCAGAAACTCCACTGCACCCCACGCCGCTGCTCCGGGTGCCCAGCCTGCGCCTGACGATGCGGGGAGGTGCGCAGGGACACGCCTAGCCTGACCAACAGAGGACACGACCGAGCGCCAGGAGGCAGAGGTCACCTGCCCCCCAGCCTGAGCGCCAGCGCACGGAAGCCTCGAGAGGGCTGCGGTACCTTTCCTGTCGGTCTCGGTCGCGTGGACCAGCAGGATGTCCCCGGATCCTCCTCGCACATCCGGCCCGTCATCGCCCTGCAGTGACAACAGCAGAGGCGGCCTGAGCAGAATGCAGGAGGCCGGAGCCACGGGGGCTGAGATGGCGGAGACCCCAGGATCCCACCCCTGCTCCCCTCAGCCTGGCTGTGCCACCGAGGCGGGGCAGGCCCACCCAGCTGCCAGGACAGGTGCAGAACTCATCTGGGGCGGGTGGTTTGGGAGCCTCCTGGCACCGCAGGCATGAGGGCCTGGAGCTGGTGCCATTCCACCTCGCCCCCTCCATAGCCCACGGGTCTCGCGGGGGGGTCCCCACAGGGAGCAGGAGGACCACCTCCTCCTCCCGCAGGGCGACGCAAGGAGCAGCACCATGTCCCAGTACACGCCCGTTCTCGAAACAGCAGCGAGCTGCGCGCGCATGAAGCCAGTTCCCAGCATGGAACGCCCGCCAAGCTGAAGTCTGACTTCCAGGTGGCAGAGCCTTTGACCCACGAACAAGCCTGTGGTCGAAAGCGCCATTGCCAGGGCTGGGGCAGGAGCCCAGGCCACACAGCCAAACTGGCCGGGGCCGCGGCACCCCAGGCCCCAGCAGGACGTGGGGGGTGGGAGATGCACCTGCCTCTGTGGAGCTTCCGTATCTCACCCCTGACTCCAGAGTTCTGGACACATCTCAGATTTCTAGCTATGAGTGGGGCAGCTGCGCCGTGACCTGCCAGAGTCGGGAGCCCACCTCTCTGCAGAGGAGCCCCCAGCCTCACCAGGTGCAGCTGTGCAGACGAGGTACCCACCGCTTGTCCCGCGCCTGGGTCCCTGGGTCGGAGCCCAGAAAACACATGGGGGCTGGGCCAGGGCCACCTCACTAAGCCAGTCCTGTTCCTGGAGTCGCCTGGCAGAGGGAGGTGAGAGCTCTCTCTGGCCAGCACCTCTGTGCCAGGTGGGTGCTGCTGTGGCCCCCAATAAGCAGGGCTCAGGTGGAGACGCCCGTGCTGAGAGCCTCCCCTCTGACCTGCACTCACAGCACCTCCCACCCCGTCACAGGGCATAGAGCTGCTGTGTAACTTGCCAAGATCACACTGGAACAAGTGTCAGCCGGGGGGACAGGCCCTTTCTCCAGCTCTCACCCGCCTGCCCAGCACCATTCTAGCTGCGGGCCCCAACGGAGGCGGCACCTCTGGTGTCTCTGTGGCCACACGCTCCCCTGGGCCCCCTCGCCCCCTGTGCCGGCCAGCGGCTGCACCGCCAAGCCCATGATGCCCTCACCTCCTGCTTGAGTGTCAGTCTGGCCATAATTTCCTCATGGTCGATGAGGGTCAGCTCATCCACTTCCTCTCCTGACTGAGCCGACTCCAGAGCATCTGGTGACTGTGGGGCCCTGGAGGGAGAAGTGGTTTGTGTTGCAAGTGTCAAGCAGGCCGCAGGGTCTGTGGCACCCACGGGCTGAGGAAGTGCGCCCTGAGCCAGCTGCCCCGAGGCCTGCGCCCACCCTCCCCTGGGGCCCAAGCTGGGTCTCCAGCTCTGCTGCTGGTGAGCGTGCAGCCCTGGGGCACTTCCTGCGCTCGCTGGACGCGCCCTCTGTAAGCGATCAAGAGGCATCTGGTGGGCTATTTAAATAAGCTGGGGGTCTCATCCCGTGTGCCAAGGGCCCTGCACGAATGTCCAGCTCCAGGGGCAGGTGGGATGGGAGATCTTAACATCTTTCCTCCATGGGACTGAGGACAGGCATGAACCAGGCAGACCAGACCTTGACTGCGGTGCCAGGTCTAACTGGACAGATGGACAGAGGCTAAAACAAAAAGGCCCTCTGAGGGCCAGACAGACACCCTGTGGCCAGAAGTGCTGCGCAGAAGTCTGCTGGTGACGGGAGAGAAGAGGGAGAAGTGCCCGGCGGCAGGAACACGTGGGGCAGCTGGGTTCTCCAGGTCCGGGTGTCTGGAGGGTACCGGCCCTGGCCCCAGGCCCCGGGCACCCCACATTCCTGTCTTATTCTCCCGATTCCCACTGTGGCCCCTGCGAGGTGCTGCTGGCCTGTGCTGCACCCAGGACCCTGGAGGCGCTGAACAGGGAGGGGTGTGGCCCCCGGCCCCTCAGGCCGCAGGGAGGCCTGTGTGGAGGGGTGGGTGCTCTGTGGCACGTGCGCTTCGGCAGATCCCCCCACGCCCCCGGCCCTGCGCGTCTGACGGCTCCTGTCGGGAAACGTCCCAAGAGATGAAGGACGAGGAACTGACATGAAGACTGGCTGCTGATGCTGCTGGCAGAGCAAAGCCCGCCAGCTCCGGGGGAAGTTTCTGGGGGAATTGTGGGGCTGGAGCATGGCTGGGAGACCTGAGGACGCGTGGAACTCACGTAAGCAGGCTTTCAAAATCTCTCTGGGGGCACGCGGAGCACGCAGGGCTGAGCGTGAGATCGGAGAGTCACTTCCAGATGCATCAGCAGCACGAGACACATGTCACGCCCAGAGCCAGATGGCTGCTGGGGAGGGAGCTCCGGGCTCCCTCACTGCACCAGCCCGGGCAAGGCCCCAGAGGGCAGGCCCATTGCAGGCAGCAGTGAGGTGGATTCCTGCCCGTGGAAGCCAGGGCCTCTGAGGGGGGCTATTCACGACATCTCCTGTTTCCCTGCACTTCCCCGCCCTCTACCCTGAGCAGGCATCACTTCCAGAACAGAACAAAGGAAAGTGCACACACGTGTCCCCAAGGCCTGACGCAGGGGCAGCTCACCCAGGGGACGCGCGGCTTCCCGTGGTCATGGCCTACCTGTCCCCGCCGTCTCTGCTTTCCTTCCCAGGGGTGCCCCCGGCCGACGAGGGGTCTCTGCAAGGTCCGTCTTTCATAGCCGGTGACTCCTGGAAAGAGAAGCCGGCGCTGGTTGTGAGAGGTGCCCCACGCAGCTGAGCTGTCTTCCCTGGCTTGCTGCTGCACAAGTCCCCACAGAGCACAGGCTGGCCACCAGGGACACGGCAGTCAGGGACAGGAAGTACAGGCCCTCCCCTGGAAGCCCCGCTGCTCTTAACATTTCTCTGCTGCCAACTAGACGGAGCCATCCAATTGTTTCCTGTACGAAATGACTGCCCACTGCCCCCACTCAGCAGTGCCCAGCGGGGCCGCATGCCACCTCATTGGCGTGGCCGAGACCGTGTGGGAGCAGGCCCATCACCAGCACCAGGCCAGCACCGGGCCAGCACCATCACCAGCACTGGGCCAGCAGGCCGCAGGGCCTGGACACACCCCAGGTGCGGCCCTGGGCCGGCACCTCCGCTGACTTCTCAGGTAGAGACAACCCGAGCTCTGCTCACGCCCCCAGCGACAGCTCCGTGGGGCCTTGGCTGCCCGGGCGCACGCTGCCTCCCACTGCTCCTGGGGACCCGAGCCCACCTTACTCAGGGACAACAGCGCCCTGGGAAGCCCATCCACCCGAGGCCAGTGAGAATGGCGGAGGATGACCCCCGCCAGGAGAGCGCCTCGGAGAGAAGTCCGCTCTAAGAGTGGACACTGATGGAGGTGGGCAGTGAGGGGAAGCCAGCAGTGGGCACAGATCGCCAGAGAGGACTGGTGAGGTGGCAACATCGGTGGCTCCAGGGGTTAAACCCCCTGGAGTGAGGGCGCGCCCGTGCGGATGGCTAAGATGGGTGGGGTGCCCATGGTGGGCAGTCCTAGTGGGACTGGCCACGCTCTCAACAGGCGGTGCCTTTTGAGCTGATCATGGGGAGGACAGAGTCCTCCCGGCTCCTCCCTCGAGGGGCTGGTTCCACACAGGATGGGGTGCCTTTGAACTTGGGCACGACCAGCTGCGGCAGACCTCGGAACACCGTGTGCTCAGGGGTGCGTCTGCACCTCATCTGTCTGGAGCCGGGACAGCAGGCGGCACTGAGCTCCAGGAGGGAGGGTGTGAGGAAGCAGGGGTGCCTGCCAGACCCTCCAGCCACCCGGATGCTGTTTGTCTGGGTGAAGGGCCATGATGGGGAAGAGGCGGTGAGATGAACCCACGCTGGGAGAGGGGGTAGAAACCCCAGTGACCTGACAGGCCACGCCAGGCTGCTCCCGAATCCCACAGCACCCGTCTGGCCAGGCCGAGGCGCCAGGCATGGATGTCCAAGCCAAGGCAGCCTCCACGCAGGCCCCTCCTCCACCGCTGAGCGTGCTGGGCTGACGCGGGCGAGGCTGCGGGCTGGTCTGCGGGTGACGGGGCTCAGCCAAGAAGCAGCAGGGGCCCGACGCCTGCCAGGCCAGCCGCATGCACGAGGCAGCCCGAGGTTACTTACTCCTCGAGAGACAGCCAGCTCCTCGCCGCCCTGGCCAGAGGAGTACAGACTGACGTATTCGCCCTCGCCAGCGCCCTCGCTGGCGTGTTCTCTCTGGGGAGACAGGATGAGAGGAGACGCGCGTGTGACGGGCCTCCAGCCAGTGCTGGTGGACGCTCCCCTCACGACAGGGAGGATGGTGCCAGCTGCACCCCATTCTCCTGCGTCAAAACCACTTTGGCCTCCTTTGCCTCTGTTCACGGGACCCCACGTTCCTGCTGGATCTTCTCAAGGATGTTAAAGGCCATGCAAGCCTTCCTGGGAGAATCCTGTCTCCTCCTCTGTTGGAGTGGGGACAGCGGGGGTCCCCGTGCGGAGGCGACTGCCAGGCAGGGAAGAAGCAGCCCCCACGACACCATGGCACACTGCAGCTGGCCCCCACATGGCCTCTGACTCTGCTCTGCCGGCCCATGTCCATGCCAGATTGCGGGCCCCGTGCCTAGCGAAGTGCTGGCTATGCCTGCGGCCCAGGATGCAGGCGCGCACTGCGGCCGGGCCCAGGGAGTGGCCTGCGCTTTCTCTGAAAGTCACCTAACCAGAGCACGCTGTAGCAGCACGCTGTGCCGCATGCATAGTGACGGCCTGTCCCGTGGTCACACGGTGATGGCCTGTCCCCATGGAAACATGGTGACAGCCTGTCCCCATGGATACAGTGACGGCCTGTCTCCATGGTCACACATACAGCGACAGCTCGTCTCCATGGTAACACGCTGACAGCCCGAGCCCTGGTTATGGGGCCTCTGTGCAGAAGGTCCAGCTTCTGACCTGTGACCGGCCAAAGCTGGATGGCTGGTGGGGATCAGGAGACGCCACCGCAGCGCCTGGCTTTCTCGGAACGTGCGGCCCACGGGGGCGGGGGGGGGGTTCTCACCGAAGGCGTCTGGGGCGAGTCAGAGAGAGAGGTTTCGGGAGGACGGCGGACAGCGTGCCCGTGAGCGGCGCGCTCCTGAGGAGCGGGAGGAGGCCCGTCCACGGTGCCGGGAGGCGGGCCGGTGGTCGGCGCCGCCAGCTCAGAGCTCTGGGACTGGCGGACAGGCAGGAAGTGTGGAGAGGAAGAGGAGGTAGGCGGAAGGAAAGGCTGAACGGAAGCGTGGTTGTGAGGCACGAAGTCCTGGGAGAAGGACCTGAACACAGACTTGCACTGCGGAGAGCGAGAACGAGAGACGAGGAGACAGACAGAACAGGTGGTTAGAGCAGCACGGCCGGGCGACGGGCCGTCCACGGGAACGCCCAGGAGGCCCACGGTCAGGCCCAGGCGACCCCGTCCTCCTCAGACCCGAGGACCCTCCCGGCCCATCCTCCCTGCAGACCGGCGCCGGCCTCCGAGCCTCAGCAGCGCAGGGGCCCCAAGGGAGAGAGCCCCCGCGTGCCTGTCGCTCAGCGCCCGAGCCAGGCCCCACGCCCGGCCAGCAACGGGCCACCTCTAGTCGCGCTACCTGGAGGAAGCAGGCTGTTCAGTGGGCCCTGGCTGACGGTGCGGGCGGCTGGCCCTCACTGCGGGCGCCTTTTGGGAAGACAGCGGGACGGTAATTGCTAAGAGGGCACATTCTTGAGTCACACAGCCCTGGGCTCCAGGCTCCCCTTTCTACCGTGTGATCCTGCGTGAAGCATTTAAGTTCCTGTGCCTCAGTTTTTTCGCCTTCCAGACACAGACAGAGACAGCAGCACTGCTCTCACCGAGCCCGCGTGGACTTCAAGGGCGGACACCTCTGACCCGAGTCAGGGCTGACACGCAACAGGCATTCCGTCCGGGTCATCTGTCGTCCCTGAACTCCCCAAATACCAGCCCACTGGCTGCTCTGAGCAGAGCGGGGCACCTGACAGGCTCCCAGCACTGGCTGCGCACCGAGTGCCGGGGCACGCGGGCACCCACGCGGGAGACGACCCGCCACCACAAGTCGCCCAAGTGCCTAGAAAAACGGCTGCTCACAGCAGCCTGGGGTCTGGGAGGCAGCAAAGCCTCCTCCACTGTCCGGCACCTCAGGTGGAGTGCTGACTGGGGTGTGGGGGCCTGGGGACACCGCAAGGGTGTGGGCTGTGGAGGGAACGGCAGCCTCCAGGAGGAAGGAAGGAGGTGGCCTGCACCCCCGCCCCCCCCCACCCCCGCCCTGGGGCCCCGCCAGCCCCCGGCCTGAGACCAGCCTGGAATGCCAGCTATGCAGTCAGCTGGGACAAGAGCCAGGGTGGGGGACCCGGAGGGCGGCGGGTGGAGGGCTGCTCTCCTGCCCCACTCGCGCCCTTGGCGCCCCGCGGCTGTGCAGAGGCTGAGGGTTGTCACCACACTATTGCCAATGGGCCCCGTCTCTCCTGATGCTCCAGAGAAGTATTTCCAGGCCCTCGAAGACCATATTTGTTCATACGGGCAAGGAGAAAGGCAGGGCGGGCCGTGGACACAAACACTGCCTCACCACCGCCAGGAGCTTATTTTAGGACTGGCGGGTGCCCGGCTTTGCTCCTGGCGGAGACTGTGACCACAACAGGGGTTGGTATTTATAGCCAGAGGGACTGCTGGTCTGAAGACTTGCAACACGAGGGGCTACCGTCGGGAGCCCTGCAGGCCCAGGCCTATCAGAGTAAGGGCCTGTGACGGAAAGCAGTTGGGGGGCTGGCCCCTAACCTCAGTCCTGACCACCCAGCCAGCCAGAGGTCAGGGCAGGAGGCTCGGAGGACGAGCACGAGGGCCCAGCCCTTTCCGCTTCTCAGATGTGGGGTCTGATGAACCATGACCCCTCAGAGCAAAGCTGGAGAGGCAGGCGGGAGGCTGCGGCTAGAAGGTGGCGTGGGAAGGCCCACATCACCCTCAGACTGCCTTTTCTGGGCAGGTCCAGGCCCCCGCCACGCACCCCTAGCTCATGCCTGCTAGTTTCACACAGGGTCTGGGCGAGGGCTCTGTGATGGCCAGCACGCCAGGCAGTGAGCAGGGGGTGAGGGACAAGCTGGGAGGCACAGGAGGTGGCCAAGCCACCCGAAGGGGCCGGCCCCAGACCTCGCTGGCCCTGACAGTCATGGTGGGCGTCCCAAGGATGGCTCCGTGTCACGCTGGTAGGAAAGCAGATCTTTAAATGAAAATCTCCAGTTCTGCTATAATAGGACAGACGTTCCACACAATTCCTTTGACTCTGAGGGACCTGGGAGCCGGGGAAGGCAGGTGGGGGCCAGCGTAGGTCATGCCACAGGCCAAAGGACCCCGGGGGCACTGGCTGCCCCACAGCGACGGAGGCCACGTCCTGGGGCTCACAGCTCGGCCAAGCCCGGGGCAGAACTTGGTGTTGGGGGAAGTGTTGGGGCTGTGCCAGAGGCGAGCTGTTGGGGTGCACTGGGCTCAGGCACGGTGAAGACCCCATGTCTCAGACGCCACTTAGCAAAGCTGAGGAGCCATGAGAGCTGCCTCCAGGCCTCGCTTCCTCTCTCACTGAGACACCGCACCCCGGGCTGCTGTCCTGGACGCTGAGTCTGGCTCTCTGCTGCGGCCCACACCCTCAGAGTCACTGGGGGTCTCCTGCAGAGAAGCAGTCTCAGGGGTCCTCAGAGCTGGCCACCAGCACGTACGCCACCCCAGCAGATGAGCGGGAGGCGCGGCTTCTGGCTCCAAGCGCTGTCCCAGTTAGCTGTATCTTCTGCCCTAATTTAGGCCCAGAGGCAACTTCCTTTTTTCATGCCCTTGTGTTTTCACGACAGTGTTCTATAAAATGTCAAACTGTGACTTTCCAGAGTGGAGTGGAGGACACCACGGAGGCCCCGGTTGCCAGCACGCGCAGAGGCCTGTTCGGGCCTGCAGCTCCTGCGACCAGCCTTCCTGCCCAGCCGCCCAGCGCTCAGCATTTTCTTATTTACTGACAATCAGCCGTTGAGAAGTGCCCTCCCAATGCTGGGTTGTTCACGATGGGGATCTGGAGCTCTAACTTGACCCTGGGCAAATGGTGTAGCTTGTTTGTCCTGCATTCTCCACCTCTAAACGGGGGTCAACGCTCCATCCAGGGCAGTAGAAAGGGGCCCTGGAAGGTGGACTGGCAGTGTGGCCTCGACGTGACCATTGCTTGCATGGCCAGCACCCTGGAGCTTGTCACGGAGGCCCCTCCTGGGGATGGTCTGGGTGGAATCACAGCACCTCGCAGGGGCCCCCACACAGCCTGTGTCCACAGCAGGCCACGCAGCTCACCCAGAAAACTCTCAGGCCTGCTTTGTATGCCCCCGAGGGCCTTAGAAACCTGGGTGGGGGCTGGCCTGGGCCACCTCCTCTGTCGGGTGTGTCCAGGCCCAGGGTGGGACTGAATGTGACTTCACACTTTAGAGGTAGTGCTGGCCCACAGCCCCGGGGTCTTTTAGCAAGGGCAGAAGAGCAGCCGGGTATCCATCAAAGCCTACTGGGCCCTGCAGACAGGAGCTGCCTGAGTCCTGGGCCAGCCAGCCAGCAGCCAGAAGCTCTTTGTCAGTGGAGAAGGAAAATGAGGAAGGGATCGGATTCTTGGCCGTAGCCCGGGACCAGAGCGGGTGATTCACATGACAGAGTGGCTGTGATGGGACGAGTCGCAGCAGGTTGTTCTGATGAAACGCGGGGTCAGGGAGGATGGTGTGACGGGGGCGGAGGGCCTCCTGGTGGCTGCTCATTGCTTCTGGGGGAACAAAGTCTCCCTGGTCAACGGCATGTCCCGGAGCGCCGACTCAGTGACGGCTGGTGCTGACTGTCACAGCAGGACACCCACCCCGCGGGGCGCTGTTACTGCAAGGCCTCTGACGGATGTGTCTGCGCGGTGTTACCTGTGACCTGTTTCTCTTTACTCCGCAGCGAAGGCTTAGAGGGCTGGGAGCTGCAGGTTCAGGTCCAGGGCCAAGCGGGGAGGGCTGGGGGTTGGAAGGGTGGGGGCGGGAGAGGGAAGTGCTGGGTGGGAGTGACCAGTCTGTGCCAGCAGAAGTGTTGGGGGTGGGGGCTGCCCCGAGCCCAGGAGCCCGAGGGAAGCGCTGGGCCTGGCCCCGCAGGGATAAGGTGTCTGGCCGTGGCAAGAGCAAGGCCCATGAGGAGCCACAGTGCTTGCCGGGGCAGGGAGGGAGGGAGGGTGTGGTGGGGCTGGAGGGAGCAGGTCAGCCCAGGGCCCGCCGTGGGGAGGCAATTATGTCACAGAGGGTGGTGTGCCCGTGGTGGGAGAAACAGGGGGCGGCAAGACGGGGGTTGGGGGGTGGCACGTGGAGCTCTGCGCCCTGGTCCCAGGGCCACTGCCTGGTGAGGAAACGCCACACTGGGGTCTGCAGGACACACTTGACTGCTAGGCCCTGAGGATGGGGAGGGTCGGTGTCCACAGGACACCGAGCTTGGGGCCACGTGAGCCATGCTGAGGCAGGAGGCCCAGGCCAAAGCCCCATGGGGACACGCACCTCGGAGAGAAGCCTCTGTCCCTGCGCCACGGGGCGTGGACACACCCTCATCCCTCACAGCGGAGAGCTCCGCTGGGCGCGAGGCTGCAGGAATGTGCAGGAAGGAGGGACAGATGAGTGCTGGGGCCGCAGTCCAGGCCCTCGGGGTGCCTGGAGACCCCCCCTCAGCTGGCTGGTGGCTGGAGGCGGGGCCTGAGGAGTGACAGAAGAGCCACGGCACCCGGGAGTGCAGCAGGTTGCTTCATGGCAAGAGGCCGCTTGACTTAACCCAGGAGTCCCAGGGTAAGGAAAGGTCTCGAGAGGGCTGCAGCGCCAGAACTCCGCGCGGGGTGGTAGGTACCCGTGACTGACAGCGGGCAGGAGAGGAGGCGCAGGGGATGGTCTGGGGGGCAGAAGAAGGGCAGTTCACATCAGCACCCGAGGGCGTGGCAGCCCACGGGGCTCAGAACAGGGAAGAAGCCGGGGAAGGGGCGTGAGAAGGAGGAGGCCATGGGGGCTCTGCATGGACAGGGAGGGGCCGGTGCTGGGGACCAGAGCTGGGGGGTGGCCACTGGCAGTGGGGGCACGTTTGGGCCCCGCTGGGTGAGAATGAGGTGTTGGGGCGCCACGTGGCTCCCCACTGCTCTCCTGCCACAGACACCTCCTTCTCCTAGGACAGGTCAGGCGTGCGCCCTGCGTCAGGCTGCTGCACGTCGGCACAGCTGCTCCAGTCTCCCAGCATCAAGGCCGGAGGGAATGGGGAGCGAGGAGCAGGGGACACTCCGAGGGCTGCCACTGTCGTCTTCCTTCGGTGCCTTTCAGGAAGTGTGAGAGGAGCTGTGGGGTTTGCCAGCGGTTGCACCGAGCGTGCCCCTTGGGATCTTCACTGCACTGCAGGCACAGGCCCAGGAGCAACGGGTGGGGATTCAGGAGCCCAGAGCTCCTGTCAGCTAATCTCAGATGTCAGTGGTGAAGACGGTGCCCAGGTCGTTACCACCAGGGTCACTTCTCTGGGTGTCAGCCTGTCAGACTAGACGTTCCAGACATTCAGGTCACTGCTGATGGCTCCTGAGGCTGCGGGGCTCTTCCAGTGACACAAAGCCCCGCTATTGCTCAGCCCCTGGGCTCCTGTGCGGGGCAGGGGCTGAAACACTGTTTCTGACACCTTAAGACTCCCCCGACGCCGGGCCTGCAGCCTGCTCACACCCGAACTAACGAGGACGCCCACAGATATTATTCTCGGGCTCTGCGGCCAACAGCCCAGCCCCCTGACGCTGCTCAAAGGAGCACTGTAGACTCTTGCAGGAGGACGCACACTAGCCTCCTGTTCACAGAGGGAAAAGCCAGTCAAGAGCTGGGTTGTCTCAAGGCCAAGTGTTGCAAGATTTGTGAACGGAGCTTCCAGAGGGCGTGCGGAGGACACAGAGGGTGTCTGTGTGGGCGCCAGGCGGGGCGGGCGCCGGGGCCTTCACAGCACATGCAGGGCTGCTGAGGGCTCGAGACGGCGAGGCCTCGCACCCCAAGGGAGATCGTGCTTCACAGTCCTCACGACAGGCACAGCCACTTGCCTGGGCACCAGGCAGCTCCCAAAGGTACAGACTGCGCGAGCCAGCTCGGAGGGCCCGAATAGTCCCCAAGTCAACCTCGTGGCTTATGGGGGGAGGAAAGGCCACCAGGGTCGAGTCGTCTGTCCAGTTCTCAGGGACAGTCAGAAGCAGAAACAACTAGAGCAAGGTCAAGAACAAGCAGCTTTCTATGCCTACTACCTGCCTGGCTGTGTCCTCTGATTTGACTTAATTTTCGCGTTCTTAAGACGAGAAGCGAGTAAGTGTATGATCCTAGCGGGAAGAAGACTCAAGGCAGAGGACAGGTGCCACCAGGCTCTAGCCGGCCGGGCGTGGAACCCAGTGTGGCTGCTCCGGGCATCTACCCTGCCACGCAGTGTCTCGGTGCGAGCAGGCTAGAGGCAGAAGGGAGGCTGTCAGTGCCCGGGACAGACCCGCGCCAGTGAGAGACACAGCCCAGCCCATGCCTGCTTCCAGCCTGGGTCCCCGAAAGCCCAGAGGTAAACTATTTCCCATTCTCCCTCCTGCACCCATGCTCCTCCACGAGCTGAGGGAGACACAGCTCTCGGGAGGCGGCTCCGTCCCCTCCGGCTGGGCCAGGCGGGGACTTACCAGCGAGGAAGGCACGGAAGGGGGCTGTGACGCCCCAGCCCAGGCCTCACACACCTCACACTCTCCCCTTTGCATCCTGGGAGCCCTGCCAGGTACCCCGGGAGCAAGCTGGGTCATGCAGTCCAGCCTGGGTCCCACTGCCATCAGCCACTTAGGCCCCCCACCCCCGGCCTAAGTCACGACAATGGCTGCTGCTGGTTTAAGTCACCAAGTGTTGGGGTGACTAGCTGCGCCATGAGAGCTGACTGACAGAACGCTCCTGTGTGACCCTGTCACAGCCCGCTGAGGCCTCCTCGCCTGGGCTTTGCTTCCCACACGAGGGACACCCCTCTGTAAACAGAGCACCTGCAGGGCCGACCCCAGGCCCAGTGGGAGAGCGAAAAAAAATTCCTGCCAGTTTCTGCCAAAGTGAGAACGTCTAGAGCGTGGCCACGGACACGGCCTCTTCCCGCCCCCTCCCCGCCTCCAGGGCCACAGAGAACCCGGGACAGACCCTCTCCTGCCCCTGCTGGGTCCAGTTGCGGGCAGGGCGGGCGCTGAGGGGAGGGCTGTGCCCGTGTTTCCCAGGAGGGAGCAGCAGGGAGCGACTCACCGAGGGCACGGCGCCGTGCCGGCCGAGAAAGGGGTTAGAGACGGACACAGTGATGCCCTGAGCGGCACTGCCGTCCTCGGGGGTGAAGGCCACTTTAGTTTGCTGGACACAGTAGGAGACAGAGGAGAAGGAAGAAGCAGCATAGGAGGCCTGCTGGGCAGAAGGACGAGAGAAGACGGGAGGAGGGAGAAGAGCGGAGAAGAGTCAGGCGCGCGTGGAGGCAGCTGTGCCCGGCACTCGGGTGGCTCCGCTCGGTTCAGGACCAAAGGCGCCTGCACGGCTCCCTGGACAAGAGGACGCCTGCTTTCACTTCCCGGGACAGATCAAGGAGCCAGCTCTGTACAGACGGTGTCCAGCGGACGCAGTGCGAAGGCGGCAGGCGGCCACGTGGGCTGGGCTCGCGCGCGGCTCCTCCGCCTATTTCAGGCCACAGGCCTCCCCTCCCCCGCCCCACCCGCAGGAGCAGAGCGAGTGCCACCCCCACAGGCCAGCAGCCGGGCCGCCTGGCTTGAGCCTGGGTCCGCCATGCGGGGCTTCTGTGGGTAAGGTGGGGTAACGGTGGGGAGAGCTGTGCGCACCTGGAACCACACACCACCCCCCACACACGGGCCTCCAGGCATGATCGCCAGCACCCGGTCGCTGTACACCAGGATGACACACTGGACAGAGAGCATGCTGGGTGCCCGTGGGGGTCAGGCTTGGTCCCCAGACCATCTGCTTCTCAGCCTCAGGCTACCCATGCGGGGCGACAGGGGTGCGGAGAGGTCAGTGGAGCTGCCTGGGCCCAGGGCTCTCGAGGGAGGGCTTGCTCGGCACTGGGCCCCTCACCACTACCCTGCTGTGGGCAGACGGCCAGAGCCCCTGGGTGCCCTGACCCCACATGTGCACATCTGGGATCTGCCCCAGGGTACCATTACAGCCTACATGCCCACGGCCAGCCGGTGGGCACCTACAGTCTGGGCTGGGCGTCCCAGGGCAGGCATGTGGGGCAGGGCCCTGAGCCAGAGCCTTGGCTCTCCTCTGCTCCACCAGGGGCCCCTTGACAGCTGGTATGGCGCAGCCCCTGGGCCCTGAATGTGGGGGGCCTTGGGACTCCTGGGGCCACGTAGGCGCCACACACCCGCTGTGCCCAGGCTGCTGTGGGGCTAATCAGGGGCCTCTATCCTTCAGCGGACAGTGTCCTCCCAGGAATGCCAGGGCACCATCACATCCTGAGAAATGGCCCGACTGCCACCTTGGCCTCCTGTCTGTTTAAAACGCTGCCAGGCTGGTGAGCAGCAGTTGAGCAAAACAAGCTGCTCTGGAAGAGTAAAGAATGGCCGCTGGGGGCCCTGGAGGGTGCCCGGCTCAGGCCGGGTTCGCGAGGAAACTGGCGGCACAAAGCAAGACTTGGCGGCACAGGGCAGACCTCCAGCACCCCTGGCGTCCGGCCGGGCAGCGTCATCCATGGGACGTCCACACAGGAGGTGTCTGAAGGAGGAGGGGCCGTGCCTGCAGCACAGAGCAGCTCTGTGTCCAGCCGCCCCGTGTCAATAGAGCCAGTTTCCACTGGGCAGGCCTGGCCGGGCCGATGCGGCCAGTCTCTAGGGTCAGCCGTTACGTGAATGAGTCCACGCAGACGGCTGCACAGACCAGGCCCTGTGCTCTGGGGAGCCCCGCCCTCGGGGAGTCTGCACTGGAGCCAAAGGAGAGACGAGACTACAGGGACTGTCAGCAGAGAACGTGACCATTCTGAGCGCAAGCCAGTCCCAGCTGCGTGGGAAAGCGAGGCACCAGCACCCCAGGGTAGCGACAAGGCGGCGCAGGCGGTGGAAGGGAGAGCGCCCAGGTGGGGGAGGGCGAGCCGACAGCTGAGGATCTGGGGTCCCAGAGACCTGTGGGGTCAGGCCGCTGTCCGGGGTGGCAGTGCAGACGGAGGGGAGAGGGGCTGCTTACCAGCTGGCGCTGCTTCGGGGGCAGGGCGGGAGGCGGGGCCAGCTCCTGCGGGCCATCTGCGCTGCTGAAGGAGTCCGTGATGCCATACACCTCCATGAGCCTCCTGTTCTTCTTCTGGTAGACGTGCTCGCTCTGCGGCGTCTGGTAGAACACAGAGGGCTGTGGCTCCGAGTAGTCCTCCAGCAGCTGCATGTAGGCCAGCACTGCGGGCGACAGAGGGGCAGGGTGGCAGGCCCAGCGTCACGGGTGCAGGGCTGGAAGCACCCCCTAGAAGCCCCCATTCTCACAGCCATCAGGGCATGTTCCCCAGAAAGCACGAGAAAGTGGTACTACCCCTCTCCCAGGTGCCCAAGGGAGATGGCTGCAGCACCCTCAGGGACGGACGAGGGCAAGGGTGAGGCACTCGAACACGGCACAGGCGTCCTTGCCTCTCTGCCACTGGGTCCTGCTTGCCACCCACAGGAGCTGCCTGGCCCACACGTGGGGGTGACTAACACCTGCTGAAAGCTGCAGGCCCTAAACATCAAAGGGCTGCCATGCTGTTGGCTGAGGGTGGCTCCCCGAGGCGAGGTGCAGCCCCTGCAGAAGGCTCACGCCCCTCGCCAGCCCTAAGAGCTGGAAGGGTGGCCCCCACTCCACTGCCAATGTCAAGCACGGGTGCCAGAAGCCTGGGCCTATCCCATGAGACCATGCGGCCGCCGGTGAGAGTGTTCAGCGCTCAGCTCTGAGCACCACCACTCCGAGTTCCAAGGTGACTGTGGACAGCCGTGGCAGCAGCTTACTGTGTGTTGTTTTAAATTTATTTATGCATACAAGAACTGGGTGCAGGCCAGAGGTGTGGGGGTATGTGAGAGGACTCATCAGAGCCAGAGCGGGGAACAGAACAGGCAGAATGACTGAAACACACTGCTGAGGGGAGCAGCGGGGAGACAGGAGAGGTCTGCCGCGCCATGTGGGTCAGCACCTGGCCGGGACAGAACTCAGGCCACAGTGGCTGGCGATTGCACGATAGTGCTGAGACTTAACCCTTGCGCCCCCAGGGAGGCCCATAAGCTTACTGTGTTTGTTTTTCTTCTCTGGTAGAGGAGGCGGTTTTTCTGGGTCCCCTATTGACTCAGGAACAGTGAAATCTCCTACGAATTCGACAGCGGTGGAGGATGCTGTGTGCTGAAAGGGGAGGACGGCGGCGAAGGGCATGAAGGTGCCGGCCTGGACGGCGGCCTGGGGCTGGAGGTCCTCCTCGGAGATGTTGTCGTACTGGGAGGGGTGCCGCTCGTAGGACACCCTGCAGCCCGGGCCGTCTGCGGCCTGCGAGGGTGCGCTCCTGCGCTTCTTCTCGGGGAGGGCGGGTGGCAGGTCCGTCTGCGGGGCGGAGGGCCCCTCCGGTGGGGGCAGCTGCTGGGCAACTGGAAAGGATGGCCAAGAAATGGAGACCCAGCCTCCCCCAGGGACTCCGGCAGCGGGCTGAGGTCACAGGCCACCGGCTGAGGTAGCTGGTCCGCGGCGGAGAGGTCCTGCTGAAGGAACTCGTAGTCGGGGTCGTAATGCTCTGCACCAAGCGGAAAGACGGCCGTCAGCCGGGGCCTTGCAGAGAGACACCCCGCCGCCCGCTGCCCCTGCCCGCCCCAGCCCCCTGGCCCCCCTGTACCCCACTGGCTCCACGCTCTCCCTGCCACGAAACTGCAACCGGATGGGACTATTCTTTGTTTCTTACTTTTTTAAAAAAAAGTAAAAAATTTCTTACTTAAAAAAAAAAAATCACCCACAATCCCATAATCTATCATCTGTTTGCAATTTGATGCATCTCTATAAACATCCTCTCCCCACCTTTGACTCTGCTTTTAACCCATCTGAGAAAACCGCCCCCACGGCCGTGGCCCGTGCGGTCAATCAGCAGGCACTAGGATTGAGTGGCTGCGCACGATCCCCCCAGGGGAGCGGCCACGACCAGCTGACCCCGCTGCCGATCAGGCTGTCTCAGGCGCCTCGCTTCTGGCGGGAAGAGGCTGCGCTGTCGGCCTCCCAGACGCTCTTAAGACGGACTCCGAGCCTCGAGGGCTCGAGGGCTGTCAGGGGCCTTCTGTCCACCCTGGCCTGCTGTGCACTGCCCCCCATATGGCATCAGCCCACACACGGTCAGCGTCCACGGCCGCTGGCTCCCCCACCCCCTGTCTGGAGTGGCCAGGGCTCCCCCTTAGCTCTGAGCGTGGAAGGCTCTTAATGCGGGTGAAGGGCCATGGCTCCTGCCTGGCCTCACACTGTCATCTCACCTAAACATGCCCCCAGAGAGACAGATACTGGCACCCGCACTTTGCAGGTGAGGAAGCCAAGGGTCAGATTTTGAATAACTTGGCTGAGGTCACAGTGACCGGCAGCGGCTGGCGGGTGTTCTCTGGAATCTGGACCTGGGCCCTGGGGCCCACCAAGAAGGTGGGAAGGGATGGGACGGGTGGCGGCGGCCAGCTCACCTAGTGTTTCACAGCTTGTGTTGCGGGAGCACTGGCCGCTGTCCCTGTCCAGAGAGGACAGCTGCTCGTCCGACCGGCTGAGCTTGCCGATGCTGCTGCAGGGGGACAGGCGCGGCGACTCCCCGCCGTACGAGTGGCTGCCCCCTGACAGCCGCCTCTGTGCGTAACAGTCCACGTCGAAGTCCTTGTGCGGGGAGACAAAGCCCAAGTCACTTCCGGGACAACCGGCGGCAGAGCGCGGGGGCGGGCGGCGGTGTGTTTACGTAGGGAGGGAAACGTGCCAAACCCAGAAACGGCTGGAGAGGCCTGCCTGGGAGGTGGCCTCTGAGAAGCCCTCAGGAGCGAGTGCGGTGAGGGCGGCCTGGGGCTGGGCCCTGGCGCCCGGCCTCCCTGCCCCCACCCACGCGGAGCCTCTGCCATCCTCAGGGAGAAGAAGTCCGAGGGCTTCGCCTCCCCTGCAGGAGATGCTCTCGCGCCCCAATGCCAGGACACACCGCCCTGGGCTCCTCCACCTTCAGGAGTCACCCCCCACACCCAGAGCCTCCCCTGGCTCTCCAGACGGGCTGCATTACCTGCCTATTGATCCCCACAGGCAGACTGGAGCCGCTGGTGGCTCGACTCATGGGGGCCACGACAGCCACCCGCGTGGGGGACGGGGCTGACTGTCTTTTCTTCGGTGGCAGTGCCGGTGGGGGGCTGCAACAGACCGGGACCCCAGTCAGACAGAGCACGAACAAAACTCTGAAGAGCCATTAGGGGGCTTCTGAGGGTGTGCTCCCACGAGGAGACGCTGCACCCTCGACTCCGGCCCACAACCCTCTGCCAAAATGAAAGCTATCAATGCCAAACAGCTACCACCAGAAAAATCCTGGTTTTCCTTCCCAGGGTGAATGGTGCCGCTGTCCTGGCTGAGCCTAACAGGCAGGCCGTGAGCCGGGCGTCGGCGGGGCCCGGGGCTCCCCGGCTCCTGTGAGCTGGGTGCAGGCGTCCTGGCTCCTGCCACGAGGCTCGGAGCTCTCGCCCTCCAGCTGCCCACACTCTGCCCACATGCGCATCTGCTCATCTGGCCACACCACCAATAAAGGAGCACTAGAGAGGCAGGCGTTACCTGTTGTCAACCACCCGGATGCCAGGTAATGGGGGCTTGGGGGGCGCCACCTCTTCATCCGCCACGTCCGGGGGCTCAGTGGGCTGCAACATGCCGGTGGTCTTGCTCAGAATCTCTCTCTCTCGATCTGTCAGGGGGAGCTCAGACTGGCTGCAGAATTGGAAAGAACTTGGGATTACACAGGACACAGGGTGAGAGGTAGGATGTGAGTGAGCGGCGAGGGGTGGGAGTCGGAGGTGGGGAGCTGGGCCCTCCACGCAGAGCACTGGACACCGAGTGCCGTGCCCCCCGGCAGAGAAGGGGTGCCCTGTCCAGTGGGAACACCTGGCCAAGTGTCCCCGCCTCTGCCCTCAGCTCCCTTGTTGGGGAAGGAAGCTCCCTGACCTCAGGCCTCTCGCTGCCCGGCTCAGGTCTACGTCCTGCGCGGGGCTGCAGTGGAAACCGCTGCAGGCTGAAGCTGCCTGCCCACCTTCTGGATAAGCAGGTGCTCCCCAGGCACGTGCCCACAGCCCAACCCCGTGGGTCCCACCACCTGCGAGGAAGCCGCTGGGGAGAGCACAGGTGCGGGTCGGCCACACCGGCCCACACATGGCCTGCGGCCTCCATGTTCTCAAGCTTGGACCCAAGGGCACCGCAGGCGCGGCCAGACCGCACTTACCCGTCGGGTTTGCAGGCTGGGGAGCTGGGCTTCGCGGGGCTCGTTGGAGACGGATGTCCCTGCTTCTCCACGGTCAGCCTGACCAGCTCCTACACCCCGGGGAGAGAAGCAGTGAGGCCCGAGGAAAGTCCCTCAGCGCTGGGTTTCTACGGGCTGGTCAGTCGCCCGCCCCTACTGCTAAGTCTCGCTTTTGCCTCGAGGTTCCCTGTGCTTGGCTTCGCTAATCTGCATGACTCCCCAACTTGCTTCCTGGCCTCTGCCTCCAAAAGCACCTTCCCAGCATGTCGAGAAGCCTCAAGCCACCGGGTACTTCCCCTGGGGGTGTGGACACGCCAGCCCCAATGTCTCCAGATGACGAAGGGCCTCACACGAAGCGCATTCCAGGAGGGCAGGTTCCCAGGTCATGGGGAAGAGCCCCTCAGTTCGCCAAAGCCCTGAGGACGCTGCCTGCTCACCACCCACCTCTGGCTTTGAGGGGGCGGTTCCCTCAGGGAGCTGGCCGCCTGGCAGCAGTGGCGCCCGGCTGGGATCTTGGTCAATGAACAGAAAGTTAAAGGCATGTTGCCCAGCAGAAAGGTGAGTTTGGAACTCACTTCTAAACAAATGTTTGTTTTCTTGAAATGGGGGAGGGAAAAAGCGGCGATCAGGGCCCGTCTGAGGGCACGTGCATGCCTGACCATCACACTTGCCACCCAGGGATGAGGGGGCTCCTTCCGGAGGAACCCCCCTTTACTTCTGTTTATTAGGTGGCTTTTGCCTGGATTATGAGGTGCTGGAGCTGCCCGGCCTGTGCTCCTCTGCGCCCTCTCCCTGATCAATAGCTCAGGGCGTGAAGTCCAGCCCCTTGAAGCACACAGTTCCACGGTTTTCAGTTTGTGTGCAAAGCTGTGCGGCCCTCAACACAATCAGCGTCAGGACATGTCAGCACCCCTGAAAGAAACTGGGCCTCCCTGGTGGCGCAGGGGTTAAGTCTCAGCACTGTCAAGCAATCAGCAGCCACTGTGGCCTGAGTTTGATCCCTGGCCAGGGAGGTGACCCACATGGCGCAGCAGACCTCTCCCGTCTCCCCGCTGCTCCCCTCAGCAGTAGATTTCAGTCGATCCACCTGTTCTGCTCCCCACTCTGTCTCTGGTGAGTCCTCTTAGCCCCCACACCTCTGGCTTGCACCCCAGTTCTAGTATGCATAAATAAATAAAAATAAATCTTTAAAACACACAACTGAAGGCAGTTTTCACACAACCAGATCCAGCATCTATTCTGGAAGCAACGTGGAGAGGTGAGGGCCCCAAAAAGGGTGCTGGAGAAAACGGGTGAGCCCGCGAGGGCTTTCCTGTGGTCACTGCAGCAAGGTAGCTGGAGTTGGACGGGAGGGAGGGGAGAGGCAGGTGAACGGGCAGCCCCACCTGCCCAGTGTGGGCACGAGGCAGCGGCTCCCATGTTCCCGCCACAGGCCACACGGAGGAGCACCTGGGCATCAGAGGGAGCCGAGGCCAGACAAGGTGCCTGGAAGGCCACGTCCACGCCTCACAAACAGGGCCAGAGGAGCAGACAGAAGTCTGCAAACTTGCATTTGCTGAGGCGGGGGAAAATTCCACGAATTCTTCATTGACTCATAAACAATTATAATTAGAATGTCGTCTCTCTGGAGAGGCAGCTGCACGAATTCCACCAATGAGCGATGGCAGCGGGACACGGAATGACAGGCACACGTGTGCGAGCGTGCACCCAGATTCCAGGGCCACGTCACCACCGCCAGGGCGCAGGCCCAGCTTGGGAGAGCGCGCCAGGGCCCCCGCTTTCTGCGTTCCAAACAGCCCCGGCACAAACACCAGCCAGAAGGGCTTCCGTTTCAACTTGCCCTCCCATCACTGACAGAGGAGAACCCTCCGAAAGCGCCCAGAGCAGACAGCTGCACCCACATCTCGCCCCTGCGCCCAGAGCAGACGGGCCCCAGAGCCTGGCCCTCACTGGGGCAGAATTCGCGACAATCTTCTTGACCTCTTGGGGTACAGGTCAGGAGAGACAGAGCAGGCGGCACCGGCCAGCAACCACCAGCTCACTGAGAGGCAGTTTTCAAGCCCAATAGGCACGTGGACAAGCGCGTTTCTAACTGCACGGTACTTGAGGCCCACATTCACTTCGTTCACGTTGGAAATGATGGGAGGACGCGTCCGTCCTAACATCAAATCAAAGCACAACTCTGGCCACCATGGCAGGAGCATAGCCCCACCCACCTTCCTGTCTTCTTGGCACTGAGACAAAGCCCGACCCAGTGGAGGCGACTCGGGCTCCCTACGAGGTCCCCTTGGACCACCGACACCCTAAGACTCACTGTGCGCAGCTCGGCTACAGAGGCCCTGAAGGTCACTGCCTCGTGGCCCACCCCGAGCTCTTGCTTGGTCACTTTCTGGCCCCGGGACAGTGCTGGGTGGGGGCCGCGTCTCAGCCAGGACCGCCACGCTGCTGTCCACGTTCCCCGGCGGCCAGCATGTCCCGTAAGTGAGCAGCAGAAGAAATCGCGGGCGTGACTTTTTTATGGTGACATAAAGGGACCTTCCCTGTGTGCATCAGAAGCGGGTGGGAGGCAGCAACAGGACAAGGGGGAGTCTTCCTTCTCACACCATCAATGGGGCAAAGTGTGGGGTACACACGGCTCCTGGGGCCCAGGGTTGGGAGCCCAGGCTGCTAGGGGAGAGGGCAGACGTCACCCCCGTGGGTGTGGAATACCCGCTGAGCGCAGTGCCGGCAGGTTTCCGTGGAGGGAGGAGTACGACTTGAAACTTGGCACCTTCGTGTCCAAAATAATCCAATAGAGCAGTGGGGGCAAGAAGCTCAACTCAAACAGGAAAAGTCTGCAGGAGGTTCCTCCCCTTTGACATCCTCCCCCCAAACCCAGACCTAACGAAACAGCTAACTGCAGGCCCCGACCTCACACCTGCGTCAGAAGGCACAGGTGGGTCCCCGGGGCTGGCGCTCGGCCCGGCTGGGAGGGCTCACAAGGAGGCCGGCCAGGCCCTCGGAGAGATGGTGCCGTAGACCGCCCCGTGCTCTTAAAAGATAAAGCAGCGACTCGCCGCCAGCCCTGTACGTGTGGCACAGTGTATGTGTTTCTGACAGGGCTGCAGGGGGGGAGCGGCATAGACTGCTCACAGTTGACCCCTTTATTCTTCTCCCTTCCTCCTCCTTTTTAAAGAGACGGACCCTACTGGCAACATCAGAAGTGCTCAAGCACCGAGAAATGGACGACGGCTAAGTGGGCCTATGCTTGCAGCCACACGAACTGTTTCAAAGGAGGCAGAAGACGGAGCGCCTCAGGGTTCACGACAACCCTGAAACACGGGTGGTCATGTCCATGGACACGGCTGGTGCTGCTGTCCTGAGGCGATGGGTCTCACAGGAGAAAGCAAAGGCGTCATTGCGCCGTGGCTGTTGAGAACTGGGATTTGTCAACGTGAGGGGAAGAAAGTAAGATGTAATCTGGGGCTTCCCGAGAAGACACAACATGGCCGAGGGCGCCTGAAAAGATGCTCGCTCGTCATCGCTAATTATTAGGAAAATGGAAATCAGAACACAGTGAGATAGCATCTCACGCCTGCAGGAAGCTGTCACCAGGAAGATAACCAGCAAGTGTGGGCAGGTGTGGAGAACGGGCCCTCAGGCCCTGTGGGGGGAATGTGACCTGGAGGCAACCAGTATGGGACTGAGTAAGGACGGGCGCACCCCATGGCTGGCTGTTCTGTTTCTGGGTATTTGTTCTAAGATATGAAAACACTAATTCTGAGAGACAGATGTGCGCGTTCACCACAGCGTCATTCGCAGCAGCCAAGAGCTACCACCACAGCCAACGGCGGACAGCCTAAGTGCTGCTGCGGGGGTGGGCGGAGGCGTGGAGGCGTGAGGTGCGGGGCGCCACTCTGCCATCAGAGATGACATCCTGCCGTCTGCAACAACATGGGTGGGCTGGAGGGCATTACGCCTGGAGCCATCAGCTGGAGAGGGCCATCACCTCTGATTTCACTCATTTGTGGCATATAAAGAAAAGAAACATTCAACAATCAAAACAAAAGCAAACGCAGACTGCAAGAAGGAATGAGCGAGCCCAGGAGGGAAGGGGGCGAGTGGGTGACTCAGGTACGCGGGTCCTGGATGTGGCGGGGCGGAAGCCAGCGTGCCGGTGTTGGGCTGAGTGTAGCTGACAGAGGCGTCGACCAAGCACGCTGTAAACCTGAGCTCCAGACACTACAAGCCAGTGACGGTAAACAAGAAGGAAAACGCCCATCTGAGGAGGCTGAGTGGAAAGCCCCGTGGTCTGAATGTGGCCTGGAAGCACCACTAGCAACCTTCTCCCTCTCTGACACTGGACATCCCATCTTAACGCTCTGGTAGAAGGAAGCTAACAGCGTCACCTGAGGAAAAACAGGTGTCGGGACCGCACTGCCAGCAGCCCAGAGGCGAAGCGCCAGGGGTGAGCAGAGCCTCAGGCTGGGGCCCTCTCACATGGCTGCCTTCTGGGCGGGTCCAATGGGGTGAGTGTGCTGCAAACTGGGGGTGATGTAGGCCTTACACAGCAGCCCCCCTGGAGAGAACAGCAGCTTCGGGGGATGAAGGCACCTCAGAACCAGCGGAGGGCACTGGCAAGTCCCCAGCCCCCGGAAGGGACGGTGGCCCAGCAGGTCCACGCTGAGGTGCTCTACAGCTAGTGCTGTTTTCTTAGCCTCCCCTGTATGACCGGCACCTTCTGGGGGTCCTGATCTTATCCCCAGAGCTTCTGGAGAATGAGGGTCCAGAGAGGCAGCTTTCAGGAGTCTGACGGCATGGTTGAGTAGGGAAGGAATCTCTTTTTGACTGGGGATGAATTATAACCTCATGAATTATAACCTCAGTTATAATTGTGTATCGAAAGGTCTACAAAGGAGGACACAGCTTTTTCAAGCCAAGAGATCTGTCTGCCTCTAGCCTCACATAAGAAATGACAAAGAGCAGCAAAGGCCTCAGTGCTCGTGTGCGCCTGGCTTCCTTCCAAGGCCCCACGCGTGCTACCTGCTCCGTCCTTGCTGCAGCCCCACCACATGTGGTCCCACCACGACACCTGCTCACAGGTGAGGTGACCCAGCATGGAGCATGACTAGTCTATGTGCACTGACTAGTCTCGGATTCACGGCCTCGTCAGGGGTTCAGATACAGACAGCTCCATTTCTTACTCATCTCAACCCTGCTTTTCTACCAAGAATCCTAGCAGTTCTTAGAATGTGAAAAGGTAGCAGTTGACACGGAGGGAATTTTGCCAAAAGAGATGCCAACACCATTTCTCTTGCATGTGTCTGGCTGGCAGCTCCAGCTCGCGCTGCCCACAGCTCACACCCAGACTCGCTCAGCTCCCCATGACGCTCGGCACAGGCCCACGGCCTCTGGGAGCTCTTCTCACTACGGGAATGCAAAGGGACAGGGATGCAAAGGCTCACATGGCTGCAGGGACACCCTGAACCCCAGAGAACAAAACAGCTATTGGCCAGCGCTGCCACCGACACCAGATGTTAGGAGGCCTTCGCCCCGATGCCTGAGGCTGAGAACAGGCTCCGTGTGGGACCTTCTGCAGGGGGCTGCTGCTAAGCCCCGCCAGGCCGCCCTGCCCGCGCCCCTACCTTCACTCCGTCCAGCACGGCCTTGATGACCCCCGTCACCGTGGTCACCATCTCTTTATCTTCGGAGTTCACGCCTTCCAGCATCACTTGGTCGGACCAGCGAATGAGGTTGGCGAGGCTCTGGTACACTCGGCTGTAGCAGGAGGACAGGGCTGAGCTGAGGGAGAGAGGTTTTTAAGGAGATTAAGGCTCTCAAGGAGCAAGACACAGAGCCAGCCTCTCAGTGACGAGCGTATACCTCGATATTTCTATAAAATCCGTACCTCCTTTTAGTAAACAAATTCTCCTTTCTGAAACCACCTCCTGACACCCAAAGGATTCTGTGGAACTTAATTTCCAGGCTGTTATAAAATATTCCACTTCCCAAATACAACAGAAGCACCCCACCCAGACAGCTCCCATGCCATCCAGCCCACACCCCCACAGGGCCGCGACAGTCTCCGGGGTGGCCCCTCCGCTCTCCACGCGAGTCCCTGGGCCGAGTCAGAGGTGGAGGCCTCTCCAGTTAGGCTGCATCTGTGCTGGGGAGTCAACAGGGGCCGCTGGGGTCTACTAAAGGACCAGCCCTTGGCCACACGCTCACGCAGCCCACAACATGCCCGTGCTCCTTCAAACACGGGCCGGCTCGGGGCCTCGGCCTGACCACGGCCGTGTTGAGAGGCGCTTGGACGCACGTCCAGACCAGCCCCGAGGCCTGGAGCCTGGGACCGGGCGACGATGCCAGAACAGAGGCCTGAGGGATGTAGAGCGGTGGCCAAAATGAAGAATTTTCACATTTTCCTCAAAATTTTAAATAGACTAAGAAAATTTCCTCCCGTAATAACGGAAAGGTTTATTTTCCATTTCAAGTATGAGGTATGATAACGAGGAAGAGCCACCAGGGGGCGGCTCGTGGTGGGGGTCTCCTCTCAGGAAAGGGGACCAGAGGTGAGACTGGAACTGGTGCTGCCAAACTGAAGGGGCAAGCTCCCCAGCACCCCTCCCTGTCCAGGCTCCCGGCACATGCTCCGGGGAGCATGCACTGCCCAGCTCTGGCCTGCCACGCAAGGCAACGCTCCTGGAAGTGCCTGAGGAGCTGGCAGTTGTGTGCACCCCTCATATTATTAGCTTGGAAGCAAAGAATACTCTGGTGGCAAGAGGATAAGACACTCAGAAAGGAGGGAGGGTAGCCACAGACTGCCTGCTGGACCAGCCCCGAGGAGGCCCGCGCGTGAGGCAGGGGAGCACCTTCTCAGGAAGGGGCTCGGTGCCTCCAGAACAGCTCTGCGGGCCCGGGCACGCCCAGGCACTTCTTGCCCTCCCTCCCTCAGGAAACTGCTATAGATGTTACATAACTTTTGTCAATTATAAAATTATAAAACCTCCCATAGACCAAAAACAAACAACCCCCACACCGCGATCCTATCACGGGATCACTCCTCCAGGGCCTGCGTGTCCAGGAAGCAGCTCCCAAGCAGGGCTGGCGCTGCCCCGGGGAGCGACAAAGGCAGTAGGGACCCCCTGCGCACCAAGGGCTACTGGGTTTTGCCACAGCCGGTCCTGGGCTCGCCTGAAGCACAGCAGCAACAGGGTGGCCCAGCAAGTGGGCACCCTCGGGTACCTCTGTCCCCGCAATGTCCACGAGAGGCACAGCCCACTCCTTCCTCCCAGCAGCCCCCGCGCCTGCTGCTCCTCCAGCAGCTGACAAGACCTGCTCCCAGGGCCTGACCGGTACCGGGAGGCCTGGCCTTTCTACTGGGTGCTAAGCTGTCGCCGCAAGGCCATGGCGGAGAAGCGTGTGGAAGCGTCTCCTTCTGTGCCACACAGGCTGCAAGCCGAGGCCTCAGAGGAGGCCGCCCCAGAGGGCAGGTCCCGTGGCTCAGGAGGGGCTCAGCTCCTCCTCGGCTGCCCTGATGTGAAGGCAGCGCCACAGTGAGCCTCACGCGCCCACCCCCACCGCCCCAGCCAGCCCCAGGGAGGAGTGGCCCGGTGGGGAAGACACTGTTGGCTTCACCTTACAGCAGAGCAGCTCGCTGTGGCGCTTCCCTCCCTGGGACTGCACGGCCCGCGCCGACTGGAGGAAAAGAGGGAGGGAGGGCGATGCCAGCAGGACCTGCCAGCCCTCAGGGGGAAGCTCCCGCTAGGCCCCCTGCCCCTGCATTGCTTTTCTTCTGCCCCACATGTGGATGCAGCCGCTCACTGAGAGGAGGCCCAGTGGGACTGGGTCACCCGCAGAAGCGATGCCCCCTCCTCCCTCGGGTCAGCGAGCCGGTGCTGAGGCTGGGAGGCCGAGCTGGACAGCCAGGTGAGTCCTGCTCTCGCGTGGCCCTGCTCCTGTGGACCCAGGCCCCTGAGGGGTCCAGGCTGGCAGTCTGGGCACTGGACAGCCCTCCATCCCCACAAACCACAGCCACAGCAGGGAGCTGGGAGACTGCCCCCGGGCACGGCGCAGACTGCAGTGGGCTGCAGCTCCAGTGTGGCAGGAAGGACCCCAGCCCAGAGAAGAGCAGGCAGGCTGGGCCGGGCGGGGCTGGGCTGGGCCACAGCTGCTCCGTCCCTGGGAGCCCGATGCCCTGGCCCCTCACTGCCTGGACACAGCCATGGTCCAAGAGCCGCACTCACCTGTGCTGGATTCGGGGGTCGCTATTCACCAGGGGCAGGATGGCCTCCAGCACCTTGCTGGCGGACCCGGGAAGCATCTCCAGTACCTTCTTATCAATGGCCATTTTGTCCACAATGGTCTTAAAGTAGCGCAAGGCACTGACAACTTCCTTCTCTTTTTCTGCCAGCCAGATCTGGTTCTGAAAGGAAATGTTAAGCATAAGGAGGGAGGAGACCCCGCTCTGGCTCTGGTGAGTTCTCTCACCCTCCCGCGCCTCTGACTGTACCCAGTGCTTGTATAAATAAATAAATAAATAAACAAACAAACAAACAAATAAATAAATAAATGTTACCATAAGGAGGGAGGAGAGAGATTCAAGGGAGCTTTTTGGAAAAAAAAAAAAAACACAAAACCCCAAAAAAACAACGGAGTAAAATAAAGCATTCTGGAAATCAGCTTGAGATTGGACTTGTGGAAACCAAATTGTTGTTCTAAGGATGGCAGCCAGGATACAGAGGCTGGACTGGAAGGAAGGAGCAGGGGCGTGGACAGAGAACAGCAGGTGCGGTGTCCCGACTCCCTTCCTGGGACAGAGACTGCTTTGCCCCAAGGTTTCATAACTGTCCTGCTGTGCTGCCCACGGGGCACACGCTGGCTCCTCCGTGTGGTGAGGACCCAGTGCCACGGCTGGGGGACCTGGGAGCTGACAGCCGCGTCCCACGTGCATCTCTCACACTCCATCTGGAAGCCAGGCCCGAGACTGGGCAGGAACTGGGCAGAGGCCTTGGCATTCAGACCCACACTCCAGGACTGCTCGCTATTACCCCACATGCTCGGCTTGAGGTGCAGCCTCGGGGTGACATGACATGGCTCTCCCAAGGGACCCAGAAACCCCAGGGCCAGGAGTCACAGGAAGCTCTGGGATGAAAAGGTGAAGGAGCTGGAGCAGATGGGAAGGACTCTGCCCCTGCCGGTGTGGCACCCAGGCCCCTGTGCCAGATGAGTGCCATCGAGGGGTAAGTGAAATACAGAGCTCTGCACCCCCAGGGCTTGACTGCACACCTCAGTCTTTTCTCCGTGACTGTGGGCACCTTCAGTCCAGTCTGCGGGTACACATGCCCTACTGTCCCTTTCTGCAACGCCCCCTCTGCCGGCCCTAAGGTCAACGACCCCGGTCCCAGCTGGCTGATCCAGAAGGGAAACCAAGAATAAGCCATAAAACAGGTAAATCCCAAAGTGGATAATTTACTCAGGTGGAACTAAGTGTAGGTCCAGTGCAGTGAAAACGGCGTGGGCATGGCCAGTCCGCTGTGCGCGCCTGAGGCCCGGGAAGTGCGTGACGTGAGCAGTCAAGGCAGGAAGGGGATTTCCATGAAAACTGACTGCAACAGTCACCTACGAGTGCATAAATAAATGATATGTAACAGAAAATAATTATGATTCTGAAAACGAGCTTCTCAAATGATGAGGCATGTCATCTTCAATGAAAAAAAAAAAATCCAGTCGCATAGGCCTTTACTCTATGGGAATTTCAAAAGAAAAATACACAAATGGGGGTCGAGAAGTGAATGCCCCTCCGACAACTTTCAGAGTCTCGATTTGATTTAACTTCTCTCAGTGGGATTCTTCCCCGAGTGTAATCTGAAACCCACTTAGGATTCTTCAAGGGGGACCACCCCCATTCCCGGGGTGCAGTCTGGGCCCCTCACTTCCCTTTCTCTTCTCACTACCTGCCAGGTGCTTTCCGGGAAGCAGCCACTGTTTCTCGGCCTGTGGCGACTGCCAACGGTACACGTGACTGAGGCCACGGTGGGGCCAGCTGGAGTGGCGGAGGGCTGTGCCCACAGCAGCCATCTCAGGCAGCGGGGTGCGTTAGGAGCCAGACAGAAGCGGGGCGGGGGCATTTTAAGCAAATGTGTCATTAGGTTTGCCAGGGAGCGGGGGCAGCCGGGGATGGGAGGCACCCGAAGGGGCAGGGCCCGCAGAGAGCAGAGACATGGACAAGCCATTTAGCACCAGGCGGCCCTGGGCTCCCAACAGAGGAGCAACGGCTGAGCGGAGTCAGGTTTCAACCATTAGCTCCCCAGCAAGTTCCACTCCTGGTTGCTGACCGCTGAGCACTGCGCAACCCCCAACCCTGCAGCTCTTCAACTGTGGCTCCTTGCAAAACGCAGTCAGTGGTCAGAAGAGTTTGGAGGCACCTTGGCCTGGCGTGTGCTAGAACCATAAACTAGAGGCCCTGGTGTTGCCGAGGCTGCCCAGCTGCACCACCTGAGAGAGACAGGTGCGCCCACCTGCATACCCCCGTGCCACCGGCAGGCCAAACCAACCAGGAAGTGACACCAGGCTGGCGGTGCCTGGGAGGGCCTGCATCTAAGGCCAATGGGGGGCATGGAGACCAGGGGGCTTCAAATATTCACCTGTAACATGGGAAGAAAAATACCCACTCTGGGTGATCTAGAGTCTGGCATAGGGACCGAGTGGGAATGCATGTAGAAGGGCTCGTCGAATTTGGGAAAACCTGGGCCAGTGTGGAAGCTGCGCGTTGGGAAGACGAGAAGCTTTCCCACATGGTTCCGGGAGCAAACAAGCCAGGACGGGGCCTGTAGTCATAGTTGACTCTGACTCTGTACTCCCCTGAGCTGAGCGGTCCATGGATTTAAACATGCTTATGAACTCAGACAAAAAGAGAATGTCACAGAAACATTCTAAGAGAAGGGACGGCACAGCCCCGTGGCAGGGTCTCCGACAGCGGCGTTCTCCACTCACACCACAGGTTCTGGGTGCAGACCTGGGGCCTCCACTAAACGAAGGCTTGGGCCTATCTAGTGCAGGTGATGTGGGGCAGAGCACGGTGATCTGACATTAAGGGGACACCCTTCCTCGGGAGGGCTCACCCGCCGGCTCCTCACCACCGAGTGGGGCTCCTCGGTCAGGCGCCACGCCGTGCGGGTGGGCTGCCCCGTGTGGAGGAGGGCGTCACCAGCATCCCGCTCCGTCCACTAGATGCCAGCAGACCTGCTTCATCTCCTCCGTGGTGATGACCAAAACTCTCCATATTTGCCGAGAATGCCCCCGAGCTTGCCGGACACCCACTAAGGGGGCGGGCGGGGGAGTGCATTAGCACCAAATCCCCAGGACCTCTCTTGGAGTGATGACGAGGGGAGGGCAAGTTCCGGGAGCTGTGGCTGAGACAGTTTCTTGTCAGGACGCGTGGGCAGTGAGCCACTGTGCCTGGACGCCGGCTGCGGTCGAGGGACCACGGCCGAAGGCTCTTCCTGGGGTTTGACCTTAAACCCGGCTCTACGGGTGGCTGCACAGACTGAAGGCGACTCGGTAGGGGCACAGACCAGATCTGCTTTATCTTCTTCAGTATCATTGAGAACAATCTGGCAAACGCTGACTATTTCACACCTGCTCTTCAGCTTCCTTTTGTTAGCAGACGGGGCAGGAAAAAACGATTATTCAACAGAAACCTTTGGATTTAAAACCCTTAATTTTCTCTATTTTCAACTAAAATTTAAAGATATTCTGTTGGTCAACATAAAAACAGAGGAAGGAGCCCTGCGAGGCTCCAGCGCGTCCCAGTCCTGGCCGCGTCCCCGGAGGCCCCTGGGAGAGGGCTGCAAAGGTGGACTGGCCATGACCCGCGCTACGGACAGGCCCTGAGGGCCTGGGATCTATCTGTCCACAAGGCTCTTTTTTGATACTGCTGACTTTAATTCTGTCGTATGTTTAATCACGTGTGGGGGTTAACATTTAGATTTTTGAGATATCCACAAACTCTGGCGTTCAGAGAAGTACAGCACTGAGGATTTCCAACAGGGGGCCGGGCGGCACGTTCTAATCTCGGCCTCCCCAGCATGTTTCTGCGTGACTTTGGCCAAACGCTCGATGCTCTGTGGCCTGTTTCCATCTCCCAGGATGTCGTAGGGATCGGGCAAGAGGCCGCGTGGAGCACACAGGGCTGGTGACGGTGATGGCATGGGGCGGCTGGTGCCAAGGGCACTCGTCCCGTGCTCGTCACACCCCAGGACCTTGCCGATGGGCTCCGGAGCCCCTCGCCCCTAGGCGCCCTGCCCTCTCTCAAGCGCTCGGATCATCGCAGCAGCTCAAGGAAAGATCAGCTGGCCAGAAGAGAGGAGATTCCCCACTTCCCCGGGGACCCGCTGGGCCCAAGCAGCACCCAAACTGACCCCAGAAATGACTCCCAAGCTTCTGCCACGGAGCACTGAGCGCTCTCCAAAGACCTGGGGCTGGGTGGATCCCTACCTTTCACCCAGACCCCTGAACTGTGTGCTGAACAATGACGCCCGCAGCTGAACCCCAATGAACACAAGGATATTGTAATATATTTTTTTTTCCATCCCCAGAACCATAGGCCAGGATTCTGCAGTGGAAGGCAAGGCAAACCCAATTGTTCTTAACATCACACTGACCTTCTCTCTCTGAGACCTGGAAGCCACAGCACTGGTGGACATAAATCCTACTGCCTGCTGCTCCAGATCCGAGGGGAGAGGGCAGCCCTCTGGGAGAAATCTGTCTGTTGCCTCCTGGAAGAGAGGAAACCTGGATTCCTACTGGGCTGGAAATGGCCGTTTGAGGCTGAAGGGAGAGGTGGATGAGAATCAACAGCTGTTCAACACCTCTGGCTTGACGCGCCCTGCTGAGCTTCCCGGTGTGGAAGGACACCTGAGGCTGGGCTTCAAGGGTCTGCGGGCCTGAGGGCCAGGGCCCTAAGGCTGTCCTGGACACCACCACTTCCCAGTGGGAGAGCACCAGGGAGGCGGGTCTCTCTGGGGCAGGGAGGTGATGTCCGGGTGAACCTCACGGGCTGAGCTGTTTCAAATGCCCAGAGGGTGACACATGTGGAAAAGGAGACTGTTCCAGCCAAGAGGACTTGGCTCTGAGCAACTCCGAGACACACCCACTGCTCTCAGTTCCTATGTCCTCGAGGCCACGGGAGGCCAGAGGATGTGGAGGAGCAGGCAGGCTGCACCGAGCTCCCCCGGGGTGGACCCCAGCGGCGGAGGACCGCAGCGGCGGAGACGCACGCTGCTCCAAGCGGTAGGCAGGAGGGCCACTTACTTTGTTCACAGGCTTCTCTGGAATCTTCACAGACACCTCGGCTGGTTTTCCCTTCTTGGACGGTGTTCTCTTGATTTTGGGCGAGTGGAATTTGTCCATCAGCTTCATGGTGAAGGAGGAGAGGTGGGAACGCTGCGAGTCTGAAACCAAGAGGGCACTGGCCGTTAGCGGTGGGGCGGGAAGGCCTGGCTCGCTCACCTGTGGAGGTGAGAGTTGGCCCCAAACAGATCACTTCCTCGGCTAGTCAGTGTTTTGAAGGGAAGGAAATAAGGATCCATTAAAACGCGTATCTTGTATAATTAAATTTCTGCAATCGCTGTCATGTTAGGTTCTGAAAAAGAACTTACACATATTTGCAAGGGCCCTCACAGAGTGTGATGCGCTAACCAGCATCCATGGGGCTGGCTGAGAGCACGGAGGACACAGCAGAGTCCCAGAGCGTGCCGGACGCAGCACTGGAAGGAAGGCCTCTTCAGTCAGCCTCCTCATTTTTCGGTTGAGGGAACACAAAAAGTGATGTAGGCAGGCCTCATGGCGGGGGTGGGGGTGGGGTGGGGGGTGTAGAGACAGAAACAGAGCTAATGTGTTCAGAGCCCCCTGGACCTTGGGGTCAGACAGAGCCTTCCCTTCCAAGGTCAGGCGTCTATCCTCACTCTTCCAACGTTCACATCTGACTCTTCGACACTGAACCAGAGGTTCTAGCCAGGGAATCAAGCAAGTGGAAGAAATAAAAGCCGTCACGATTGGAAAGAAAGCTAACCAACCATTTTAATCTATAGGTGACAGGATCTTTCTATTTTTGAAGACAATTTTAAATTTATGTGTCCTTTTTGAAGAAGAAGCCCTCTGTTCTGGGCTCCTTTGGTAACTACCATAGTGTATCGAAACTCCACCCCACGAGGTGAAGATACAGGCACCTCTTCCTCCTCTCTAGCTCTGTTTCCTTCTACTTCCACTGCTACAGCTGCAAACAACGCTATTCTGTGGCTGTTAATGAAGTTTCCACTGATACTGCAGAGTGAACACCAGCAACAAGGAGTTATGCTGTACCTATGCAAACAGTGTTCCGCACAGGACCAATTCCTATGTTGATGGCATTCTTTTCTTTCCAGTTTAATGACCCCTGAGCCTCTCTATGCTAGGGGGTCAAGTGAAGATTATTTATCGGTTCCTTAAGATCACAAAACATATAGTTTGCTTTGAAATTGTACAGGGACAATTTCAAACAATATACTAAAAATTCTTAGTACTAATAAATATGTTCAGTAAGACTGCAGGACATAAGACAAGCATACCAAAAACTGGATTATACTTCTATACAGTGGCAAAGCACAATCCAAGACGTTTTCATCTGTAATGCCATGAAAAAAGAATAAAGTACTAAGGCATTGATTTCACATAAGAAGAGCAAGAAATACACACCGAGACACAAAAATTGTTTTAAAAAAAGTAGAAAAGATCTAAATAAATGGAAAGACATCCCATGTTCATGGATCAAGACTCACTATTGCTAAGATGGCAGTATTTACCAAATGAATCTATGGATTCAATGTCACCTCTATGAGAATCTTAGCAGACTGACTTTCTGTAGAAACAGGCAATTGAATCCCCAAGTTAATATGGAAACAGAGAGGCCCAGAATAGCCAAAACAATCTGGAAAAACAAGAACAAAAGTTGGAGGATTCACTCCTTTACATTTTAAAACTTACCGCTATAAAGTTACAGTAACCAAGACAGCATAAGGGTAAGCATATAGATCCATGACCTAGAACTGAGGGTCCAGACCCCCATTCACAGGGCAAGTGAATAGTCTTTCCAACAGCTGGATAGCCCACGTGCAAAAGAATGAATCTGGGCCCTTCTCATACCATATACCAAAATTTACTCAAAATGGATCAAAGAGCTGAAAGCAAGAGTTAAAACTATAAAACTCTGAGAAGAAAATATTAGGGTATATTTTTGTGACCTTGGTTTTGGCAATGGTTTCTTAGATGTGACACCAAAAGCACAAGTGATGGAAGAAAAAATGGATAGACTAGAGCTAATGGACATTAAAAACACTTGTGATGTGATGCAAATGAACCATCAAGATAGTGAAAAGCTACCAAATGGGAGGAACTATTTGCAAATCATATATCTGTTTTGCACATCTGACTTGTATACAGAAATTATAAAGAACTTTTACAACTCAACAATAAAAGACAAATAACCCAAGCGAAAATGGGCAGAGAATTTGAATAGACATTTCCCTGAGAAGATATATAAATGGGCAGCAAGCACATGACTAGATGCTGACAAGCCTAGTCAACAGGGAAACGCTGCTCAGTCACGGAACTCGCCACTTCACGCCAGCAGGTATACTCAGGACAGACGACCAGCCCATGAGGGCAGGAGAAGTCAGAAGCCTCGCTGCTGCTGGGACCTGGCTCAGGCGCTTTGGAAAAGCTCTGGCAGCTCCTCCAAAACCAAGCACAGTCAGCCTGTGAACCAGCAGTTCTATTTCCAGGTGCACACCCAAGAGAGATGGAAATACATGTTCTGTGACCTGTGCACAAAAGTTGACAGCAGCATTATTTGTAATAAACAAAAAGTGGGGACCACTTAAAGGTCCCAATGCCCATGAATAAGTAGATAATATGGTGTCGAGGCTGACGGTTGTAGGCGACAAGGAGGATGAAGCCCTGGCAGGTGGTGCCCGGGGGGAGCCAGCCCGGAGACCACACTCACGGGACGGGTCCAGCTCAGGCTAAGTAATCTACAGCCCAAGTCCCAGGCGGGGGTGGGGAGAGGCTGAAGAGGGGCTGCTAAGGAAGATGAGGTTTCTTTGGGTGGGAGTCAAAAATGTTCTAAAATTAGAATCTGGTGATGGCTGCACCCCTCATGGATTACTAAAAAACCGCTTTGAATTCTACACTTCAAATAGCTGCATAATGTGGGAGTTATGTCTCCATTGTAAACAGTTTTAAAGACCTCACTTCATAGTCATCCTTCCCCTCGCCATGTTCCATGGTGCTCCCCAGAGTCTGAGGCTATCTCACACAGAGATTTATTTATGGTTTGTCTCCTCACGGGAATGCAACCTGGCCAGGCCACATCTGCACCCCCAAGCAGCACAGCAGCCAGCCAGCCAAGACGGTCAGGAAGCGATCACCAAATCACCAAAATCACCTCGATGACCAAATCCACCGATGACCAAATCAACCTCCAAAATGTGCCCATGAAAAGGACTGCTAGTTTTGGTAACATCAGAAATACACAGAAAATGCTTGAAATTGGAGGTTAATCAGGGAACAAAGCACTGTCCTATCCTCCAGAAAAAGAAATCTATAGCTTTAAAATGAAAAAGCACTGCTGCTCCTTTCAATTTTTCTAGCACTTCAGTATAAAAAAATGCTCCAAATAAATGACCCAGCACTTGGCACAGAGGCCTATCACTGAGTCCATGACGTTGCTGGTGACTTAATTTGTGACTTACGAGGGCCAAAGTCCAAGGCCCCTGCAGGAGGCCCTGGGAGGCATGCGGCGGCTCTACACTCAGCTCTTGGCAACCGTCTACCATAGGAGCCGCCGCGCGCTGGGCCGGAGTGAACAGCTACATGCAGAGTCAGAGCCACACGCACAGCGTCCACCTGCTGACCAGAGCTGCGGGAAGCCCCTTTTGGACCCCAACATGGACACAGACCCATAGGAAGCCAGTGCACCTCTCCTCTCACCGGCGGCAGCTCATCTGGGGGTCAGGAGGCCTCCAGCGCCAGCCTTCCTCTGCCGATCATCCCTGGGTTCCAAACAGGGTAATGAGAATGATGTGGCCTCTTCACCTCCTCCTCTGCTCTGCTCTTCCCGCCTCAAGGGTGGGCCCCCATACAGCCTACACTTCCTCCTTTGTGCTTGAAAGGATATGACCCAGCTAACCTTATTCATGTGGCAGTTAAAAGGGCGTGCTGTGTGAGCAGGTGGGTTGGGGTCAAATTCTTGTGTCACCTCTAAGTTGTACTTTTCCCGGGAGCGTAAATGGAAAGTGTGCTGATAACATTGTTCTCGAGAAGCTGATGTGATGCAGGAGGAATGCGCTGCTGTCAAGAATAAGGCCGGCAGCGATTGCCGCCCCCCCTACCCCCCACCCACAGCACCCACTCGCTGCCCGCCCACAGCACCCGCTGCCCACTCAGTAGGGCAAGCTCATGAGCTGGGCAGTTGCAAGGAGGGTGAAACTGTGAGTTCTTCCTTCCCAGCTGCTTGCAGACCTTGGTCGAGTCATCCTGCAGTGCGGCCTGCAGTGCCCACTCCCCGCCTTCATCACCGGCCCCGCACCTGCCTCATTCTGCTAGTCTAGTTCCTTCTTTGGTTCTAGTTCCCGTCTGTGTTGCCCTGATCGGTCCCAGCCCGCTCTGAATGAGGGTGGCTTCTGAATTCCCAAAGCTGCAGCTTCCCCAAGGCACCCCGAAAGGCAGGTGCCCGGAGGCAGATGGCTGTAGGCGCTCTGGCTTGTCCCATGACCGCAGCCCTGGCAGGGAAGATGAAAGCAGGCAAGAAAGCAGACGCATGGGGAAGTCCGGGCAGTTTGCTCGGTTTCTTTGCTTTGCTTTGGGGGTTAAAGGCCGCCAAAGACTGGCTGAGCCAACTCCTGTCTCCGGTCTGATAGGCCTGAGCTGCAGCACGGGCAGGCGTGGCTGCGGACTGGCCAGACTCACACCTCTGCACTGCGACTAGGCAGAACTTGGGTGAGCAAACAAGGAGTGGAGGGCACCGGGAACCCTGCAGGTTCCTGCACGTGCCCTGGAACCAAGAGCAAAGGGACCGGAGTGCGTGCCCCGCTGTTCTCACCTGCGCTACCAGCCAGGGGCTGCCGTTCTCGGCCACCTGGGGCCGGGTTTGGCACCCAAGTCAGCATTTAAGGGAAGGACCACGTCTACCAACGAATCTCCCTCCTCAGAGCAATAAGAGCCCCAAAAGAGCCAGCTCTCGCACACCAGACATGATAAATCAAGCAGGGAGAGCAGGTGCTCTGCCATGACAACCGCGCTCCACTCTGGAAACAAGGGCAGCGCTAACTGGGGCAGACGGACGCGGAGGCGCCAGGCTCCTTCTTAAAACAGTGGGTCAGCAGCCCTGGTTCAGCGGACGCTTGGGGTGACTCAG